TAACACCCCGGCTCGTCTCATGAGTATGCAGATATGTGTGTGTTAATGCTCCCGCACCTATGGGACAGATGATGACGACCGATTAGACCGGACTGTTGAAGCAGCCGCCACAGGTGGGACGTCCTCCTAGAACCGGTGATTGACCTCCACCTTCTACTCATCCTCATATTCATCAGCCGAAAGGGCTTCACAAGCAGCTTTGATGTGTCCGCCGCTCTCCGTTTCAAGTGCGGCTCTCCGTGTGGCTGGCGTGCGTTCTGAGGGTCGGTGTGCGCGAGATAAAAGAACCGCCGGCGGAATCCGATTGGACGAGAGTTTCCGTCCACCTGCCCCTGACGCCCGGCCTGTTTGCATGATGAGCGCTAACTCCTCGGTGTCTCTCTCAAAGGATTAACTTGGCCCGTGTGCTCGTCTTCAGTGATTATTTAATAGAAGAAATAAAAGGAGCTGCTCTTGAGAAAAGGACTTTGTGGCTCTTCTGAATGTTATCTACCGGTTTGGTCTAATTGGAGGTTCCTTTATGCTTCTAGAAATGGGGAAAGGAAATAATGTGCCATTTGTGCGAGGCCTCGTTTTTATAAAACACGGGTGTCACAGTTGGATGGTGACTCTGGGGGCCTCCGGCTCCTCAGCACATGAATTCAACACGCACAGATAGACGTCTGTGTGTTTGTCTGGATATCGCGGCGTATGTCGTAGTATTTGAAGGGGGGGGCGTGTTTCCCTCCTGTTGCTGTTTCTTCAGCTTTGCTTCATTGAAATCCGCACACGGAAAGTCACTTGTGTCACGCTGACACCGCGGACAAAAGGGGCTCTTATTCAAAGTCGGCTGGCTCGATCCGGAGCTCCTGGATTTGAGCTTTAAGAAGTAAGCGTCTGCCGTGATGATGCCGAGCTCTGCGTGCGTGTCCCGGGACGCGAGGCTGAAGGCCGCGTGGATCCGCGTGAGCGGTCGCATTGTCAGAAACAGCCTGGTCGGATGTGAACCGCCCCCAACTTTAGTTTATGGCTGTAGAATATTGGAAACATTTAGTTCAAAACTCTTTTTAAAAAAGCTAGAACCTCAATGTTAAGTTATTCGGTTTCATTCTTTATCCATATTTGATCTCTTGCGCGCTACTTAATGACTTAATGGCTCAGCTTTAAACCATTTTCCTCACATTTTGCATGGATTAGTGCACTCAAGATTACTTTTACCTTATATATTTTTTTCTTCTGAGTGTCTTACTGGTTTTCAATGGTTTCCGTTCGTAGCCGTGTTTCAGAAACATACCTGTAGAAAATCCTACCTGCTTCTATTTAGGTGGAAGAAATGACACGACATGTTTAGATCTCATCTTTTCCTGGCTCTACTTGCTCCACCATCCCTTTAACTCTGTTTCCTCCACCCTTGCATCTCATTAAAGACAGCCCCCCCCCCCCCCTCGTGAGCTAAACTGAGCAGCACTGATGTGATGAGGTGTGGCTCGAGTGTCCTCTTCGCACCGATAATGTGCTGAATGACCTGGGTCACAAAAGGCTGTAATTAAGAGTCTCTCCCTCCCTTGTTAAGACAGCCGGCGTTCTACCGGGACGACGAGTCACACAAAGCTGGCGCTTTTCGTTTGTGCATCATCTCTCGACTCGCTCCCTCCACTTGAATGCGCTCGTTCTCTGTTTGCGCCCCCAGGGATGTCGCCGCCGAGCGCTCCGCTCATCGCCGTTTGTGTATTAACAGGTGCTTTGTTGCATCCACATTAATGCTGACAATTTGAACTCGGCTGCCTACGCAGCGTTCCCCAGCGTCTCCCACGGCAACCAGGTGTCTGTGGATGGGTGAGTGGGGCGCAGCAGGTAGAAACATGGGCACTTCATTTCGTCCGGAGTTTAATGATCAAGACGGCGTTCCCCGCCTCCTTGCGGCAGAGGTCGTGGCCGTCTCCGTCAGCTTTCAGGCGTAGTCGGCCTGCCGCTCCGCCCGTGGCGCTGCCCTTGACCTTCCTCTGTTTTCTCGCTCCCGCCGGGACGGCCGCCCCGTTTCACCCCTTTTAACTCTTCCCCCCCACCCCTCCCCCGGCGCGGCGGGGGCCTGCGAGCTCTGGCGGATTACCTTAATGGAGACGGGCAGGGAAAAGAAGCGAGGTGCGCACGCCCGCTGCTTTGCGTGTCTCTGCGCCCGCGGGCTCGCCGCTTCAAGTGCAGAGCAGGCGCGACCCGGAGAGAGAAGAGAGATGGAAACACAGATCCAATGGGCTCTTTGCAGGATGAGTGGAGATGAAGTCATCGTAGCTTTGAGCTGGTTTCAGCGCGTTAACGTTAGCGCCTCTCTCAGGGTCCTCGGGTTGCTTCCCGGGCCGATCAGTCGGGGGCTGTTGAGCTGTGACCTGCAGGGTCTCTCAGATGCCTGATTGGCGGTGTGTTTCTTCTAAAGGTGACATTTAATCTGCTTCTAGTTATTTGTTTTGACTGTTCTAGAGTTGCTCCCACATTGGCTCACTTCCCGCCGCCTGCAGCCTTTAACAGACGTAGCGGATTAGCAGTTTGCTGCACTCCTCCTGTATTTCACCTCTTTCCCTCCTTCTTCCCTGTTCGGTATTCCACCGGCCGGCATCCCACAAGCTGCTCGGCCGTGCTGCAGTAAATTAGGTTGTTTATCGAAAGGGAAGAGCCGGCCTCCCCGAAACCGTCTGCATACTGACAGACCTTCTGGGGAGGGCGACCCAATAGCGTGGAATAATAATAGTTATTAGATGGGGCGTTCATGAGAATAACCAGGATGTTTGAATTCTTGGTTTAATTCGGATAACCAGCGACTCACTGGAGGCCACTGCATGAAACAACTGAGCAAGTACAAAAATGTGTTTACTCAAAAAATCAAAAACAGAACCACCGGGAGAGGCCAGATTCATCCTCGTCCATTGATTACCTTCTTGTTTATTTACTTCCCTCCTGTGATGTCTGACGGTACGAATCTCAGCAAGAGACGACCTTGTAATGTTCAGTTAGTGCCTGAGACCGACCGTTCAGAGGGATCTTAAACTGTTAGTTACTTTTCACCATCACAATCCGAGAAACCAGTAAATGTTAATTAAATCAATACAAAGTGAATACATTTCATGTGTTCCTTTTTCATACAGCATGTTTTACTAAATATATTTTTGTATCGTCTTGCATATTTGCATCCTCCCTGGTAATTTATACATATTTTTCTCAAATACAGCATTAATAATTAGGACTCATGTCGCCTCGAGGTGCAGCTGCAAGATCCCGTGAATTTAGATTCAGCTATTAATAAATGTTTGCTTCTGTGCGTGCGGCCGCCAGCTTTCCTAAGGTTCTGCAAGACTTGAAGCCCCCCCACACACACACACACACACACACACACACACACACACACACGCAATCACTCTGACCCACTTGTTTAACGTGCCCACAATATAAAGCTACACACGCCTGCCTGTTCCAAACCCGTCACAGCGAACCAATCCGCTTTGCTCCTCACGTCCTGATTCTCCACACTAGACGCAGCTTCTCTCCCCCAGTTCAAAGTCCAATTCATCAGGTGGCTGTAGAGGAAATAACCCCCCCCCCCCTTTCTCTCACCGGGGGTCCGGGGTGTGTCTGTGATGCTGCATAACGTTATTGTGGATGTGTGGTGATCGTAATTGTGGGCGAGTTGGCGAACGCACTAAATCCTCGGTATAAATAACCCTCTGAAGGCGGCGCTGACTGGCGAGAAGGGAAAAGTTCACAAAGTGGCTCGGTGAAATGCGCCACAGATCGTGATGAATGTGGGTGGGGGGAAGGGAGGGGGCTGCGGGTGGAGTCGGCTTGCTCCATCTGGCTGGTAGCGGGCTCCTTTTTATTTGGGCAGGTTAGTGCCCTCTATTATTATTATTATAATTATTACCTTGACCAACGTGCACCATCTTTTCCTGGAGATTCTTAGTCTTTGTAGTTGCCTGCTGCAGACCCCCCCCCCCCCATCAGGGCTCTTTTTGTGTAGGTTTAAATGAAGCTGGCGTCGCTCAGATTGTTTTGGCTGTCGGGGTTATTGTCTGCAGGCTTAACGTGGAAACATATTGGCTGCGGGTGACGACAGTACAGATGATGAACTTGTTCCCCTTTTCTTCGGGTTGCTCCTCCGCCCACATGACGTCTCCCCCCACTGAAAGTAGGCTGTGTTCCAAACCGTGGTACGAAGAGGTAGAGGTAATCTTTTAAAATGTCAACTTCTGTTTGGACCTCGACATTCTGCAGCCGATGAGCAGAAACTCTTTTGGTGTTTTTCATCGTCTCCATAATGAAGCCTTAGTCAGCTGGCCAGTGTAACGGGGCCCCTGAGTCGGGCCCTTGTTAACCGACGCACAATAAGCTCCCACCTGATGAAGTGTAAACCAGAGATGGGGGGGGGGCAGATGAGCCTTGATGTGCAGCGGAGAGCTCAATGCTAATGCTGTTAGCCAGGAGGTCAGTCGCGCTCAGTTTCTCAGTACTTCATAATGTGCTGCATGTCAGGGGCCTGGTGTGGGTTCCGGCCCAAACAGGCTTCTCCTTGTGTTGAAGTTTGCCTCCATCTGGCCGGCTCTTTCTCTTCCTCTGCGCTCGCTGATGAGCCCTTAATGTTCAGATGTTTCCCTCAAGCTCAATTTAGCCTCAGGACTTTTTATACTTTTTGTTTTTTATTTCCTATCATCCATCTCTGATGTCACTGGTTATTCTACCTGCTTAAAGTTTATATGGGATGGAGAAGCTATTTGGTAAAATGTGAATGAATGTCTTGTGATTTCTGTGATATACAATATTAATTTACCCTCTGCAGGTTATTGTAAGACGCTATCAGTATTCATAGCAAACCATCTCCTCATATGTTAACCCGTGTGAAACATCGTAATGCATTATTAATGCATTATCTAATTGTAATTCAGAGAAAGGGCTTTTGTTTCACGATGGCTCTTTTCTGATGGTCATGTGACGTTGTCCTGCATCACAAATTAACCCTTGGCATGTTTCTCTTCTAGCCCACGCCGGGGCCTGTTTCCCTAAGCAAGGTAACTCACCGGGCGAATGGCTCCCTGCTCCTTTGCATCCCTCTCTGAGTTCCTCCATTTCTCCAGTCACGTCTCTGTGTTTTGTCTTCGTCGCCCGTTCTGTTTCCCTTTTTGTTTGCCTTCCTTTCTCGGAGCGGCGTGCACAGCGCCGCTAGAAGGCCAGAGCGCCAGGGCGACGCGCCTCCTTAACAATGGACGGCGGAGTCAGTGGCGTCCGGACGAGAGTCAGTGGGAATATGCAGAGGAAGAGGCGGCGGGTGTTAAGGGACGGAGAGGAGAGGAGTGTTGCCGCCCCAACACAACGAAACAAGACTTAAAACTACAAGAATATCACGGTGGAATATCCGGCAAAACCAACTTAGTTTAAACCCTCTTCCTTTGATCTATAATTGCAGAAGCATTTCACTTTTCTCATTTTTCTTCCCTTTAGAACTTGAAATCAATAATTCTCAAGGGAACCGCTTTGTGCTGGTGGCAAATATTCTAACATCCCATTTCTCTCTCTCTCTCTCTCTCCCTCTCTCTCTCCCTCTCCTGTTCCCTCTGTTCCTTATTTTTCCACTCTCATCCCCTCTGCTCTATTTGTCTCCACCTGTGTGTGTGTGTGTGTGTGTGTGTGTGTGCGCGCGCGCCTCTCGACCCTGAACTCTTTCCCTGTGTGGGGATTCACCCCTATTTATCTCACTTCCTTCCCTTCCCTCCTTCCATTCCTTCCCTTCATCCATCCAGATGCCGAGCGCGGAGGCGGTCACATGATCTCGACCGATGACCTGGAGTACCCGCGGGAGTACCGGACGCTGGGCAACAGCGCGCGGCGCTTCTCCAACGTGGGCCTGGTGCACACGTCGGAGCACCGCCACACCGTCAGCGCCGCCCAGAGCCTGGAGGCCCTGACCAACCTGCACAAGGTCGACATGGAGCGCAAGAGGGACGCCTTCATGGACCACCTGAAGAGCAAGTACCAGCAGCAGCAGCACCAGCAGCAGCAGCAGCTGCAGCAGCACGCGCACCACAGCCCTCACCACAACCCGCCGTCCCCCTCGCCCTCCCACGCCAGCATGAGGGGAGCGTCGGAGCGGGCTGCACGAGAACAGGTATACGTTGCCTCCCCCCCCGCGTTTCGTTTAGCGTTAATCGTTTGGGGTCCTGGATCGCCGGGCAACAGAGACTCTCTTGTCAGGTAACATTCAAGACGAGAGCAACACGATGCTTCACGTTGTGCTCGTGGAAATAATGGACAGGGGGCGAGAATAAGTGAAGCTGTCAGGAGGTTTCTGTACCTGTGTTATCAGAGGCCGTCATTAAACTGTCACAGCCGAGCTCGGCTTTGTTCCGCTGCCGCCCTGACCTGCAGAACTTTACATATACGCACCGGTGAGGTGTGGAGGAAGACAGGAACCCGCAGATAATGATCCAATTTAATGCATTTATGCAAATGCGGTTATCTGAACACTTGTGTTGCGAATAAAGAAAAAAGCGTGACAGAAAAGCACACCGGGGGGACGCGACAGAATGAAAGGCAGCGGCGAGGGCGGGCAGGTGGAGTCCATAGTTTCCGTGGCAACCTCTCCCATAAATGGCAAGCAGAGATATCGCGTTGCAAAGGTCAGGCTGTGTAGAGCAGCAGGAATTGCACAATGATGGAAGACAGAAGGAAGAGAGAAATAACGAGGCCGACTGTTTTAGAATATAATATATAATATATATTTTAAGCAGTGGTCGAGAGACTGGGCAGATCTTAAAGTGACAGGGTACCTTCACTGCACCTGGGGGGGTAGCAGAGGATTTCTTGTCATCTCGTGGATGTGCAGAGCATGGACAACGAGGGAGGAGGGGGAGAGGCATGGGGGAGGGAGGAGCCCGAGAGGAGCTCTGCAGCCATTCAAGCAGCCTGCTGCTCAATTAGCCAGCGCCAGCAGGAGCCAGCCACACATCTGCAGAGGAGCTAATCGGCTGGTGTTGTAATGAATTAAATAAAGAGTTTCCGCCGCATGTGCTACTGGAGAGCAGAGAAAGACAGACAGAGAGGGAGAGAGGGAGGGAGGGAGGGAGGGAGACTGAGCGAGGGCAAGGGGAGGGAGGGTGAGAGAAGCACCGGGTAAAAACACGATGAGGATACGCTGCCCCTGACGGACAGCCCGGGATGACTGGCGAGGTGGACAGGTGCACTGCAGGTGAGACGGGGTGGAAGCTTAAAACTGGGAGCTGGATGCACGTGTGTGTGTGTGTGTGGGGGGGGCTGTGCGAGGTAGGATTACGTTGCGCGCCTCGTGTGTCTATTGTGGTTGTTGTGGCAGAGGCTGCGGTAACGTTGAGGAGCCAAACTAGAACGGGGGGAGTGCGGAGGTGGGGGGGGAGATAGTAAGAGTGGTTGTGATGAGGAAAGGGGGCGGAGGTGCAGAGAGGATGACGACATGGGAAGGAGACGGGAGGTGGAGGAGGGGTGGTGCGGGCGCAGCCTGCTTTACATGCCGGTCAGGTAACGCGGCGCTTCGCTCTGTGGGGCTGCGTCCTTCGGTCGGGGGCTCAGTGTGTAGATGTTACCTGCATTCCCGCTCCTCCACCCAAAGTTCAAGCCGACCTCTCACTGCGTGCATCAGGCTCACGCTGGAGATGGCGTGACAGCGATTGACGCCTGTAAAGCGACGGCGATGACGTTCGTAACGTCTGCACAAGCCAGATGGATTCGATTAATTGACTTTGTATATCTGTGCGTAATCGTCTGTGCCCTTCGGGTCAGGAAGACCCCCCAAAAAATGTTAAGGAGGAACCCTTCTCTCAGGGTGACAGATGCAGATACCATGAGCAACACATTGCACAATGCATATTATTTAAATGATTCATATAATGAGTGTAGGAAGCAGAATAATGGCGACTGGAGAATTGTTCGATTAGCGAGCGGTCCGCGAAGGTACGTCAGGGGGGGTCGCAAAATTTTTGGTTGATAAGACAATTGTTTTGTTGTCAACTATTTTTTTCCCCACAAATGTAAATCCCTTCAGAATCTTATTTTATTTATGGTCTTTAAATACACATTAACATGAATCTAACATATTGAAGCGAACAGATAAATTGATGGAGAAGACGTCATCTGTCAGTGCGCAACACACACACACGTTCAGCTTCCCTCAGCAGCTCTCGAGCTTTGGGCACCGGTTCCCTCACTGCTCCTTTCATGCTGATACGACAGCGCAGGCACCAGCCAATCAGATCGCGTCTAAAGAGCGTGAAGCTCAAAAATAAAAGATGGCGGACCAAACTCCGTGGAATAGGGGGGTCCCTGCTCCACCTCGCCATCAGTTTGGGGTCCTTGGCTGAAGACCTCTGCTTTACCTGATGAAACACCCGACCACAAATCCCTTCTGCAGCATGAAGGACAGCCGGCCCTTTAGCTTTGTGGGGTAAAAATGAAATCATGTTGTCTCGAGCAAGTGAACAGCAATTATTTATGACTCACCGATGGAGCTTCCGAGCCGCCGTCCGTTCGGCAGCTTCTCAAGGACGAAGCTTTACTGACTGCTGCGCACAATGAATGACGCACAATCAGGTAGTCGAGGGCCAACTTCCTGTCTGACCCCTGAAAGGGAACCACTTCACCCACTTTTAATGAAGCGAGACAAACCGCCCTGCTTCAAACTATGTGACAATATCGTCTCTCTTTTTTTAAAGGTGTTTGTATTTATATGTAATGAATCATCACGGAGAATTGAACGCTTTGCTCCGGCACCACTGATGTAACTAAGAAAGTGCACAACGAGGAGCCGGGAGACCGTCTCCTCCGCGTCACATCAAAGAGATGTTACTTACATAATAACAGGCATGTGTTGGTATAAATGTGTAAGCTATGGGGCGGGAAACAGAAGCGTGGGCGGAGAGTACGCTCCGTATCGTTTTTGAGTGTCCCACTTGTCTGAGTGCATCCGAGTCTAGATGAATACGTTTTAGACAGAATCGTGCACGTTATTATTAGCTGCGACCTCCCAGCACGAAGGTGGAAACTTTTCCCTGGGGCTCGTGTTTACCCACGTTACAGGAGCATTCCTACTCCCAACGTCTGTCCCGCATCCATCGCACTGCTCTTCTAGTACCGAGGATTTAAGCAGGTAGAACGCTCCTTTTGGAAAAGGGACAGACTTAAGTAGAAAATGTGAATGAAGGCTCTCGTTCATTCAAAGACACGTCGAGCAGCAGCTTCTCAGAAGAGACGGACAACGTCCCCTCTGAAACGGCGCGTGAAGTAAAGTAAAAGTGCGCAGCTGCAATTCTGCAAACTTTGTATTTGACGTTTAGTCAACAGCTTCATCCTAAACGGTGCATATTTAACTGTGTACTTTGAGGCGACTGCAGCTCGGGGGGAAGACGGCTGGTCCTCCAATCGCAGGCTCGACCGTTTGATCCCCGGATGCTCAACTTGCTCTCCGGGGCTCCTACTGCTCCTAAAATACGTATAAATATGAATCCTCTTCAAAAAATGAGCATTCTCTTCTTTCTCATCAGCTGAATGGCCAAATGAGGGGACATTAAATGAATAAATGGATTACAACAAAGTATTAATCAGTTGAAAACATTCCCTCCGATGCTCCTGTTTACTGAAGTAATGTCGCCTTTTGTAAGGACAGTGTTAAAAATTGAAAGCTGCTGATGAAAAACCACCAGCTATCATAAATCAAATCCTGCCTGTCACTTTTTTTTTCCATCCGTGCCACAGGAGAATAATGTGCTTCGTGCAGAAGAGAAGCTGAATGCTCTGAAAACGGCCTCCACATAAGAATAAGAACTACATTTAAATAAATTCACAAACTCTGCCCAACCTTATTTTTAATCATTTTCCTTTTTCATTTCTTGTTGTTGGCCCTGGTACCGTGATGTTTTAATGTAAACCTCACATCCCACGTTCCATTTCACGTGTTACCTGTGAGGGAAGGAACACGTGGCAAGAAAACGGTTTAGAAAAAGACGACCGATGAAGCCGTTTTTCTTCCACACAGTCATCCCGGCTCCTTTTTTTTTAAAGCTCCAGTTAAAAGTGGTTTCTTTTACGTCAGAGAATTATCTAACTTCCCTCTTTCTGTCTTCCCTCTATTCTCCTTCATGAACGTCACAGCAACAACCCAACTACTGGAGCTTTAAGGTCAGTGCTGCGTGTCCAAGTGTCCCTGTGCGTTTGTCAGTCTCCTGTCCATTGTGTGTGTGTGTGTGTGTGTGTGTGTGTTCTGTGGGATTACGTCAGACTCCTCGGGCATCACCAGTCTCTTGCTCCTCTCCTTTGGCCTCTGCAACACCCTTGGCATCTCTCGTCTGGTCTGGCAGCGCGCGTGTGCGTGTGTGTTGTCGGAGGTGACGACAGTTTAAACGCCTCCGGCTGCATTTAATCTGCAGAAGACGCGTCTCTGGATTTATGATTCCTCGGCTGGCATTAACGGCCCGCAGCCATGTGACCTTACCGACGTATTACTCACACTGACTGAGACATTAAGGAGGGATTTCAGACGTGCCGTTGAGCCATTACTGAAACCACGCAGAGCCGTCGGCTCAGAGGCTCGAGTCGGGCTTGCAGAGGCTTTTGTTACGCACCGGTCGCACCGAGCCAGCGCCGGGACGTGTTGAACGTTGGCCCGGTGGGTAATGTGACTCCCTTTGTTGTGGCGTTCCACTGCACAAAGACAGACAGGGAGGTGCCTCAACGCAGCAAGTTAAGGAACGTATCTGTGTGTGTGGCGGAAGCACACAGGCGGAATCCCTGCCTACAATATCGTTCGGACGGGTTGGAAATGTCACCGAATATCAATAAGCATGTGTCCTGACCCCTGGGGAAGGCCAAGTAATTCTCCCCACGAGTACTTTAACTTCAAACGAGAGGTCAGACATCTGGAATTTAGAGGCCAGTCTATCACATAAATGAAAAAAAAACGTGTGCCTGTAACCTGAGACGAAATAAAATAAACCCTGAACCGAGCTACTACGCTCATTTCTATCTTCATACGACGATACGATATGAGCTGCACAACATGAAGTAATGCTGTAAAATTAGAATGAACTGTCTGTTGGTTCCTGCGAGGAGGCTGTGTGGATGTTCCAAAGACGCGTCCTGGGGGGATTAGGCTAATTGGCGACTCTTAATTTGAACGTTCGAGTGTCTCTATGCGATTGACCGTCTCTCGCCTGATGTTAGACTCCTGCCACCCTCAGAGGATAGAAGCCACGTTCATAAGCAGGAGAAGGGAGAGAGAATCGCTTCCAGCGTCTCCAGCTGTCCTTCTGCGCTTCACATCGACGCACTCTCCACAACGATTTGGCAAAGCCATTTGTTCCGTGCATCGACGGTACTGCAGGGGTCGGGGATTGTGTGTTCGGGCAGAAGATCTGCCCGAGAGCTGGAGAAGACGGGGTGAAATAATGAAAGGGCAGGAAAAGCAAGCGGAGACAATTGGATGGCAGAGACGGATCGATCTTATGGAGGCGGGTCACAGGGACGAGCACCTGGACGCAGCTTTGCCCGTCTTCTCTGGACGCAGCTTTGCCCGCCGGCACTAAACAGAGAGGGAGGCTGATAACGTAAAATGAGATTAGAAAAAGCTCAAGGTACAGATGATAAGAGGAGACGCGGTTGAGGTGTGAGGACTGTGATCTTCATTCTTTAACACCTGTCACTCAAGCAGTCAAAAACCTCCGTTCTCCCTTCACACGCATCGAGTCCGTCTCTGTTTCATTACAGTGGATGCAATTTTTTCACTGGTGCTCCGCTTGTTCCGTTGCGTCTTTCACCAACTGCCAACTGAGCGAACTGCAAATACATTTTTAAGTTGACATTTATATTAAATAAATGAAGAAAAAAAAATCCTTTTGCAAGGGAAAGAGGTTTGCAGACTGAATAAAGATTGAAGTGTCATAGTGGGATGAGTTGTATGTTCCCCAGCATAGAAAATACATCCATCACTTGACCTTAAACCATGATGTGTGTGTGTAGTAACAACATAGTGGGAGGTTGCAATGAGTTTAATGCAGTTTGTAGCCTGAGGTCCGTTGTCCAGCTGCCGTGTTCCTCTTTCCTTCCGTCTCAGATCCTCCCGTTCCTCCCTTCTGACGTGCCCTTAAAACAGCGTGGAGTTCTCGACAGTGATTGAGTGCTGGTGTAAAAGGTTTGGGCGGAGGGAGGGGGGGGCGTAGAGTGAGGATTGAGGAGCAACCCAAGTAGGAGGTGGAACCGGTTTCCCTCGAAGGGGAACTCCCGTCACATGACGCCGGTGCGTGCAGCGTGAGCAGATTCAGCCGATTCTCACTAAGGAAATCTCCTTTCTCCGACGTGTCTCGTTCCCATTCACACTCAAAGCTGACATTTCATTTTTATGCCAAATACATCTCACTTAGGCAGCTGGTTCCGCCACAGATCCACTTCCACGTGGTTAAACAATTGGCTTACTGGGTGCTGGATGAGACTATTTGTATCCCTCTCATGTCTGTAAAGTAAATATGAGCCGCAGGTGAGCAGCTGGTTAGCTTAGCTTGGAAAGCGGGAGGAAGTAAATAAACTCCCCACTCTGTCCAAAGTTATTAGAGACCAGCAGCTCTAAAGCGAACTGAATGCCATGACTGCTTTTATTCCCAGTGTGGGAATGAAAGTGTGAGGTTTTACTTATTATATTAAAGATGTACGATTAAGGGCAATTAAAAGACGCAACTCAAAGAGAATCTAATTTATGTACGAAAAAAAGATAAACGGCGACTGAGCCCCAATCTTACTGAGTGAAGACCTGTCCCCCCCCCACAAAGTCCCGCTGCCAGAATGTGACACCCAGCGGTAGGTGCTGCTGCTCACTGCGTCGGTCACACTTTAGATGAATGAGCCCATTAGGACACACAGTGGGGGGGGCGTCTGTCAGCATCGCGGGCTCCGACACCGCGTGCCGCCGCCATCACCGGACACCAGCACCGCGTGTGTGTGTGTGTGTGTGTGTGTGTGTGTGTGGGTGTGTGTGTTACTCGTAAACAAACGTGTGACGGCAGAGCAGCTCATCTAACGTGGCCGCAGTCACATGTCTCTACGGCTCGTTGAGTTTAGTCGCGGCTGAAAAGACTGAACCGAGTGATTGATTGAAGTCGAATGAACAAACGCTCATTTAACTCGCTGATTAAGGGGTCACATGATTAATTGGAACCGATTCATTAGGAAGCTACACGCTCTGTGAGGCTCCGTGATGCTGGGAGCTGAATGCGAACAGCAGAATGCTGACTTGTTCAACTCATCCAAACACAAAGTAAAACTAAGGCTGTACAAATTGTTATTAGTTTTTTTGTCAAGCAGCTTCTGTTTTGGACAAATCAAACCATGAATGTCTGAACAAAAATAGGAAGGCAGCCCGTCCAGAAGCCGAGGAGATGTTTTAGTGGTGCACTTAATGGCTGTTTGTGTCGTTCAGCTGAGAGGCGAGGTCGGCCGTCTGTGCATCCGCCGCCCGGCGCCAAACGAGAGCCGCAGATCATGCGCCCTCGCGCGAGAGCGGCGCCGCTGCTCTGCATCCGTCACCCCCGAACAACCAGCAGAGCGCATTCTGGGAGCTCATTACGGACGCCTCTGAGGGGGGATCAGGGAGCCAGTTCAGTGGGTCCTTCGGCGAGCAAAGGGCCGCAGGATGAACCAGCAGTGACAGCGCGGGATTCGCCCGAGCTTCTCCTCCCATCCCACGAGGATTCATTTAAAGCGGGGAGCCGCAGAGGGGCGGTGGGGGGGGTTGGGGAGGCGGGCGGTGTGCAAAGTGGAGCAAACATCACATAAGTTTATGCTCAGCTGGAGCACAGGCTTAATTTTGCTCCTTAACAAGCGTAGGTGATGCATAAAGGCGGATGCCCTGGAGCGCCGCGCCATTTGAGAACAATTACAGTGTCCTTTTTTTCAGCTTTTCTGCCGCGGCATCCGAGTGACGTCTGATACCGTGACGGCGTTAATTCTTAGTGAATGGCTGGTCGCTAATTCGTCGTCAAGGCCTCGTTAATCTCGTTATGTGGTCGATTGTGTGGCGTCTCAGTGTGCGCTCACTGTCTTGGTCCTACTACATCCGTCAATCAACCCATTCTCCTCTCTCGCCTTGACTTCACTTCCCAGTTAACGATTGTGTGTGTGTGTCCCCCTCCCCCCCGCCCTCACCCTCACGCTGCAGAGCCGCAGTCCACGGCATTCCCAGTCCACCCAGTCCGGGCTGGCCGAGCAGGCCGCCAAGCTCTCCTTCGCCTCCGCCGAATCCCTGGAGACCATGTCGGAGGCCGACATCCCCGTCGGCTTCAACCGGATGAACCGATTCCGCCAGAGCCTGCCGCTGTCCCGCTCCGCCAGCCAGAACAAGCTGCGATCTCCAGGTCAAGATTTTAACCGGCATGCCGGTCAGGGTAAACGCTGGTCCTGAGCCCACACAGAGCGTAGATCCCTCAGGTCAACTCAACTGTGTTGATGAAGGAAAACCGCACCGTTACTTTTGAGTTCAGTTAGACAAAAGGGCCTTGAGGCTGTTGCATCAGGCGAAGAGAGCTGTTGTGTGTCAGTGACTGATTGAGGTTGAGTTGAGACAGAAGTAGAACTCTCCTCTCCACGTCTACTAACCACTTCTCCCGTCTGTTATATCTAATCCACCCTGACTTTTAATCGCTGGTCTTTCTTTGCTTTGTTTGTTCTTTTTTGTTTGTCCCTCTGGTGTATGAAGATGAATATTCAGGTTAGTCAGGCGGCGCATCTTTACCTCTGAAATCAAAGGTTGCAGCATTAATAAGTTAATGACCAGCGTTTCAATTTCAATACTGAAGGGATGTCAAAGTTATAATTTTAGGATTCTCACACAGCTCCACGGCCCTTCTCTTCCCGTCTGTGACTGTTCACGCTGACATTTGATAATAACAATTGTTATCTGGATCTCGTAAACCAAAACACAAGAATCTCTATGCTTGTATCGGCACCACTGATGCCTCTAAAAGTGGACGACGAAAGCAAAGATCTGACGGAACTGATTTTGCTCGTTCTTCTTTCTCCGCCCGCCGAACCCGACCGTCTCCCCCCCCCCCCCGTGTGTGTCCCTCTTCCAGGCGTGCTGTTCCTGCAGTACGGGGACGAGACGCGCCGCGTCCACATCACCCACGAGCTGAGCAGCCTGGACACGCTGCACGCCCTCATCCTGCACATGTTCCCCCAGAAGTTGACGGCAGGTATGCTGAAGTCGCCCAACACGGCCATCCTGATCAAGGACGAGGCGCGCAACGTCTTCTACGAGCTGGAGGACATCCGGGACATCCAGGACCGCAGCATCATCAAGATTTACCGCAAAGAGCCCATCTACGCGTCGTACCCTGCTGCCGCACACCTGGCTAACGGAGACCTGAGGGTGAGGAGGAGGGAGCCGGGGGGGGGCAGAGGGCAACCGGGGTTATTCTAGAGAGGGAAAGCTGTCTGCTAGTTGGATGTTTGACAAATGAGCTGCCAGGGAGAACCGCTGTCACGCTCTGCCTGCACATGGAGAGCAGCGGTGTGTTTCTTTGGCTTGCTAACGGTGTGTTTCATGTTCCAATGGTAACTTTGACGGGCTGAATGTGGCTTATTGAACAGGTATTCCTCCTGGAGATGCATTCCTTACCTTCAAGTAGGCCATCTGTTGCCGTGCAGGCAGCGGAGAACAATGTTCCTCTGTGAAATGGGCATATTTCTGCTTCAGTGAAGATCAAGGAAGCCGGAGGGAGATCCTTTTTTTTCTCCATAATTTCCTACAAATCCGTTCCTACCATCTGCATTATATTCACACCATGCTGAGAATACAACTGCAATTAACCACGCAAACAATCAGCTTAAAACCATGTGTGTATGGTGTGTGCGGGTGTGTGTGTATATGGTGGTTTAAAATTCTTAAAGGCATGAATATAAGGAACACATCTTCATTCATTTCATTTATAGGATATATATTTGTACCTGGATGTAACATCTGTGTCAGAGGTTACAAGCTCCAGTATTTTACTGTGTGCTGCATGGTGTCACTTGCTAGTTGGCTACAGGGGGGGGGGATGAGGGATGAGATCAAAATCAATATTTCACCTGAGGAGAAATCGTTTCTATGAACAACAGAAGCTCAGTTCCCCGCCGTGATGACCTCATTTCTAGGAAAACTAATTTTAATCCTAAACCACGAATTGATGTAATCAATGAATCTGTTAAGCTCTCGTTGACATGGGAATGTGTGACCTACTGAGAACTTCTCCTTTTGTTCAGCAACGGTTCTCTTTGCTTTCATTCTGTCGTTAATAAATAAAAAAAGAATAATGAAATAAGCGTGACGATTATAATTGGTCTTGAGAGAAATGCATCGTCAGCGCGCTCCGTCTCAGCCGTCTTCTCGTGAAACGGACTCGCGGGGAGCCGCCGCCGCGCTCCCATCCGCACGTCTCCATGGTAACGATGCTCCCTGCTTGTTCCTTTCCAGAGGGAGATGGTGTACTCCTCTCGCGACTCCTCCCCGACCCGCCGCCTCAACAGCCTCCCCTCCTCCACGGCCCCGGCCTCCTCCGGCTCCCCGTCGCGCTCGCGCCTCTCCTACAGCGGCGGCCGCCCGCCGTCCTTCGCCGGATCCCACCCCCAGCACGAGCAGTCCCGGCACCCCCACCATCCCGCGGCCGGCCACGCCGCCAACTCGGGCCTGTCCCCGTCACCCAGCGCCATCCTGGAGCGCCGCGACGTGAAGCCCGACGAAGAGGTCTCCGCCAAGAACATGGCGCTGATGAAGAGCGAGGGGCTGTACGCGGACCCCTACAGCCTGATGCACGAGGGCCGCCTCAGCATCGCCTCCACCCAGTCGCTGGCGGCCATCGGGGACCCCTTCAGCTTCCCCGTTACCAGCGGCCTGTACCGCCGCGGCTCCGTGCGCTCCATCAGCACTACTCCGCCGCCGCCGTACCAAGGGGACCTGGAGGACTCCCTTTACAAGCCCGGCGGCTCGCTCTACTCGACACGTACTCCTCGGCCACGCTGGGGATGGGCTTTCGCATGCCGCCCTCGTCCCCGCAGAAGATCCCCGACATGCAGATGAGAGACAGGGACTCGTATTCCAGCTCCCCCAGCAGAGCCTCACCCGTCAGGCAGGCCTTCCGCAAGGACTCGGCCTCCTCCTCTGTGTTCGTGGAGAGCCCCAAGTCGAGGCCCAGCTCCGGCTCGGAGCCTCTGTGTCTGACAGCCGGGCCAGGGGAGGGCGGCAGGGCCACGCCCGGCTTCGGTTCCTCGATGTCTGGACAGGACCCAGACAGCAGCAGGTCAGTACCAGTCTGTGTGGGGGAAATGGACCTGATGCATCGGAACGTTTTTTCTTTTCTTTAAATGACCTAACTTCCTGTTATCTTCGGCGGTTCGGCGATTGATCTGTGGCCGTTACGTTTGCAGGGATCATCGTCTGGAGCGTATGGAGGCGATGGAGAAGCAGATAGCCAGCCTTACTGGCCTGGTCCAGAGTGTGCTGACCAGGGCACCAGACAGCGACAGCACGTAAGAGCCCCCGTTACACCCCACTAACCCTCTGAAACTCACAGATACGGCTTCAGGTCAGACACATGGGCAGCATTATTGACAGGAGCATGAAGCAGGCAATTAGCAGAGGCATTACTTTGTGTGAGTACCGAGCACTAAACATCAGCTGCAGGGCACAGAGCTATTGATTCATGCCGTGAAAAACATAGAGATGTGTGAGATAGCTTTTCACTAGATTTTGAGTTTACAACTGGAACAGTGTTATCGTTGGCTTCTCCGCCTCATGAACAAGACGATAACTTGTTAGTGTCCAGCAGTAGCGCTGTTAGCGTTAGCACTGTAATTGCCTTGCCCTGTGGCCGTTGATCCTCAGATGCGGCCTGCTGCGTCTCTGCATGATGGCGGGCTGCCCTCCGGACCAAGGGACGGAGTTCTCACGGACATTACCTTTCTCTTCCAGCGAGAAGACCGATACCAACAGTGACGGCTCCGCCACCGGAAGTGAGTACAGCGGCGCGTTCGGGGGGCCGGTGTTAGCGATCCGTTACCGGCCTTCTTGTTTGCTACCGCCACTGCTGACCCGTGTGACTTAAATCACTCTGTCACACTGTCTGTGTCGCCTTTAAGGGCGTAGTTTGGTTCATGAGGTTCCAAATCAGGAGAAAACAATTCTTCATAGTTGCTTTGCAGCTCTGGTCCAGTTTGCATTTACACTGAACTGACTAAGAGCTTTAAACATGAATCAGACTAAATCTGATTGGACCGACCATATTCTGGCGATTTCTTTTGACTTAATGCCCAAATCGCATAGACACAGTCAAAATGTACTGCGTTCTGACCACAAGAGAGCCCCTCGTTTACCGCAGCAGAGTTCGACTGACATCCTCCCCCCTCCCCAAAAGAACCACGTCTTTGACGGATTGGCGCTGGTCAGGTTTCCACCTCATTCATCCCTCCCTTCTGTTTCTCTCTTTCACTTTATTTCATTCTCCAGACAAGTTTAATTCCAAATGACTCACTTACCATTTACATAAGAAGGCGGCCGGTCAAATCCACTTTTTATAGAACCGTTAAAGTTAGAGGCCATCGAGGCTTTAAAGACTCACTCCAATAGATGGACACACGGTGATGAGTATTCAATGAATTTGTCCACCTCGGGGTCGTTTTTAGCTCACTGAGGGAAAATACCGGCGAGGCTCTGAGGAACATGAGAATAAAATACACGTAAATATGTAGCTTCTAACAGCTCAAAGCTGTTTAAAGGTACCTCCTCAGAGAGCTATTAAAACGGAGAGCTTTACGAGGCTTCATTATGTCCATTTTTTTACGATCGTGGATGCATAGATGCATCAAAGCGTGAGCCACGGTAGCGTCGTATATACACGCTGCAGCATTCCTGCTTCTGTGCCACGTCCTTAATGTTGTAGCGAGTCTGCAGCTGCCCGTGAAGCTCCCTCACGGCACGACGCCTCCCAAAACACCGAACATTTTCTCTGGTGTAGTTTATAAAAAAAAAATCAGCGTTTTGTAAGTATGAACTTTAAAGACTTTCCTTTGACTCTCTATCACCCTCCCATTAATCCACCCGGTAACCGGCGCACTCTCTTTACATTCCAGCTGGACGGCTGAAGCAGAAAGGTAGTCGCCATCTCCTCCTCTGTCGCCCTTTCTGATCTCCTCTCCTCCGCCTCTCCTGGCTCTCCGCTCTCTGTACGGGGTGTGTGGTGTTGCCGGGTAGCTGGCAAAGTCTATCCTCACATTTTCCTCCTGGCTGGTTTCCCAGAGAGAACCTCGGCCCTCCACCACCCCCCCCAACCCCCCCTTCTGCCACCAACCCCGTGCTGTCTCTACTTTTTGAAATTTATGCTCAGGCTCTCCCTTTGGGCATTTCAGAAAGTTGTTTTTGTCACAGACTTGGATCTCTTTCATTAATGTGTGTGTGAGAGAGATTCCATAGTCATACTCACAGGGCCCTGTGTGAAGATAAGAGCATGACTATCCCCCGTGTGTCACCACTGAACAGACTAATTGCACCTCTGTATGGGTTACTAATAGCATGAGCTCTCATTTCTCCCAGTGGGCTTTCAGGGTCGTGTGAATATGGTGCTTTTTTAGCATTCACACTGTATTTGTTGCAGTGTGTGAATGTGCCCAGATGTTCTATTTACATGCATTTATTTGTAGCTCTGTGTGTGTGTGTGTGTGTGTGTGTTCCGCGTGACAGAAAGTCTCACGAAAGCACACGCCAGCAAACTGATCAATTTGTTTCCCCCCGACGACCCCCCGCGGTGACGCTCTGTGTCCCGCTCTGTGATTGGCAGCTCACACGCCGTCGGCCCCGCTCGCTCTGATGCCGCCGCCCCCTTCCAACACAACGCCGGTGAACGGCGCCTCGCGCCTGCAGATGCAGCTCCACCTGCACGGCCTGCAGCAGAATGCCACCGACCTGCGCAAACAGCTCGGCCAGCTGCGCAAAACGCAGGTACAGAGTGTATCCATCGAGAAAATCTCTTCTTCTCCCATATTACGACCCATGTGGTTCACTATTTGTGGCATGTGTCCAGCTTAATATTTAGAATATTGAAGTAATGTTCTCCTCGGATTCACTCTTGATTCCCTTGTAAATGCACAGCTGTAAGACGCCAAAGTCCCGCCCAAAACTACCAAATTAGTCTTCTTTATATGAATGCTTTTATTTTTCTAAATGTATTCCACAATGTAACATTTTCATGATATCAAAAATACTATAAAATATTGCAACACACACGTGTTTGTTTATGCAGCATCGCCGGCTTTGATGTTTATTTGATCTTCTCTTCGATACTACAACTACAGTAAATAACACCAGCAGGTTCACACGCAGAGCTTTACTGCATGAGGTCCACATCGAAGGCATCGTACCTTCAGAGGATTCCTAATAAAATCGAATGAGTGGAAGATAAAAAGTACGGTGTTGTATTCAACAAACGACGCGTGCAAGTTAACGGCGACGCGGCGCTCATTTGCTCCATCTGCGGTGCCATGGTTACAGCGGGAGGAGAGCGCGAGTTAAACTGTCACCGGCAGAGGAGGGAAGGAAGCACTAATGAGAGCGACAGACGAGGGGATTTTATTTCTTCCCCGACAGCAATCACACGAGCTTCTTCAAACGGTTAACCAGTGAGGGGTCCGGGGGGATAAGAGCGAGACAATGGAAGTGGTGCTGTCAGAGGACAGAGGACACTCTTGCTGTGTACCTGTATGTGCGCTCAAGTGTGACCTGTGCACCTGGACAAGTACAGTTTCCCGTGGCGATGGCAAGCAGCTTAAATGTTACATGCTGCTCATAACTTATTCAAAGACCGTGTGCAGAAGAGACAGGCAACACAATATTGAAATAATTTTTCTGTATACATTAATATATTTTTTAATTATTTAATCCTACTCCCTGTGTTTGCCGTGATGCAACAGCAGCAGTTTTAGTCGTCTAACTGGGGAATACTGGGGAATGTTTGTGATATGGTGTCGTGTCTCACATCGTGGAACATGAGGCCGATCAATTATTCATTTTTTTCTTGCTTACCAGGTGTTTTTCAATCCAGGGAGTTGTATTACATGGAATAGTCCTGCAGAATATTCCATTCATAACACTGAGAAGGAGTCGAGTTCACGCTCAGTGCTTCTGTGCACGTCAGCCTTCTTTCTCCTCGGGGCAGAAGAAACGTTGTACGCACACACACACACACACACACACACACACACCACAGAGGAAACCACTTGCTAGCGGTGCTTTCGAGGCGAAAGACTCAAAGCTATTTGAAGCCATGGCTGCCGGGGGATACGTTAGCAAAACGTTCTTGTGGCAGTAAAAACAAGAGGCCACGACCTGCGATTCTCCTCTTCCACGTCCCGTTGTCACGGCAGATTTTTATTAAAAGTAATATTGACTCAAGTGTCTTTATCTCTTAACATTGTGAGTGGATGTGCTCGTGCAGATGGAGAACCAAAATTCAGTGCGAACTCTGCTGAAGCGGACGGAGGCGGAGCTGAAGGTGCGCGTGGCCGACGCCCTGAGGAAGCAGGAGGATCCCCTACAGAGACAGCGCCTCCTGGTGGAGGAGGAGAGACTCAAGTACCTCAACGAGGAGGAGCTCATCATCCAGCAGCTCCAGTCAGTGATGGGATCATAATGTCCTTAGTTTTTATAATCAAGACTAATTTAAAAAATGAGCCAAGAAACATATATGCACTTGAGTTAAACAGGAAATACACGCAATACACTGACATTTATCTGGTTTCAAACGAGTGTTATCACATATTTCATAATTGCTCCAAACGTGACGAAGTCTGTTTTATAATTACGCGACTTGGAGGGGAGGAAATTGTAACTGTAATCCAAGCCGGGCGTAGAGCAAGATGCTTATTAAGATCTGAGGTATGAGACGGTCCAGCGACTAATTGAAGTGACGGCAAATCCAGAGTTGAGAGCTACCCTGAGATTTAATAATCCGATTGCTCGCATCCGTCTCAAATGTGGAAACGGTCTGCTGGTAACAAATCCTGGGTCTCCGTTCCTGGATCTGACTCCGAGCGGCGCTTTGATTGCAGACTAATTGGTTGAACCGTCAGATGATCTCTGTTAATCAATGCGGCTTACTCAGCCTGGCTAATAGACCATTTACTTCTGGTTAATTATACAGGGAGCTTTGATTCATAACATAACTTAAGGAGGGTTTCTGAGCAGACCAGACAAGCGCTCGATACCCGAGCCGACTCACATTTCAACAGATTCTTTTAAAACTTTTGAGCGCCCGCCCCCACACACACAGAACCACGAACCGTCGCTCTCCCTGCCAGTCGATTGAGAGACAGCTTATTGGCCGAGGTTTTACTGGAACCCTTAACGAAAGTCAAAGTGTAGCCGAGGAGTCCCTGGTGTTCAGCCCGTCTGTCTGTTCCATCTCAGCGACCTGGAGAAGTCCGTGGAGGAGATCCAGAAGGAGTCGTCTGTCAACCACAAGCTGGTGCCGGTGGCGGAGCTGGAGGAGAAGGCCGCTCTTCTGAGGAGGCTGGGAGAAACACTCGCGGAGCTGAAAAGTGAGTCCCGGTCGGGTGAAATAAGAGGGATCATTGTCTGCATGCACCCGCTGAAAGGTTCCTTTCCGATTAGTACAAGAGGAATGGGTTTGTTTGTGTTGGGTTTCTCTTGTCACTTCTCTTCTTTCTCCCGCAGGTCAGTTCCCGGGTCTGCAGAGCAAGATGCGGGTGGTGCTCAGGGTGGAGGTGGAAGCCGTCAAATTCCTGAAAGAAGAGCCTCACAGGCTCGACGCCCTTTTGAAGCGCTGCAAGACGATAACCGAGACCCTCGCCACCATGCGCAGGTATGAGCATGACAGTTTTAAAGAAGCTGAATGTAGATCAAAGTCTTAAAAACGATTCCATCTTTAGACAGTAGAAGAAATCCTACAAATACTGATGCATGTTCTTTTCTGGCACGGTGACACTTACAGTGAAATATGCACCCATTCGTAATCAATTCCACGATGCCTTTTCTATTTGTACCTCTGCCAAGGAGATTATGTTTGTGAGTCAGCAGAACATTATGGATTTTCCTAGAACACGGTGGACAGGCCGGCCTCGGACAGAGGGCAAATTGATTAGATATCACTGTTGAATCGGATGGGATATGTCCGCTGTTTAACATTTACTGCTACCGCCATTTAAAAAGCTTAAAAAGCAGAAACGGGGCGTTTCTGTCGTCCATCTCCCAATCCGCCGCGTGTCCCAAAAAGCATGTTCCGGTTTAATTAACCTCACAGATCAAAAGAGCTTATCAAATTCCCTTCTCCTCTCACTTCAAGTCCCGGATTAAACACGTTTGTTGCGTTTCAAAGAGTCGTTTGATGAGTCCATCTTCCGTGTGCTACCAGACAAGCTAACGAGGGCGTGTGGAAGAAGCAGGAGGACTTCTCTGGTCCTTCGTCGAAGCACAACGACGACATGCGCAAGTTCTCGGACTTCGACGTCTCCGGCAGCCCGCTGCTGACCATCAATGACCTCGGGGTTGGCAACAGCCTGTCCAACTGGAGCCCCCACGCCAGCCTCAGCCGAGGCCACGGGAGCCTGTCCGGCCCTCACAAGGACAATCATCCTCCGGTCCCCCACAAGGGCAAAGCCCTGGAGGAGCTGGAGCGCCGGGCTTTAGCCGACAAAGCTTTATCCGTGGAGGTCCGACTGGTAGGAATTGTTCCGTCTGTCTTTCACCACAGCCTCACCAATCGCATCGCAACACCACGTTGGCAAAGCGCTCCAATCCGTCTCTCGACCCCCCCCGCAGGCGGCAGAGCGGGACTGGGAGGAGAAGCGGGCCAGCCTGACCCAGTACAGCGCCCAGGACATCAACCGGCTGCTGGAGGAGACACAGGCCGAGTTGTTGAAGGCCATTCCGGACCTGGACTTTGCTGCCAAGCAAATAAAGCCGCCCTCCAACGCGGCGTCCGCCCAGAACCCGCAAAGTGGGGGAGGAACCGCGGACCACCGCGTCAGCAAGCCCCAGCACAAGCTGTCCGGCAAAGAGGGGGGATCCCGGCGGGGCTCTGGTGAGTGGCGGTTCGGTCCGCATCGCTTTTCCACTTAAAATAGACCACGTTTCACTCAGAGTGAACACGTCCCCCCCGAACCGAAATGCAAATATTATAACGCCTACAAACGCCTCGTAGCTTGTTCTAAAATGCATGCGACCTTTCCTTAGATGAGCTGACGGTACCGCGATACCGCACAGAGAAACCCTCCAAATCTCCTCCTCCTCCGCCGCCTCGACGCAGCTTCCCGTCTTCTCCGGGCCTCACCAGCCGCAGCGGAGAGCCCCTCATCCCTGGGAAAAGCATCAAGGTAAAACGGAGACGATTGGTTTGGTCTACGTGCGTTACATGATGAGGGATTGCGGAAACCGTTTCCCGGGGATGTAAATGTCAACCGATTAGTTCAACATGAAGGTCGTTTGTGCCGAGCTTATTGTTTTAAGAGCAAGAGATTGTGTTTGAGGCTTCGGACTTTTTTTCTGCCTTTGCGACCGCAGAAGTCCGAATCTGAGGAGGCCGAAGCCCAGAAGCTGCACGTAAAACTGAGGCGGACCGTGTCGGAAAACCCCCGGCCTGCGTCCACACCCCCCACCCTGGCCTCCGGGGACAAGGAGGACAGAGAGGAGGACAAAATCGCTGCCGAATTAGAGGTAAAACACGGGTAGTGAATCGTGTATTACGGTGATTGTAACCTCGACACGTTGTTGCTCAACGACTTGGAAAACCTGCGCTTTTTTAATCGTTTATGTTGCGTCCACAATCTGCCGCTGGGTTTTTCGTGCTCCCGAGCCGACGCGCTCACCGCCGTTTACCACATGTTCAAGCAGCAGGTGCCATATGGCGTCCGTGCCCCCCGGCGGCCGAGGGGCCCGGAGATCACGCACTGCTCCGTCACACACATCATCACCCAAGGCCCACAGATCACCGGCAGACAGATGGACCCTGATGGCTGCTTGGACCGGGTTTCAGATGCGCTGCCTGAAACTTGATGGAGCACGGAGTCAACAAACAGCAGATTTTGGTTGTTCGCTGGCTGCTGTGTTTGTATTCCGCGGTTTTATTGCAGCTTTCAAACCTCCCTCTTCCCTCCACAGCTGTTTGAGAGAGCCCCTCCCCTTGTCTGCCCTCGCAGCAGGATGAGTGCACCCCTCTGCGGCACGGACCCGTGGCCCCCCGAGGCCCCGGGCGCTGAGGTAGACCCCCCTCTGGCGGACCCTGAGTGCCGTGGAGTGCTGCCTTCTATAAACCTGATTTTCTCTTCACCGCACCAAGAAACCGCCGTCCGCGACTCAGCCCAAAGCCGCATCCGATCCTCTTATCTCTGCAAAGTAGAATAAACACGACCGTTGGCTTTAAGGTGCTTTTGGAATACGCCAAAGTAAACAGCCACATTTAGTGTGTGGTTAACGGTGGCGAGAGACTGACTAACAAACCAACCACCGATGTAGTTAATTGAAAGTGTGATCGTTTGCACACACACATTTTTATGGGACATAAAAATATTAAAAAACATTCATCAGATAAAGCTGCAGACGGCGTCATACCAAAACTAAAACTAAAACCGCTGCGTCTTCTGTTGGGGTTCTGAGTTTGCAGTGATCCCACGCAGCGAGTTTGTACTGCAGCAAAGTCCAGTTCATTGTGTTCACATTTAAACCCCGAGTGCTTTCCTCAATTTGTAGGGAAGCCGCTTGTCTCCAGAGGAAAGGGATTCCTCTAGTAGCCCCCCTCGGCGAGAGCACAGCTGTCTCGGGCAGGGGGTGGCGTTGCTCCTGACACAGCTGGAGGTGAGGGTGGTGTCTCCGGTGGAGGCCCAGGAGTTCAGCAGAACCTTAGGACCCGCTCTGCTGACCCTCATCATCTCCCCGCACACTCACGAAGTCCCCGCGGTGCAGCTGAGGGTTCGGCCACTGCTTGTGCTCCTCAGGAGTGGGCGGGGCGTCAGGGACGCCTACGGGATGCTGCATTCCCTTTTGGAGTCGTCCAAGCCGGCGGCCAAGCCCAGAGCGGGACGCTCCCTCCACCCGGGCCAGCAGAGCTCTCTGCTGGAGGCTCTGAGGAGGGGCATGGAGACGGGGGAACCCGTGCTGGCGCTTCGCCGCGGCGATGGGGCCGAGACTCCGGGGGCGCAGCAGACATCGGCGGACACGGAGCCCGGTGAGTCCGGCCCCTCTGCGGACCGGCAGAGGACGACGAGAGACGCCTACAGGCGGATGGACAGCTTGGAGGAAACCATCCGTGAGCTGGAGAACACCTTGATCGAGATCAGCGGCCACCCGACTGCCGAGCAGCTCTACGCCGAGACGGCGAACGCCAAGCCGCCGGTCCCCCCCAAGCCGTCCTCCTTCAGGCCGCCGTCCATCCAGGTTCACTGACCCCCGGGGGGACTCCTGCTCTGAAGCAGCACGCTCTGCTTTCTGTCCTCGCTGCTTCTCTCTGGGTGTCTGTCGGAAACTTCACTGTCTTCTGATCCTCTGATGTCTGCTCCCTGACCAAATTTAATTATTTTTTATCCAATTTCATAACAGGGGACAGACGACAGACGTCCTCTCAGCTCGTCTCTCCTGCTGAGCCTCATTGTCTTCTCCTCCGATCTGTCCTGACATCTGTTTCCCGCAAACTATCAATACGACAAATGCACAGATGATACAAATATCTAAGTTTCTCTCTCTTTTTTTCCCACCTCTCTACATTTGATCTTTTCATCTTTGTTGTGTCTCGTTATTAAGTCTCAGAAATCGTTTTAAGCATATTGATGATACGTCGAGGTTGATCTGCTGTTCAGTATTTAACTCAACTTAGATCTGCAGTTGACGTGTTAATACAATTTGGGGAAAAATAAGATAAAAACATGCAACTTCAACACGAATCTTACTGCTCTGGAACCTGTATGAAATCCGTGGACAACTATCACACGTTGTCAGGCGGCTTTCTTTAGCGCTTCCGGTTGAGCGCGACACTAGATTAGCGATAATCAAAAGACGTTAGCGTTCCCGTGTCTTGACAGCTCGCGCGGTGGATTCCCACGCCGCCTCGGGGGGGGGGGGGAGGGGGGCGGCAACGCCACGACTGGAGCACCGCTGTGTCGCGCCGATTCACCGCCCTTCAGATGTGGAGACGGAGGGGCGCGTCCCCGTAGGCGCGGCCCGAGCGTTACAGCGTCCCCGCGCCATGTTTCATCACTCCGACTTCCACCGCCCCCTCACACTTCAGCGGCCCCTCTCCCCCCTCCTGTCCGACGCTCGCTCACCAAATCCACGCCGACAAGCGACCCGCTTTCACGCCTCACTACGCCGTTTTTTTTATCCGCACAAAGCACTGAGGATGCTGCAGATGTTGTGTCGGCGTGTCTCATCTTTTATTAGATTTTCTTTCAGCTCGTGTCTCAGTGTACAGAAGAGGAACGGTGGGACGGAGACATCCACTGGGTGTGTGTTTGTTTTTGTGCGTATTAGAGAGTAACTCAGCGGGAGGAATCATTTAGTGCGCGGCCTCGCGGATCCCGCAGGGCGCCGTGACTCTTGATGCCGCGTTTCTTTATCTGCCCTTTTCTCATTCGCTACTGATGCACGGCGAAGCGCGTTGTTCAGCTGGGCAAAGAAGCGCGTCCGAGGTCTGAATCCAGATGTCTCTGCCGTCCTTTCAGGGAGGGAACAGCTCGAGCCTCGGGAAGGTCCTCCACTCCTCGGCCGCCTCCAAACTGAAGCACCTGCAGCAGAACAGCACAGACAAGTCTAAGAGTGGCAGAAGAGAGGACTTCCTGAAGACCCAGCACCAGGTATTTTCTTTATATTTAGCCCCGTCCAGGCCCCAACCGTTTTCTCAGGGAATTTAAAATTAGGCTTGCATGGAAGCGGGCGTAAGAAAGGGGAAGATGATGCTGAATCTGAAACTGGGCCGAAGTGATGCAATGATCTGTGTCTGTTGGGCCTCAGATCGAGCACAAATTGTCCTTAACCATCACGCTTCACCTCCACTCGCTCCTCTCCGCCCCCCCCACATGTCACGTGATGTGTGATATTTAAAATATCCGCTTTATTCTCTCTGTATGCCGCCGCAGCAGGAAAGAAAAGGGTCAGTCTCATAAACGGAGGCGGGGAATTTCTCCATGTGTGGAATTCAGAGATGAGGTCAAAGGTCACTGAGACCTCGTGTCCACGTTCTCGAGAACACCTCGAGCAAATGTTTTCTATTTTGCTACGAACGTTGAAACTTTTAGGCCATAATCTAGGTGTAGCGTCCCTTCAACTTGGAATAAACAGGCTTGGGAGTGTTTCCAGACGGGTGCACTTTAATTCAGACGAGTGTGCACAGCACCAACACCAACAGCGTGAAAACTAAAAGGGGAATAACAAAGGCAATTTAGCCAGATACAAAATAATCCTTTGACAAATGCACTTTAGCATACAGGGATAACAGCATAGCAACAGTCATTATATGAAATGAATTCACATGAAATACAATTACAATGAACCACATACCTCGCTCCGCATATCAAAGGGTGCTATAAAGTGGTAATCCAGGGAACGCCGCCGCCATTAGCTTAAGTTAGACATTAGAGAGCTAGTTAGCAACTTAATAAATCATTCTCAAACTTTACTGCCAAAGCTAATCAAAACCCTGAATGATATAACACTTTACAAGTTTACACTTTAGTTTAGTCCAAACCTGCATTGTCTTGTAACGTGGCTTCTCGTGTTTTCTATTGTACAAATGTGAGCGTAAGCATGAGCGATTAATCACGTGTGCAGATAGTATGATGTCAAAAATAAAAGTCACATAAAATCAAAGTGGAAAACAGCATCATCAAAATAAAAAACACTGCTAGTGGTCATTTACTCTGGGAATTCACATGGTAATTATGACAACTTCACACGCCTCACAAGATGTTGGATACGGTTCATGATTCATCTCGTTTAACACAAGTTTAGTTGGCGGCTTAACAAAACTGTTTTCATCTGTGGAAATATTAAACCATCTAGTATCTAGGAACAATTAAAAACAATTCTAAAACACCTTTACTGAGCATCGAGTATCATCACCATACAACCTTTTTAAGTTGGATCAAATCTTAAATCATCCCGGTCACAAATAACTAAAAGCAGGTTCGGTGGTTCGAGGCCTTTAATATTTAATAACCGGCATCAGAAATGTCGAAGGACTGATGTTTATTACATACATTGTTTTATAAATATGCCTAATTGCTCAACAATTGTTTTCATTAGTTTCAATCTGCCAGCATTTCGTTGGCATTAAAAAGGTAAATGACTGGACACAGAGATGCTCGGTGGCCTCCGGAGGCCAGCAAATGAAACTGTTGAAGCGCGTCAGTCCTGTAAAGCTAAAAGAAGATTTCTGCACCACTGTGCACTGGGGGGGGGGGAGCTTAATGTCAGCGTAATTTGAAAAATAACAGGAGCAGTGGAGTGAACTTAAACCTTCATAGCCCGCTGAATTTGAGAGATTCCGACTCAAATGCAGCCGTGGAGATTGCAGGGAAGTGGACGTGGTACTGGAATGAAGCTTTGGTCGCCTCAGACTGAGAGAAGATTGAGAGGAATCGCTGCCTCGTGGGATAATCGCCCCTTGAGCGCGTGGCAATCACTGATTATTCAATATGAAGAGGACAGCTCGCTCTTCTCCCCACCATTAAGTCTCTCATGCTCCCGCTTCTTTATGTCCTTTTCCGTCTTCCATTTTCTTTACTCTGCCCGTTTGTTCCCCCGTCGGCCTCTTCCTGCGAGAGCTCAAAGCGGCGGCGCGGGAGGTCGGAACCGAGACGCTTAGTTTGGTAATAATAATAACTGAAAGAAACAAAAAACAAGCAGTAGACGGTAACTTGAAGTCGGAGGTGTAAGTGGAGAGTAGTTCTCTCTACTGGTGGGACGTCCCAAACCGATGAGGTCAAACTCGTCTCATCGGTAGAATCCATCCTCGGGTCCACTGTCTGCAAACGCCTTGTTATTGAGCTGTGACCGAAAAAAAAAAAAAAAAAGCCACCTCGGTTATTCCCCTCGCCCCTCATTGCTGTTGTTCTGACAATCAGACGTGCCCCCCCTGGGTGACCGCGCTGCTCGGCCCACAGATGAAGGTAACGCTGTCTCTTCTCTTATACCTTTCCTGGACGCGCTTCCCCGACGTGACCCCAAACTTTTCCCCAACGTCGTTCCCATCGGTGTGTTTTCTTCCCTTTGTTTCTTCATCTAAATAAATCCATCTGAATATATAAATTGACTGATTATGGATATTTACCTCTGAAAGCATCTCAAGCAGCCGGTTAAGGCTGAACTCTTCTGTGAGGTCAGATGTCATCCGTGTGTTCAAATCAACGGTGCCCCCCCGGGTCACATGTATTAATCAATCAGTCCAGACGTGAGGCTCCTTTAAATCAGCCTGCTGAAGACAATTTCTCCCCGTTTGCTTTGGCGCAGATCTTCTCGCTCTCGTACAGAACTAAACCCCATAATCCCTAAATGTAAACCTTTAAAAAAAAAAAAAGCCACTTAGAAAAACTCAGAAACTTAGATAGAACTCACAAACTAAGAGACAAATACCTGCTGTTCTGAATGTGTCCCCCCCCCCCCTCATACTGTTGGAACGGTGCCACCTGCTGACCGGCGGCAGCGTTACAGGGATCCGACGCGTGACGCCGGCTGCCGCTCCGAATATTTTGCATCATCTTTTTAATGACATAAAGTCATTAAAATGTGTCAAAATATAAATGTGTGCTTCTCATTGTCCTGTGGCGTCGCATCACTGAAGGTGTGTTTATCAGTGCTTTGGTCAACATGAGTGGCGCTGCCCCCCCCCGCCGCCCCCCCCCCACACATGCTGATATCAACCTGAATAACAATCTCCTTTGTCTCTTGTTCTCACCCTCCCCCCCCCTCCCCAAACCCCCCCACACCCACTACCCGTTTCTTCCGGCACTCGTTCCTGCGGTCGACCTCGCCCACCCCGCCTGTGATCTCATGCCATCCTGCAACCCCCCCCCCCCCTCACCCCCGCCTCAACATCCTGCCCTCCCGCTGTGCCGCTGCAGCAGTGAGCGACCTGTCCGTGTCCCCGCAGGTAGGGAGCGACTCCCATCTGCCCCCTTTAAAAAAAAACTTTTAGCATCTTCACTCACATCTGCAACATTCTCCACCAAACCCCGGCCTGTGTATGTGTGCGTGTGTGTGCGTGCACGTGTATGTGTGTGTGTGTGTGTGTGTGTGAGCGCGGGCGTGTTTGACTGCAGTGGGAAGGGAAGGTGATGCTGGGGGGGGACAGTGGCCAGCCAATTTTACAACATTAATTTTTCATGATTTTCCCTTTTGATCCCTGCAAACCTCCACGCCTCACCTCCTCTCCCCCCTCAACTCCTCTCCCCCCCTCACCTCCTCCCCCCTCCCCTCCTCTCTCCCGTGTCCCCGCTCCACCTGAAGGCCTTGGGGACCAACAGCACCGGTGGCAGTATTGATCCGATCCTCTCCAGTATCAAAACGGGACTTTTCTCGGGCCGAGTGGCCTCTCCTGCGGCAGCGTTTGCCCCCGGCCTGAGGAAGTACCCCCAGGAGGGAGCAAAGCCCCCCCTGTCGCCCTCCTCCAGCCAAGCCAAGGCCCTGCTGGTGAGCCTGTCCGCCTCCGGGCTGAGTGCCGAGGCGCTGCTCCTCTCCTCCACCCTCCGCCATCGCCGCCTTCTACGTGAGCAGCGAGCATCCTCCCTGCCGCTGCCCAGCAGCCGGTCCTCCCCCGGCACCCCCACCGCCTCGTCCCCCACCTCCTCCTCTTCACCCACCACCCCGACTCCTTCCCTCTCCCCCTCCTCTCCCACCGCTTTGGCTTCCCTCTCCCCCGCAGCCCCCAAACCCAGCGGTTGTAGCTCCAGCCTCAACAGCAGCAAGGAGGGGGGCAGCGAGCGCGTGAAGACGGGCCTCGCCTCTGGGAGCTCTCGCTGATGACGAGGAGGAGGACGAGGAGGACACGGGAGGATTCAAGCACCATCGCATCATGAACCATAAGGAGGCAAATGATGAGAAATCTACATTATGGGGACATCCAGCTTATTTTTCTTCTTGTTTTCTCCTCTTTCTTTCTACTTTCGGCCTCCAGTATGTTTTCACATTTTCACGGCAAGGACTCACAAACTATAAACAAAGTCACAAGTTTCCTACTCTGATCTGACTCCTCTGCAGTTCCCCCCCCCACGCCGCCATACTGCCAGTTTGCCAGATAGCGAGTGCACAAACGCCCCCCCCGGCTGTTGCGGTCCGGCTGGATTTAGTAGCAGCCTCCTGTAGCCCAGCAGGGTCCTCGTAGGAGTGGACGTCGCGTGTGGACTGTGACTTTTATCAGAGCTGCAATAATCGCCAAGTGAGTCCGGTGGTCGTGTGTGTTCAGGTTAATTATTGCTCTCGCTCACCTGCGTCACCCGACCGACAAAACCCAAACAAACACATCCGGAGCAGATCGAGGTGATGATTGTGGCTTCACGCTGTTTGTGTCAAAAGGGCATTTGTGGCTTTTCTGGCACCACGGGTGTTTTAAACTGAACTGGTGCTATATTTTCTCCCCCCGTTTGTACACACCGAGGAAAGAGTTAAACCTGCGCTTTGTGTCACCGCTACATTCACATGAATATTCACACAAAGTCCAGGAACAACCGCAGGAAGTGCACGACTTTAAGGCGATAGCGGACTCACAAAAGCACATCGTAGGGAGCAGCGTCATTGCAGCACATTTGTATTTGTAACATTTGTATTTGTAACGGGACCGGGAGGACGAATGCGAGCGGGGCAGCAGCTGCAGAGGCGTGTTGAACTCCTCTATATGTGTATTAACTAGTTAATTATGACAATCAGGATGTTTCCGCTGGCGCTTTGAGCACCTGGCATCACAAACCTTCCCAAAGACTCAAGCACACACACACACACGCACACACAGTGATGAATAGCACACACAAACCGTCACGCATTCTGAAGCCAAGGCTCGACTAGTATTCTGTTTGGTGGTTTTGTGTCTGTGGAAGTAGAGCACTCGCACATCGAGTGGTTTCCTTTTGAGGTCTTTGTCTCGTTTGATCCTCAAGGTTGCTCTGATGGCGAAGTTGCTTCCGAAGTATTTAGCAATTTGCAGGTCTCATTGTAAATTGTAACACCTGCTTTGAACAGGAAGAAATATATGTCTTTCACTGCGGTGAACTGACTGCACTTGAACATCTTTGGCGCCGTCTCAACCCTTCTGCGTCGTTTGACACATTAACAAAGTTAATCAGCATCTATTCAGACACACTTTGTCTCCTGAAGGACCTGATTAAAATACATAGAAAGAAAGCACAGTTTCTGAGCAAACAATTGGCCCTTCTCCTCTGATCTTGATCTTGGTAATCTGCCTAAATATAACGAGCACAAAGCTAAAAACGTTCCTTTGAGGAGGAAGAAAACTAAACTACTTAAAATACTGAGTGTTAGATTCCCCCCGTTTGGTTTTATTACCTGCACGTTGAAACATTAATGAATGTGAGGCCTTTGCTGTGTGAGCTTTCACTATCTGTAGCACATGAAAGGCCTGTGAGGGCAAACCCGGCCCGAGGAACCGTTTTGCAGCTCCCGGCCCTGCGGACGTGAGGGGGTTTAACGCGTCATAGACGGAGCGGTTTATTTATTTTTATGGCTGTTCCCCGTGAAATGGATTCTTTGTGGCATTGAGATGGAAACATGTGAGAGAGGGGATGAGTTTGAAGGCTCCTTTAATAATCTCCGGTCCGACCTCTGATCCTCCCACTTAGCTCTGGAGTCTAAGAGGCCCCCGTGTGAACGGTGCCATGTGTAATTATCACATGCAACTCCTGTTTGTCTGCAAGCACCTGTAACCATGCCCCCCCAGTGCCTCAAAGACTTCTACCCCAGGTCCATCCGCGTGTTCAGCAGGAGCACTTTTGCTCAAAGAAGGAGGCTTTGCCCCCCTTTTTTTTTTTTTTTTTTTTTAAACGACTACTTGAAAGGCGGCCGGCGTGCGAGTGACTGAACACTTTTCGGCCGCGTGTCGGGTGTGGCGCCCACCACTCTTTTTTCCGCCCTGGTTTCATTTGGAGGGAATGGAATTGAAAGAGATTCCCCTCCTTCAGGCTGTTTCACACTAAATCAATAAAACTCTCCCAGTGAATTTGGCTGCATTTGCTTGTGAGGAAGGGTGTCTCTTTTTGTCGCCCCCCCCCCCCCCCCCGGGTTAAAACGTGAGATGGAACCATAATTGCGTGACCGTGCTCTCTGGAGTGATTTTTTTATTTTCTTTGAGTGTCCGGAGGCCTCTGAGGCCACGTCGCCCCCCCCCTCAATCAGAAAAACTCATGCAAACTTGAAGTGAAACGTAGAAGAAATATACATATATAAATATATCTAAGTGAGATGTTTGTGTATGATATTATAATTGTGAAGAAAAGTGTGAAATATATATAGTCTTAGATTAAATTATATACTGTAAAATGTCATCATCTCTTCAGTTTTATATATTAGTGACCCTTTTGTACAGATGTTTTTCTTTTTTAATTCATTGAGAGAGATATTACATTTCACACTGAGATTATTTATTCATAAGCGGAACATTTTTATATTTGTTTAAGAGTATCTGTATAGATAACAGTTAGCCTCTGTAATATATATATACGCTGAAGTTCATTTTTAAATTTGAGGGTTAGATTTTGGGGAAATGCTCGTTCAGCTCGTCTGCGCCTTTGCCTCCTTAAGTGAACTACTCAGGTGTGAGGAGCCGGACCAGCGCCTGCGCTTTATTTTGCTACTATCCTTCTCATTTCAAGGGTTGTTTTTTTTTTTTTCTTATTTTATTTGTGCTTGTGATTCAGCTGGTATTCGTGAGTTGGGAGATGTTGTGGTAACTGCTGTGAAAGGCGAGTTCAGGGGCCCAGAAGGCTTCGCATGGAGCCTCGCTGCTTTGACCAGAAGTTTAATTCCCCTCCTCCTGCGACGTGATCGAAAAACCATTCAGAGGCAAAAGGTGGACGGAAGAGATGCATTATGGGGCTTTAAGTAGCCGCTAAGCTAAACCGCGGGAGTCGTCAACGAGGGAATCGCGTGTAGTTGTGTGAAGTCAACGTTTTATCTCTTCCTGTTTTTGTTCCCCATTTTATTTCTAAAGGACCAACCTGCATTCTATCGTATGTATATGAGATTTTTACATGAATGTGTGGATGTTCAAAAATTCTTGGCATCAAAAAGTAGAAAAACAAAATTGACTTGTAAATAGGCCGAGTCATTCCTAGCGAGTTCGACCAATTGTTATGTCCAAAAAAAGATGTTTTATTAATTCACTACGACGATGGGTTCAAAGGTATTTACCAACATTGCATGTATAGTCTCAAGCAATCGCACGGTGCAGTCGAGAAGAAGAAGAAGAAGAAGAAAAAAAAATAAAAGTCTACATGTTTTCTCCACAAAAAAAAATGAGCGAAGAGCGAAGCGGTTCTGTGTGTCCCGCTCAGTACGAGGTGTTACTTGGGTGGTCCTGCGCGGATCCACACGCATGTTCAGTCCCACTGCGGCGTTGTGTGACGTGAAGGGTCCTTTAGTGCTGCAGAGACGACTCCAGCCGAGCGATTCTCCCGTGTGTAGAGTAGTGTGACATAAGAACAAAAACAATACAGAAAATAGATCTATAACATAATGATATATAAATTTAAAAAGCCTACTGATACTGGAGATACTAATTTATCAGTGTGGATGATATTCTGTGAGAAATGTGTGTTTTTCCCGTGAGAAGACAGTCGGCAGTTCAGCCTGCCTTCTTTTGTACATAACTTGCTGTGATTGTGTGTCCAATAAAGTGCAGCTCTCTTGTACAGTGGTGGCGTCTGATCTTGATTCGTCACGACCCCTTTGTGTGTTCAGGGAATGAGCGTTTGAGGCAAAATGAATGTTGATCAAAACTCTCGTACAAACACACACAGGTACATGGAAAGGGATTTTGGTTTTAATCCCTCAACATGATACAACTCTGCAGATTGAAAGCGTCCAAAAGGCGTCACAGGGACACATGGTGAGGACTCGTAATCCGAATGGTTTTAGCATTTAAAAAATATAAAATTGTTCCAACTTCAAGTTCTATTTACACGGCAAAGACTCGTACAGAAACGTACACACCGCCGTACATCTTTTTGGCACAGCGCATATATACATTTTAACGGACACAGTTGGAACAGTAGTGGCTCAAGTGTCCTGGCGCGGCGGCGGCGGCCTGCGACCATCTGTGCGCCGGTACGGCGTGTTCCTCAGATCTGAAGGCAGAGAGGAGAGCATCAAAACCTGCTGCAGCCTTTTTTGTCTCCAACACGCCGCAATGTGTGTGTGTGTGGGGGGGAGGGGCTACCGTACCTGTGATGATGTCCTCCAGAGCGCCGTCCTTCCCCTCGCGCACCTGCGGCTTCACCTGCCTCTTCTTCAGTTCCGCTATCAGGTCCATCTTCGGCATCATGGGCCCCTGGCCGAAAGAAAGGCGCGTCGCAGGTTTATTTTGTCTGAACGTAAACCATTAAAGGTGCAACCCTTTCTTATGGGGGGGGTTAAATCTCTCTCTCACCTTTTGGCCCACGGCCTTGCTTGGAGAGCTCGGTGGCCCCTTTTCCTCGCTGCTCACACTCTCCATCTTCTTTTTCTGCTCAATCTGTTGTTGCGCCGCCTGTGTGCAGTTTGGGAATCAACTAATTAACATCCAAGTCAAAGATTGTGACGGATAACTACCAGAAACCAACAGCGAGGCCTCACCTTATAGGCCTTTATCAAGCGGCCAAACGGCGGGAAGAACATGGACGGCTGCGTGGTTTTGGGGTTTTCGCCGAAATACTCCACCGCGGAGCCGTACGCCTCCTGTGAAGGAGGGGTGGAGGGGGGGGGGGTGTCAGAGGTCTAAAAACTACGCAATGAGGGACAAGAGCGGGAACGAGACGCTGAGTCCCCGGCTGACCTGGGCCGTCTTGCTGTCTTTGATCAACGTCTCCAGCTGCTCGCTGTTGGTCTTGATGAAATCCCTCAACACGGGGCTGTCGTCCTGCTCCGCAAACTCCTTTTGGGTCATTTCCATTCCCCGCTCTAACGAGCGGATGTCCTGCAGGATGCCGTCCAGCGACACTGGCAAAGAAACAAGCGAGTTCAGTAATGCTGCCGGTTTGAATCACGGGCGGCGTAGCTGCCGGGCTGCTGGTGGGAAGGTACCGAGCGCGGCCTTGTCAACGAAGTGGATCTCCGTGTGGAAGTTGGCCAGGTCGGGGTATTTCTCCTGGACGATGCTGGTGATGAAGTGAAGAAGCGTCTGCGAGCGGTCCGTGGACTTTGTCTCCAACAGCTGAAAAGGGGGTTTATTTAGTTATTACAAGGCTTGCAAGTGACTTCGCCCTCCAGGACGACGGTGAATCTGCGTGCGCTAACGTTAGCTACCGTTTCGCTAATGGTCGCACCAGACCAAGCAACGCTGTGGAGAATTTCAAAGGGTAACGTGGAAAGAGTAAATGAAGAAAGAAAAAGGGGGCACTTACAAGGTCGAGACTCTGCAGCCGGAAGCCGTACGCTGCTCCCCTCTTGCTGCTGTTCATGTAGTTCCCGAAGGCGAGGACGATCTGAAAGGAAGCGCGTGAGAGGACCTTTGCAAAAAGCCACACATTTCAAAAGCGAACTCAGAATGTCTCCTCTTCTTCTTCTCCTCACCTCTAGGATCTTTTTCAGTTTGGTTGAAGACTTGATGGACATGGACGCCGCGATGATGGAGTTCAGTTGCTGCGGATGAAGTAAAAAAAAAAAAAAAAACAGAATCAGTGCGTCTGTTGAAGAGCTCGAGTGGGAAGTCGGGGAGCTTTTCGGCAAACCGACCGGCTGCAGGCGTTTCACCGTGTCCGGGAAGTTGCCCATGAAGGTGAAAGTGTTTATCCGCTGCTTCAGACGGGGAATCTTCCCAAAGCGTAAGACGAACTGATCCTCGTCGGTCAGCTCCTCCAGCGGGCGGCCATCTTTCTCATAGTTTACCAGCAGCTTCATCTCATAGTCTGACGGAATGAAGGGCACGAGTATTTCCAGGAGGTCGATGGACAGAGACTTCTGGTCGTACCTGTACGAAATAGCAGGGAGGGGGGGTCACAGCGGTCAGTGCACGAGGGTGAAGGGGCGGAGGAACAACACGACAGGTTCCCAGAGAAGCACCTACGTCTCTATGGCGGTGCAGATGGCGGACGGGTTCATTCCCCCCTTGCGTAGACTGATGGACAGATTCTTCGCCTTGTTGGCTTCGATCAAGGACAACTTGCTGGGGGCCTTCTGGACCACCTTCTTCTTGATGTTAGACACGTCTGTTGTGTTTCCCTGGGCCCTGGTCTTAAAGTGTTCCGCAAACATGTCCATGTTCAACTCCTGGTGAGAGACAGGGTTAAAAAAGGGGGGTTTCCACACTGCAGTTTTCGTATAAACTGTGTTGGGGGCGAGTGGAAAGAAAAAGAAAGGCCGCACGTTCTTACATCTAAGACCTTCTCGTCATCGAGGTCGTTGAAAACGGTTCCTGTCACTTGGTTGGGCTTCAAGGCCTGCCAGTTCAACAGCGGCATCCTGAACTTGGTCTGAATGGGCTTCTTGGTCTTCACCGCTGAGGAAACAAAGAAAGCATCAAGTCAGTCAAATGTTCACTGCTTCAACTCTGCTTCAAGGTTTTAACGCTTCTCTTCTCTCAGCTTCACCTGATTGAGGGTTTGCTGCTCCAGGCGGGGGAGGCGGACCACCACCAGGTGGAGGGGGTGGTGGTGGGGGTCCAGAACCAGGCGGGGGCGGAGCTGGTGGGGGTCCAGAGCCAGGCATGGGAGGCGCGGGTGGTGGACCTCCAAGATGAGGCAGAGGAGGAGGAGGAGGAGGAGGTGGGGGCACGCCGCCGCAACCTCCTAGGGGAGGAGGCGGTGGTGGAGGTGGAGGAGGAGAGGCCACCCCCTCTGGGCCACCGGCAAGAGCTGGTGGAGGGGCAGAAGCAGGGGGGGCCGCATCGGGGGCCGTGGCCTGGACGTACTCCACCACCGTGACGGGCACCACCTGGATGTCCAGACCTCCGGAGGGGCTGCGGCCCAGGCGGATCAGGCCCTTGTCCTGCAGCTCCTTGACCTTCTGCTCCAGCTCCGAGGAGGTCGCAGGGGCGGAGGTGCTCAGGCGCTCCCTGTCCTTCTCCCGCTCCCGGTCCAGCTCCCGCTCCCGCTCCCTCTGCTGCAAAGCGCCGACCTGGGAGCAGGAGTCCCGCAGGCTCTCCTGTCGGACACAAAGATGGTTATGTTATTTTTGTGTTTAGCGTTGCTGACACCAGGGGCAGTAAGCGCCAGATGAAGCACTTCAGCGCTCAGGGGAAACGATAGAAGGTGGAAGGTGTGTTAATGTCACGTGACCCACCAGGAAGGGATGACGAGAGGCAGCACGATGAATTAATGTAATGCAAATAACATAATTTGACATGATGATCATTTTAAAACAACACTGGCAACATCCTGGTGATGCTGCAGCAAAAGTCACTTCATTAAGATTCATTCTCATGTCTGGAAAAATGTCAACCAGGTCAAATGATGGTTGGGAGATTTCAGTATGAACATTGTCTTCCCCCGGAGGTCATTTCGATCATTCATCTTTATTATTTCATATCGAGGATGATTAGATTTTACTTTCATGTTAAGATTATTAAAATAGAGCTGCCGCTCTGACCTCGGATCCCTGGGAGAAGGCTTCACCTTGCGCTGATGCTTAATCCTTATTACACAGTGTAAATGTCATGGACGCAGCTCTTACTTTGAGCAGCTCCGTCTCCTTGGTGGCCTGCATGAGCTGAGTCTCGAGCTCGGACATCCTCTCCGCAGTCTGACTCTCAATCTCCTGAAGCCGAGCGCTCAGCTGCAACACAGACAACACGGACTCAATAACCCCAAACGGCGCTGTCGAAGTGACGGCCCACGGGCCTCCGCCTCTCCCTCCGTGTCCCCGTTCCTCGGCTGACCTGCACGTTGTGCTCCTGCAGCTCGTCCACGTGCTCCATCACCCCTCCTCTGTTCTCAGCGTCCTCCAGCAGGGCTCCCACGTCCAGCACGTTGTCCAGGTAGGCCTGGATCTGCACCTGCAGCTTCTCGCTCTCCGTTTGCTTCAGACGCTAATACACACACATTAACGGCATATTACAGCTGTTAATAAGCATGACCTGTTGTCATGTTTGATGTGCATCCAACAAGCAAGTAAGTAATCAAGCGGAAAATTCCATCAGCATTTAATTGAAATAGAACTAACTCGTCAGACGACACGAGTGAAAAGAATCTGAATGGAATTGGAAATGTATTTCATGTACTTATGAAGTAGCGGAAACAAGTTGCTTCATTTAAAGAGCAACGATGGCGTTCGAGTCGCGTTCCACGTCGCCTTCGTCCGACCTCTCAGCCGCTAAATGCTTCACGCGCCGTCCTCGGCGACCGCTGCGATATTCACGCACACTCACCCCGAGGTACTTGTCCAGCCCGTGGTTAGTGAACTCGAACTGCAGATGAACGCGGAAGTTCATGTTCTCCACTGAATGCACCACGATGTTTATGAACTGCATGCAAGCCACCTGGACACAGAGGCAACCGACCGTTAAAGTGTCCCGATACTCGCCGGCCGGCGTGAAGGGAAACACTCTGCGGACGAACCATGAAGTCGATGTTGCTGTCGTCGTTGATGAAGTACTCCATCAACTTCTCGAAGCGGTTCCTCTCTCTGCTGACCTGCGAAAGAAAAGGTTGCCCTTCTGAATATGAAGTTCCCGGAACGACGGTCGGGGACGGCGGCGGCGAAGGATTCAAACCTCGAAAAACTATTCTCACCTCTTTGAAGTTGTCGAACGCAGACAGAATGATGTCGTGTCCGCCTCTCACCAGACACACGGCGGCCAGCAGCTCCAGCACGAGGGCTTTGGTCCTGTAGCGGCACGGCAGCGGTTAGACGCCGTTACAGGCAGACACGCACACCTTGTCTCACACACACACGGGTGCACTCACCTGGGATTCCTGCTGTTGAGGCTGAGGGTGATCTCGTTCACACAGCGCGGGTGGGTCATCACCAGGTTGAAGCCGGACTGAGAGGAAGCAGGATGATGTTCAGCCGATGACATGAGAGAAAGCATAACGTATTCGTATTAATAAGCCTGATTTCACGACTCTTACCTGGTAGTTCATGATGGCTCGCAGGCACATGATGCACACGTGCACGTCGTCCCTCTGGTTGTACGAATGGGACTTCTTGTGCATCTTGTTGGTCAGAGTGGAGCTTATTCTGCAGAGGGATAACAAACATACAACAGGTCAAGGCCCAGAGTCGGCCAATGGGGATTGTTTTCTTTTGGGCCTCCGATGCGTGGGAGGTAAAGGTACGATACTACTGCTCGGATCGCGACATCGAGGTGTTATAAAGAGGAAACGGAGCAAATGCGCCGGTGACGTGCAAAAAGAAAGAAGCACGCGGTTCTGTCCCTCCGCTGCTCCCCACTTCTGCCTCGCATGACTCGCTTTTCTCACCAGCTCAAAGTTCCTCATAAATGCTACTCGTGTCACTACTGTGAACCAACACCTCATCGTATCGTCTGCAGACATCTCTGGCTCGTTGAGCGTTGCTCGGAAATGGAGCTTCTCACCTTATGGTCAGAGCTCGAGCGGCTCTGCTCATCCCGTGTGACGGGGAGCCTCCGGAGCTTTTGGTCAAGTCCTCCATCGACCTGTCGGCCAGTTTCCCTCTCTCCGGCAGGGAGCCGCCGTTCTCAACGCCGTCCGCATCGAACCTGCAGAGTTCACACGGGTCAACGGGTGGCGCCGGGCGGCCTAAGAGCGCCGCGGGGTGCCCGGGAGAGTCGGTACTCACGAGACGTCGCTCTGAGCGTGGGACAGGTACTCCAGCAGGATGTCCAGGCCTTTGTTCTGCTCGTTGAGAAACTCTTGAGCCCACCTTCAAAAAGACATTTTGTAACCATAGATTCTGTGCTCCGATTGGATTTAAAATCGAGAAAGAAGAAGTAACACAATGTTGCTGTTTTAAAAGCTTCTAAACCCCACTCTTGCTCAATACGGTGTACGTCTGTGTGTGTGTGTGTGAGAGTGAGAGACCAGTAGCTTGTGGTAGCTAACGTTAGCGTACGTCTTGTTACGAGTCTGCTTTCTTTGTTACCCGTTGCGCTACATTTAAATCTGTCCTCCCGGTGTTGTGGCCTTGTTGATAGAAGGTGTTCAGCAAACCGCAAACTGACCGTTTATCACAGCGGTGACTCCGATAATAGTAAACTATCTGCTTTCCTCCACACGTGCAAATGAATCTGCTTCACAGAGGATTCTGGATGCAACAGGTATTTATTTCTGCTTCGCTGCATTTGACCTACTTTGTTTGGGGAAGTACTGAATATGAGAATATACAGGAGGCTATTATGGGTTAACGCTACCCTGCCTGGCCGCTGTAGAGCAACGAGTACGTGTCACACAACTCCATTTGTTACCCGATGTGGTTTGTGCGAAGCGATATCTCCAGATCCCGGAGGACCTGAGTGGCCTCTTGGATCCTTTTCTTCAGCTGAAGGAGGAGCAGAAGAAGAAGAAGAAGTGGGAGTCAAGGCAATGCTGCGGCAGATAGAAGCCCGAAGAGGTTGTTGAATAAAACAATGCTGCGCGCTGACCCTGCGGGACACCCCTCCTTGATCCTGGTAGCAGCTCTTGATCTTGGCCAGGTAGATGGAGGGGGGGCTCTTCACCTGGAAACGCTCCTGGGGAAGAAGGATTCACAGGGAAACCGGCTGTTGACGCATCGATTTGATCAGCAGGCGCTGCGAGGCCGCTTAGCAGCGCGCGCGGCATCTCGCGCTATTATTGCCTCCGCAGCAACAAACCGCGCTCTGTTTCCATGGCGACGCCTTCGGTTGCCACCGCAGAGAGAGCGCTTCAGAGTTTTCACCCTTCACCACATGTCCCCTCTTGGTATTTACGTACCGTCACCTCTGCTTTTTATTATTACCATGGTTACTGTTGTGGTGTACAAAGAGGCCTCACCTGGTCACACACTAGTTCCCACTTCTTTTCGTTGTCGTACTGACTCAACAGCTTCAGTTTGTCTGGAGGAAGGTTCATGTAGCTCTGGAAGAGAGAGAAACAAATTAAATCATATGAACATTAAGGTGAAGGCACATCGTTATTAAATCTTTCCTGCTCATGCGTCAAATATTCAAATCAACCAATCGTCTTTCGCTGGAAGCAAAGATGACTCAGCGTTTAAATGTGGCTACGGTTGTCAGTCGGAAATAAATACTTATTATTTATTGCAAAGAAATCATCCAGCTGATCTTTTTTTCCACGCGATGATGAAAGTTGAATTTTACACCACTTTAAAAAGAAAGAGACGATCAAACAAACAAAGTAGAAAACAGACACTTTGACTTGTTTACTGAACCGTGATGATTTTGATGTATATTACTGCAACGATATGGACTTTCCCTGTACGTCACATTATGTTTCTAAAACCCCCTCACCCCCCACACCAACACCTCCCAGGTGCAGGTTGACTCAACTGTCTGAGGGAAATCTCACGCTGCGTTGCCACCTTCCTCCAATTAAGAAATATTAATTCTGTCGTTGAAATAAAAACATTTAATTACAAAGTTCAGCTGCTTTCTTTCTGTTCTGTTTGTCAACAATTACATTCTTATTCATGTGTTGATTTTATACAATGTTCCTTCACATTTACAACTCTGCTGCAAAGTACACCACCCACTGGCCCTCCACCCAAAACCAAGACCTCCACCCAAGTGATAACGAGGAGACGAGACGAGTCGTTCCTGCTGCCGGGTGTCGCTGCTGAATAAATACCAGAATCACACCTCAAAAGAAGAGATACGAAATGAGAAAACGAGCGGTTGCTGCCGGGGCGTTTCCTCCTGCTTGAGGTAAAGGATGGGTGGGGGTGGGGGTGGGGGGAGGATGGGGGATGCAGCGTTGTATTTTGCTGAAAGAGGAAGTGAGGTCATACATACTCCCATGTCACGCCGGCGAGGGCGTTGAGACGTGCACGTCTTTTTCCTGCGCGCACGTTTCCTTTCAAAGACGACGTTTTGTGAACTTTAGTGGAATAGTAATGTGTGAATTTTAACATGAAGAAAGTATTCATGTTAAAAATGTTAGAAAGTGATGGGTTTTAAAATGCACAACTCGTGCACAACGTTTTCACTTACGCTATTTTAGTTTGCAACAATAACAGATTAACATCTACACAAAAATAACTGCTGATGCGAGTCTTAAATTGGGACCGGCTGTCAAGCTAAACGATGACACCAGAGGGAATTAGAAGAGCAGCCGAAGCAGAATGCTAAAATAATGTAATAAATGCACATTGAATTATGCTCTTTTTTTCCGCTTTGTGTAAAAATCAGAAGCTCCATCGACCTTCCAGCATCTGTTTGCTTTCAGCCCCTGCAGACGTCATGCCGTCCATCCAGAGACAAAACATCGACCCGTCATGTGACACACCGTGGACTTGATATATTTATGATATACTGTAAAACATCCCGTGAAGGTGTAAAACCTGAGTCAAAGTCAAACTTCTGCTCGATGTTAAAGGAGCAGCTGCTGTGTATCAGTTTTAGATCTGTGTTTATGGTCTTTAATGCGATACAGGCAAAGATAAACATCTGAACTTTTTAAAATAAATTCCCTTGTTTTCTGTTTCAACATCAGAAATAACCTGCGTCTGCATCTCTTACACCAAACATTGGGTCTGATGTTTCACTCTTAATGGTTTCTCAAGAGCGTAAGGTTTTCGTAGTTTAAGTGCCGTGATGTAAGACTGTTGAAAGAGGTGGAACATTTGCTTTCCGGTCTTATGGTCTCTGGCATGTAAATATGTTGCTCAACTTCCCCTTGAGGCCAGCCGCCTCAGCGTGCACAACCACCCAGTTTCTAAGCCGACATCCTGAAAAGAACACACACGGAAAGGACGAAGCTCATTGATAACGTTGAATTTATGGTGAAACCGTGACGTTGGCCGGATCTGCCACTGAAGGATGACCTTTGTGCACGATACAATCTGCAGAATCACATTCAAAGGAGATGTTTGGCAACTTTTGGCCCTCTGGATTTAGATTTTCCAAAAGATTGAGGGATAAAACGAGGGAAAAAGACAGTCAGGGTCAATTGTTTTCCGGCCTTGTGAATCACAAGTCCAGCGGTACCAAACACTTGCTACCTGTGATACCTTTTCTTTGTGCCTTTGAATCATATGTATCAATGCATGAGATTCTAAGCCCCAGCTTGCATGTGTAATTCACTCACCAGCACCACGTTGAAGCGCTCCTCCAGCTCGTCCTCCGGAGGCATGGGTAGTTTGGGGGGAGCCGGCTGCTTCTTCTTCTGCAGGGTCGGAGTGGGGTCACTCGTTCCCGGAGCTCCTCCGACCGAGTCTCTGGCCTCTCGGCCCTCAGACGGCTCCTGCTCCAAGCCCCCCGCGGCCACATTCCCCATCACTAATCTCCACAAGTAATCCAGGAGGAAAGCTTTACACGAGCTCTTTTCTCCCAAGAAATCGGTGTATTCCAAAACAGAGGGACAAAAAAGAAAGAGGTCTCTGTGAAGGACAGCAGCAGCAAGCGAGCTTAAACCAAACAAAGTGTTCGGGCCTTCAAGGAGTGGAACATCAAGACTTGATCTACTGACACCGCCTTTGTCCTGAGGACAGGGTGGGTGATGAAGCAAACTTGCGCGTCCTCATTTCTGTCCTCACATCAGCATATTCTCTCTCCCTGCGTTTACAAGTACCTTTGACGATAAGGACACAAGCCTCGCTGGGGTCTGCTGCGCTCTGAGAAAAGCCCCACCTAAGTGGCACTTAGCGGGACACTTGTTGACCGAGAACTCCTCTGGTGAGTGAGTAGACGGGTCTGCGTGTGAAAGGAAGGAGAGGGGAGTGTGACACACTCTGTAACACAAACAGAAACCACAAAAGCAGAAGAGCAACTTCCTGTGCATGATAGCAACGGCAGCCGGGCTGGAGGACAAACATGGTAGCTGATCAGTGTTGGGTGAAAGAAGTAGGAGGATGATGAGAGAAAGAGAGAGATATAAGGTAGCACATAAATGTAGCACATGAATGACATTAAGCAAAAAAAAACAGTTAAATGTTAAATAAATATATGCGACGGTGCAGGTGTAAAATGAGCCAAAGCAAACTTTCTCTCACTTCACCACAAATCCACCTTCACTTAACTGGAGCCAGTCATTCTCGTGAAGCCAGCTTGACTTGCATAATGTAAGGTTTGTTGTGGTTGTTTCCTTCAGGCCAGGTGGATGCGGAGGACAGGTGAGAGGGGCCGCGTTTCTCCAACAGCGTCGCTCTGTGTTTAAAGCCATCTACTGCATGTACCGTGGATGCATTCGGGGCCTCCTCGGAAATTATTACTAACCACTGTTTTGCTGAGGATGGGCTGAATAAATTATAACGACGTTAACAATAATGTTTTCAATCATAGGAGGAACAAATCCCCCAAATGTTTACTTGGTGACACAGCAAAAATAATCATTTGTTTTAACTCAGTCATACGAAAGAGGGAGATCAGCTTTCTGTGACTTTTCAAGCAGTAGAGGGCTCGAATTAACGAGGAGCACGTGAAGGCAGCACCACTATTAGTTGTTTTACGTTTCAAGATGACGGACCCGACAACGTCTCCGGAGGACCACTGGAAGGTAAGTAACCGACGCCGGTTAGCCGGCTCGCTTTTACTCAGCTCACTCGGTTCGCACGTCTGTCACGGGCGGCCTCGACGCCAGCCCGCCGGACGGTGTTACGTCCGGCGGGCTGGCGTTTCGCTAACGTCACGGGGACGCGGGGCTCTGTTAGCTGCGCGGCTAACGTTAGCTAGGTGATACGTCACAGCGCCGCGGCGGTTAGCTCGTTGGGTTAACGGCTCGTCTTACTCCTTTACACCTGAAATAGATCCGCGCGGCAGTAGAGCGACGCGTTGGTTTTCGCTGTTGGTTATTTATTATTTTCAAAACGCCCACGTCAGTTAGACGAGTCCGTCTGAGAGGTAAAGGAAATCTTCCTTTTTTAGGGGGTAAAATCGATGCTAATAACGGTTACGCTATTGGTGAGGCATCAACAAGACCCGGTGACCCTTCGATCGGAGTATTGATTGACGATGCAGCGCTTTACTCGTCCTTTCTGTTGATAATCCAGCTGTTATATGGACAGCAGCTGTAAAAAAAACACATGTGTGTTTCCTCCTTAAACGAGAGACTCTAAAGTAACTAAATCTGTCCGTTCTGAGCCCATTAATGCTTTAACCTGCGATGCAGGTTGTATTCTGCTGGTTCTGTTCTGTTCTAGTTAGAAAGGGTTTGCCCTCCTGGATTCAGTGTAAACAAATAACAGCAATCTTTTGCAACACTTAATAACTAACTATTATGACACTAAATTGGATCAAACTGTAACTCTGTGGAGTCCTGATTGCCTGCTGCACACTTGAATTGGACAAACTAGGGCATTGCTCGGTGGGGGTTCTGGCCGCCTGTCATGCAGGTGGCCTGTTTGGGCTGTTTGGGTTGTTGTCGGCCTCTCAGCATCTGTTTTTCCACCCTTTTCCTCCTTCTGTTGTCTGGCGATGGCTCAGCAGACCGACGGCGCCTTCAGCGACAGCGGCTTCGACCACGGTGAGTGTTCAGGCTACATGATGGTGACCTTTTGTGTCCCTACTCTCTATTATTAATATTGTTATTTAGTGTAGAACGTCTTTGGTGTCTTTTTGTGGTGCTCTGTAGGCTTTTTCGCTGAAACTACCAGAAAGGGTTCAGTTGTGTCTCGGGCCAACAGCATCGGCTCAACAAGCGCCTCTTCAGTACCAAATACAGGTATGATGGTCGGGACGCCGGGCATCCCACACGCGACCTTGAATGACCTTTCACATTCTGTCAGCAGGGTTTTATGAGCTGCTTCTGTTGAATAACGTCGAGCATCAGCCGATTTTAATTACAATTACAGATAGAAACTGGTCGAAGCGTAGATCAGCCTCTCTTATTTACATAAAAACTTTATTTCCGCTCAATTTCTGCTACATTTTGGTGATGGAAGAAACTGCGTTGAAGCTCCAGGAAATGCATTTTAAGTAACTATAATTATGTCACACCGTCTCTAAAAATCTAAAACTATGTTTCAGAAAAGCCTTGTTGTGTCACTATCCCGGAATAATTCATTTTTTTAAAAACATTTTTGATGCTGGAGCGAAATCCCTGACATCATTCGAGGGGATAAATTGTACAATTTGTCTTAAAAAATCGCACTGTGTATTTGTCATTTTGGTGCCGGAGAGAAGAGCGAGCACAAAGCACAGCGGGTACTTGTGAACACGCAGTCCCCATAATGAGTATTTAAAAGTGTGCCAGCTGGGAACACATGATTTCTAATCTGCGATATTCATTTCTGGAGTAGATGATGAAGACAGCGACTACCGACACGAGACGTCGTACAAGAACTCGTACAAAGACCGACGGAGACAAGCGCACACACAAGCTGAGCAGAAGCGCCGGGATGCCATCAAGGTGAGGCTCCGGCAGACAGCAGACCGGCCTCTGTGACCGACGGCAGACACACCACCAACAGTCCTTCATTTGCTCTGTTTTACTTCAGAAAGGCTACGATGACCTCCAGTCCATAGTCCCCACCTGCCAGCAGCAGTCCGAGTTTGCAGTCGGAGCGCAGAAGATCAGCAAGGCCACCGTACTGCAGAAAAGTAAGACGTGATGTCATCGGATGAGCACCTCACGCTCCGCCTTATTATTTGCATAACAAGGCTGGATAGAAGTGGACCCATCTTTTCATACCTAAACATCATTCCTCTATTCCATTCCTGGTTTATTGATTGGCACCTTCTCTGTAAGGTCAATTTTATAATGAAATTGAGTGTCGCCAAGTTGCAGCCACAGATGTTTTCTGAAGTTGCGGCTCTAACGCGTAATCGATGCACGTAATGTGTTTCATCAGTACATTTTTTTTAATTTATATATATATCACGCCAGAGAGTCCTGCATTTGCTCATATTTCTTTTTATTGCGGAGGAAAAAGCAGAAGTGTTGTATTGCTGGTGGAGGACATCCCCTCTTAGGAAACAGAAACTTAAATCTGTGTGGAGTGAAGAAATCGCCGACTGATGCAGTTCTGTATTTGTTTGCAGCAATCGACTACATCCATTTCCTTCACAAAGAAAAGAAGAAGCAGGAGGAGGAAGTTTCTCTACTAAGGAAAGAAGTGATGGCGCTGAAAATCATGAAAACGTGAGATATTAATATTGAACTACACGTGGCAGAATAAGACACGCCCACCGTCTTAAATAAACAAACAAACCCTGAGAAGTAAAGAACTGATGCTAAAAACTCAGCAAAACGTGGAAGCTTAAAATGCTGCGTTTGTGAATCATTCCTTCATGAATCCGTCGTGGCCATCAAAGAAATCGCATGTTCTCTTCTTCATAGGAACTACGAGCACATAGTGAAGGCCCACCAGAACAACCCCCAGCAGGGAGACGATCAGGTGTCCGACCAGGTCAAGTTCAACATCTTCCAGAGCATCATGGACTCCCTCTTCCAGTCGTTCAGCAACTCCGTCTCCGTGAGCAGCTTCCAGGAGCTCTCCGCCTGCGTCTTCAGCTGGATCGAGGAGCACTGCAAGCCGCAGGTCAGCAGCAGTGTGGACTCCACCCGCGGACGGCAGGTCCTGGGCGTGGAGATACTAACGGCTTGTGTGCTTCTCTCTTTCTCTTAGACGCTGAGGGAGTTCGTGGTCGGCGTGCTGCGGCAGCTCAACGGTCAGCTCTATTGATGGAGGGGAAACCCCTGGACTTTACTGCCATAATACGGACTTTGGGCTTTCTTCGGCCTCTCAGGGTGAAGTAGACAAAGAAAAAGAACACTTCAATCAGCCTCAGGCCGCATCGCAGTATTTCCGCTCACTCAAACCGATCAGTGCCTCCCGGGCTGCGGCTGGATTACCTCCACTTCACGGATGGCTTATTGGAGCGATCGCTCTCTGACCAACGGACCGCCGAGCGCATTCGTCTGTAAGTGAATGTAAATGTTAAATGTACGTCAGCCAAGGAGACGGTGCCGTGTGCCACTGGTAGTAGTCACAAGCTGAAGCAGGTGTAAATTAATCCTCTCCGATTGATCGTAGCTGATGGAATTCGAGAAGGTGACGGAACCCGCTGTTACTTCAAGCATTTCCTTGCAGCCTTATTCTGACCCGCAGGGATCTCATCGGCTTCAGTGCACGTTGAGTCAGTCGTAACACTCCCGAACCGCTAAACACTCAGCAGGGGGGGGGGAACCAAACCATTCCACCGTTTTATTGGGACTAGAGATGAATAAGCTTTCTCTAAATGTCATCGCTTGACATTTCAGTGGCTTAAACGTCGCCACGACTGATTCTTTTCGCTTTGCTCGTCAGTGGCTCTTATGATCAATATTTGTTGATCCCTGAAATGTTGAATCTCTCGTGAATGTTCCCCCCCCCAGACGGAATGTCCCGGAAAGCTTCGCTGTGGCCTCCAGCAGGTTCCCAGGCAGAGATTTAACGCCGCTGTAATGACTTAAAATACGTTCAACCAAGAGCTCTTATTGAAATAAGTAAAATCACACGGCTCATCTGTTAAATGACAAAGAGCCACTTTGCTGTTCTTGCCTTAATCGAGCGGAGATGTAAATGTTGTAGCTTCAAGTATCATCTTATTAGTTGTGTAATAGCAATCTACTTTATGATCCAAAGGGAACTGTCAACCTATTTATAGGAATATAACTGACTGTCAGGCTTAATTTAAGTTTAGCAGAAAAGGACGAATCGTGTGTGTAAAGTAAAATAATCCCATCTTTTCACTTCAGCGTTGCATTAATGAATATTTAATAACGTTAAACTCTGAAGAACCAGTACAAATGATTAACATGACAACCTTTTGTGTTTTATACATTTTGGCTCTTTTAAGAACAGTAAAAATAAATATTGCAGGAATATGGACTTAAACACAAATGAAGCTTACAGAGCTAAAAAAGACCAATTTGATTTCAAAGGTTGGGAATTTATTTAGTGGCTTTAAAAGGAATTGAATTAAACCAAAGTTGTTTAAATCTACTTTCAATTACAGAGGAAGTTGGTTTTGCATTCAACTTTTATTACCGATGTACCATTTGTTCCAGAGAAAAGCCATAAATAAAAAACGTGCTGTGGCTCGAAGCGCTCTGATGTGTCATCTCTGTTCTGGGCGTACGATAATGAAGCGGGTAAGCGGGCGTTTCCTTTCAAGTGGTTGGAACCACCACCTTACAGTCCTCGTCCGTCTCCACCCCGACCTCCTCCTGTGAGTGAAACGCCTTGTTAACAGAAAACCTCTCAAACCAAAACGAGCAGCGGCACGGAGAAGAGTTCGTGAGCTGCTTTCCCTCACCAGGAACTGCTTCTTGCTCTTCGGGTATCCTTCCAGGATCGCGTTGACCATGTCGGAAGCCTGAGAGAAGCGCACGCAGGTTTAAAGGACTTACAAATAAAGTCTTTATCCCAAGGTTACAAATCTCCTGTCATCTTTTATCTCTGGCTTGTAATTCTTAAATTGTTGATACTTATTTAATTCAACAGCATACAGTTGTAAACACGTTTTATGGCCCTTGTTTAAAGTATTTAACATAAAATATACGTTTCATGTTTATCCATGAATTGCTTTTAATATGGGAGTATATGGAAAAAAGGATCAAACTAAAAGATATTTATTTTACGGTCATATATATAAAAAAGATAACATTGTCACTTTTAAGAAACTGGAAACAAGTAATGTTTTAGAAACATCAGTTGACTGACGTATTAATCGCCTAATCACTGCAGTTCTGTATACATTACCAATCTCTTTCTCTTCTTCCACTCTTTGACGTAAACGTCCCGGTCTTTGTAAACCTGTAAATTAAATTTATTATGAAACTAGCACAGCAAACAGAAAACTACTTCTGTAGTAGCGACTCTTTGTTTCCGCCCCGACCTTCTCTTTCTCCTCCGGTGTGACGTGATTCGTGGCGGACTTGATCTTCTCCAGACGCGCTGCGTAGCCTGAACACTCGGCCTTCAGCTCCCGGACCTCCGACATCATTTCCTGGGTTGTGAGGGAGCTGCTGAGCTCCTTCAGCTCTGTCAGTGAAAAGGTCACGTAAATGCACAAACCATCCGTTCATAATGCCGAACAAGAACCCAAAGAACAAAAACCTCAAAAAGGAACATGTAGGATTTAGCGAGACCTATTTGCAGGAAGTGTAATACAATCATTTTTCAGTGGGGTTTAACCTAAAATTGAGTTTCTACAGCAGCCCAGAACGCAGAGCAGCTTTAGGAAGCTTTTCATCTGTATGAACACGTAGTTCTCTGCTAGGCAACTCTCAGGTGTGTTCAGTTGGACGCAATCTGCAACCTCCCTCCTAGATGCCACTAATTCCTACACGCTGCTTCTGTTAGGAGTGTCGTATTAAACCATTTACTGTACTTGTGTAGCTAGCAAGAACCTGAAACATGCAAAATGCACATGTCGTGATGAGGCATAAAACGGCCTTCTGCCTGGAGACAGAAGAACCGGATTACCACACCTGCATCCAGTTGTCTGCAGCTGCTGGCGAGCGCCTGCACCTCTGCAGTGAGCTGTGAGATCTGACAGTTCATTGCCTTCAGCTCCTCCTCGCTCACATTTTTGAACTGAGACTGTAGGGAAAGGTTAGCAGGAGCTTAGCCTATTTGGAAGTTTCTGATACTCATTTTATAATTATTATTTTTTTCGATCAACAGACCAACCTGATTAGCGAAATAGATCTTTTGTTTGCCATATATTTTCTCCGTTATCTTCCCCTCCATAGACAGCAGCTCCATGGTTTTGACCACTGCCTGGCGAGTCACAAAAACACACCATAATTAGCCTTAAGCTGCCAGCGCACGCGAGCTCGTACAGGCAAAGACGAGTCCTCACCGTTTTGCCAAATCCATGCTGCTTCTGTAGGTTGCAGAAGACATCCTGCGCGCTGTACGGTCGGTTCTTCTCATTCAGGTAAGAGAGGATCAGTGGGGCGCCTGGAGATGACGTCAGCGTGCGATCAGGACGCGAACACCTTCCAGCAGCGACTAAACTGCTAGCTGTAGCTTTGGACGGTTCCCATGGTAACCCCACGTAGCCCTCCGTACTTTTAGGTCTTAAATTCGTCGTTTGTGTGTTAATGTTAGGTTCTTGGTGGGCTTACGACACCGGTGAACAATGAAAGTGTATTTCGTGTTACTTAATAAAACCTCCAGCATAGTTTGGTCTAAATAAAATATATGATGGTGCAAAAGCGGGCACAACATTTGGGAGCTAACTCGTTAGCTTATGATGACGGAGGCTAAGTAGCTAACGTCAGCAGATAGCTTGTTAGCTAAAACGGGGTTCTCTGTGAAATCGACGCGAGCGTCAGATACAACAGCTGCTTTGTTAAAGTTAACCCGACGTAAAATCAGAATCTTACCGTTATCCTTCTTACTCATTTCTACGTCTCTCCTTCACTTCAGCTCTCCAAACAAAGTTTCGCGCGAAAGTGCGTGACAGAAAAGATCGTTTATGTAGTGAGAGTCACCACAACAGAATAAATAAAGGGGTTCCGATAACCTTTACAGAATCTCAGCATCAGCTCTTATACACGGTGTGCTTATTAGAATCACAATGATTGTTCGTTTTAAAAGATTTATTCTTCATCTATAACTTTGGTTCTGTTTTTTAAAAAGACGGAAACATTGATTTCGTGAATAAAGAGCAGAGTGACAGCTCTGTCGTTTTGGCTGGTCTCAGAACCAGGTGGTGTTGGGCGTGTAAAACGAGTTTCTAAAGATTCAGAACCTTTTTTATCGCAAATAGGCTTTTACCTAATTTAGTCTTAAATCCCAGACGTGTCATCTGAGATTACGAACCATTCCATGATTCATTTAAAGATACTGTGACTTGTTCCGACATACTGTTCTATAACTTTTGAATGAATTATTATTTTTATCAAAATATCATAGCATGCCATAAAGACAGTCCAAAAACTAGTCCTTAGAATAAAGAACATATAGTATAATCCATATTTGTGTCCACTTTATGTCCAACATCACAATCAATTCCTATAGAGAGTAAATCATTTTATTAACATTCACAATTTCTTCATCAGCTCAAATGCTAAATGATCCGATTAAAATTCTACATACAAAAACTGAATGACAGAGTAGAAACACATTTGTGTGTAATTAAAAAAAAAAAAAGTAAATGTTGCCAGCTGTAGATTGAAGCATCATTTGTGTGTCAACCAGAGCACCAAAACAAGCCAACGCAAAAGTGAAAAAGCATTAACGTGATTCATACCTGTTGAGTAACATTAGTTAGTAGTGAGGTCCCTTTTTTAAAAACTTTTTAATTTACGTGAGGCATCGAAAAGCTTGAATACTGAGCGGTTTTAGGCTACGACAAGTTCTACAAAGACCTATCCTGTACTCCACGCCATTAACCTGCCTTCTGTAGACCTAGCTATAGATACTGTATATATTCTTCTTCTTTTTTTACACAGAAAAACTAACTTTGTAAAAGGGTTAAAAAAAAATACGGGGGATCAAAGCGCCACATCTAGCCGATATTACCCAGAATGCACCGATTCACAGAAACCCACCACAGTACTCCCGGGTGCATCACAGTACACAGTACGTTACACTTCGCATTCAGACCGACTTCCTTCGTCACACTTCCGAGTCCCGTCAAAAGGGTTTCTGAATGAGATGATGTCACCGAGGGGGGGAAGGGGGGCGGGATTTAACAGCGCTCCGCATTCGCCTCCTTTAATTTTCTTCAATCAAGTAAAGAAATGCATTTGCATTTTGGGCCGTGCATTTATCAATAAAGTAATTTCAATGCTCTACTTCATTCGTGGTGCCGCCTTAGTTTCCTGCTTCAACAACTAGTTCTGTGTGAATTATTTCATCTCTCGTCTCCTCCTTCCGATTAGTTTTTAAAATATCATTTTTCGAGAACCCTACAAAACATCATAGAACATCAATCTTTGTATTCCACAACACCTTCATCGGCCACCTGGTGGGTGCTTGTGTGTCACGACATTGTCTCACGGATTGGAAAACAGTTGATTGCACTCAATGGCACCTAAGAGGGGAAATACAATATACATGTGATGTTCCTTTGATATTACAATATTTAAAATGCTTTATTTCCTTGCCGTCCCCGCTGTACGCCCTCGCTTCATGAAGACGGGTCAGTCGCGTTAGGCAGCGTGCAAAACAATGTGTGCGCCACCCATCGAGAAAAAAGGCCACTACAGCGCCAAATACAGGTCCAACAGAAGCCTCGGACCGATCCCAGCACGGCGAAAACTAAAACACGGTGGATCGAGAAGTAAAGACAGAAACGTCACCGGTGAGACTCGTGGAGAGTCGTCGCCGCGGGAACAAGCGACAAATAGGCGCTTTGAGGTGGATGACAAAAAAAAAAAAAAAAGTTCAGTTCAGTTTTCGGTGCATGAAAGCAGAATCATGAGCTCTGAGTCGTGAGAAGCTCTGCAGGGGGGGCAATGTCATGTTCCCAAAGTGGTTGCATTAGAAGAATGAGGTGTGGTTTTCCCAGCGGGAGGAACAAAACAAGCCGAGTCTAAAAGTCTATTCTTCACCCGAGTGAAGGCTTTCCTCCCTGGTGGGGCACCGGCTGGTCGGAGGCTCCACGTGAGATGACGGGGGGAGACGTTGGTGGTCCAGCAGATAAAATCTGGTCCATCCAGGACACGCAAGCCCCTCCCTGTAATACTTCATTAAAAGAGAGAAAACTGAATGAGCAACAAATATTAGCATACTTAATTAAACGTAAACTACTTAAAAAGTAAGTATTATGTATTCATACAAAGGGAAAATGATACATTTAACTTGTTATGGAGTATTAACTACGTTCAGGTGACGCCACCAGAGGGAAGCAGAGAGTCTTAACAACGAGGGAGAGTCCCCGTCACAGACCGTGGGAGGAGAACATTTCCTCCTGATTTACAACTCCTGTGAGTGCAGAAAGTAATGCAGTAAGTGGAGAGTAAGAAACTGTGACAGCAGATCCTCACTTCATTCGATAATCTCCTTTTGCCAAATCCAGGTTGCTGCCATCTTCTCCAATACGTCTTGTATACAATATTGGAGTAATCCACTCTCAGCCAATGAGTGCATTAGAAGCCAGGAACAGCTGGTTAACAGCTGGAGCCTCCCAGTAAAACGTTGACACATTTTCCGATTCACAAACTGTGCACAAGGCGCAGCGAGAGCGGAGGACTCGTGGCTGGAACGCAGCGGTCGGAATGTAAAACTGAAGTGAGGACACATCCATTAGAAACAGGTGTCTATGTGTGTGTGTGTGTGTGTGTGAGAATCCCCTCCTGCACCCAGCGTCGTGTGTGTGTCAGTGGGGGCTGCAGGCGTCCGCCTCCACCCGGGTTGGTTCTTCTCACCTGTCTAGTTGATGAGGATGCCAGTAGAGCGTCCCTCCTCCTCTTTGATGTTCTTCAGGTTATTCTCTGCCTCGTCCACAGTGCTGAAAATACACAAACCAAAAGTTACTTTATTGTCTTTAAAGAAACGGGTTAAGAACACATTTGTGTTTGTGTGTGTGGGGGTTAGGGTCCATACGTAAGAAAGTCCCGGACGTCCTCCACGGTGATTTCTCCGGTGGAGTCGAGGGTGAGGTCGGCACAGCTGAGGGGGGAGTCCAGAGGGGTGTCCAGGATGGGGGAGGACAGCGCGCTGGGGGACTCCTCGCTTCGCCCTGTGAGGAGCACAAGCAGACTTAACCTTGGTTCCTCATCCGGGGGAATCTGATACCTACGTGCGTTTCCATGGTAACGTCGGATTGTGGAAGTTAAATGAAGTCACATTTTCTTCCGCGTCAAACCAGTTCTCTCTCAAAGCCGATCGGAATCGATCAATACAAAACAACTTGGAGTCACGAGGGAGTGTTGGGTCTCCAAATTAAAGAATGTGGTCGAGAACGTCTCTGTACGAACCGCTTCATGAGAAAAAATATAAAAAAATAGACATTTAGACTAAAATGTAAGATCGACTGAGACATAACTGAAGCCCGCTCCGGTCTCCACAGCAACCGTCGTGGGGGGGGGAGGGGGCACTGAGGCCACTGGGGCATACTGACTCGTTACCACGGAGACGAGAAGCGAACCCCTGCTCGCAGTTTAAGAAGCTCGGGCAGAAAAGAGTGACGAAGGGGAGACAGGGGGGAGTGTGTGTGTGTGTGTGTGTGTGTACGTACCCTCAGCCTGACCTACGTGGTTCTTGTGGGTTCCGTTGGCCTGCGGCGGCGTTGTCGTCGCGGTACTATCGCTGAAAAGACACACGAGAGCACGCGCCATTTACTCTGGCAGCAGATGATGTAATAACAGCAACAGCTTGAAAAGTACCACTTCTTTGGTTTCTCATGCGGCTGAGCGCCCGGAGCGTAGAGGGAGTGCAAAACGCTGCAAAAATCAACGAGCGGGGATTCCTGGAGTCCGGTCTGTTCTTATCCGTGCATCAACGGGACATGCATGTTAATTAAAGTTTACCGAGGACAAAACCCTTTGAGGGATCTGCCAGTGTTCATGTGAAATTAAATCCTATGGAGGAGCCCTAGCAGGCAACAAATACATCAAGCGTATTCAGGTAGAGCACCACAAAGCATCAGAAGACGGCAACAAGTGCAGTAGAGGTCACACAGTGTGTGTGTGTGTTACCTGGCCGGCGTGGCGTGCAGCGGTCGGTCCAGCTGAACGGAGCACAGCGGCTCAGTGAGCGTCTTTGCGGACAGCGAGAACCTCTCGTACTCGGAGGGAGAGATCAAGTAAAACCCTGCGTGGACAAACATGAACAACAATGATAAAAGTTCCACGGTCGCGGCTTTCAAACTTGTGATTCGCTGGGAACAATCTTTCGCCGCTTTACTCACCCTGTCCGTTCTTCGTGAAGACGCAGGACGCGATGCCGCTGATGTCTTCTTTACGGATGCAGTCGTAGCGAACCTGAGAGACGAAACGGTCATTGAGTTCTTCCTATTGCCCAGCTCTTAGACTGGTCCCCCCCCCCCGAGGGCCCACCTGTGGTCTGAGGCCGGGGATGCTGAAGAGGTGCATGTCGCCCAGGTTGGTCAGACAGACCAGCGTGTGTTCGCAGTAGTCCTCCTGAGCCACCGAGCCGAACGCCACCAGCGCCACCCTCCTCACCCGGCAGCCCTCGTGCGCCGTCAGCTTGAACTTGGTCTTTGCGCTCACCTTAGGGAGAGAGAACACCCTGGAGGGGGGGCGGCTACAGTTACTGTCTCTCAGGATGTATTAAGGCCGCTTTATTCTATGACGTCAAACTTCAGTCCAGAGCTCGCAACTCTCATCCAATGTGGACTCACCTTCAGCTGCTCCTCCGAGGCGATGAGGACCGAGTGGGCGTTGGCCATATCGGGCGCGATGGCGAGGTCCTGGGAGGCTTCGTAAGGGTCCGGCAGCGGCTTCCCCCGGCCGTCCAACACGCAGATGGACACCACGGGAGCTCTGTGCATGAGCTGGATCTCTTTGCCCAGAACGGCCTCCACGCACACGCCGCCCTCGCCGGCCCCCCGCTCGCAGGCGCGCCCCGAGCCCACGCCGGGCACCTCCAGAGCGTAGGCGTACACGCTGCCCGAGTTGGTCCCCGCCCACAGCGTGGCGCCGTGGTGCGTGCCTGGAAGGTACGGGAACAAAGCGGCCGTTATGGTCAGAGCGCCGCCTTCGGCTCCCGAGCCGGGAGGAGTGAAGCGAACGCACCGTCCCGCAGGAACGTGTCGGCGAAGCAGAGGCAGCGGACCACGCCGGACAGCGAGTCGTCCGCCGACCGGGGTTCGATCCGTCGCTGTATCGGCGCCACGTCCTCCTGCTCCGCCAGGGCGGCGTTGGCCTCCTGGACCTGCGGACGACCACAGCTGGAGTCAGTCCTGTCCGCGGCGCGTGGCCACGCCCCCCCCTCCCCTCCACAGACGCCCGGGTCGCTCACCTTGCTGGTGGGCGTGGCGACGGGCCGCTTCTTGCCCGACACGCGGCTCTTGCGGATGCGCCTGAAGCTCTGTCGCAAGGACTTCTTCAAGGACTTGACTCGGGACAGGGGGCCCTCCATCGCCAGCGAGTCATTGGGGTGCAGGGTGCACCTGGGGCGACATCGGCAGGGTGACGCACGGCTGGCGCGAATCAAAAAAAAAAACGTGGCGGCACGTCTCGAGAGTGCGCGTCCCGCTCACCTGGCCAGCACGGCGTTGCGTCTGTGGTAGTCGAACAGGCCGAACCCGTGACTCGTCCCGAAGGAGATCAGGTTCCACTCGGCGTGCAGCGCCACCGCCGTGACGGAGGCCGGGGGAACGCACTGCACCAGCACCAGCGGCTGGAAGCCCGGCGGGAAGGAGGCGGGCTTGAGGCGCGGCTCCAGCCGGTCGTGGCCCTTCCAGGTGAAGCCCTCCCGGTCCTGCAGCAGGTCGACCACCGACACGTCCACCGGGTGGGCCGAGCGCTCGTCGCTCAGGCCCAGGACGATCACCTGGGGAGACGGAGGGGATTATTGTACCCCAAAAAAAATACACAATCTTTTTTTTTTTTTTAAGTTTAACAGTAAAATCAGCAAAATATTCTCTCAGTTGTCTAAAAATCCACTTAAACCACATAATGGATGATGGTTCCATTATGGCTTCTGGCTGAAACAACATTGTTTTTGCCAAAATAGATTAAGCCGAGAGAGTTCTTTAAAACCACAAATGAAAACATTTGAAAGGAGCGTCTCATGGAAGTGATCTGAAATGTGCGCTGCGTTCGGTTACCTGTCCAGCCGTCCCGGCCACCACCAGCTTGTTGCTGTATTTGCACAGGCTGATCTTCTGGATGGCCAGTCGGGGGTCATCGCTGTACGGGTCAAAACAGCCCACCTACACACACAAATCAGTGTTTTATTCGAGTGGACAGCAGTGTTTTCTTTTAGACTCTCCGAGTTTTCTGAGCTCCAGGCGCACACACACACACACACACACACACGTCAAAGTGCAACTCCGTAAAGCTCTCCTCCTTCCTCCACTAAATGCCAGGACAATCCCCCTCGCACACACTCTTAATCTGTCCCTTGTCACAGTAGGAATTCCAATAGAATCCCCTCTCGCATGGATCTCAGCAAAAGGAGTAGTTGCTCACACTCACACACACACACACACACACACACACGAGTGGGCTGATGGGTCTGGTTTTCATTACACAGGAGGAAAAAAGAAAAGGGAAAGGCTCTTCGTCCCATATGAGGGCCACATTCCTGAACATGCAGCTCTGTTACCACAGGATACACGAGGAAAGGTGGGGGGGAGCCAAGGAGTGAATAAGAAGAAAAAGAGGCCTAAAACTAATTAAATCTGCCATTGTTTATTGTAACGGTGTTGTTAAATGTGTTTGTACCCTTTGTTTCGACACATTGCTGCGATTAAATTCACATGACGCCGGTTTCACGTGACAGCTGGCAGAAAAAGAACTGTCCCTTCACTTTAAATTGGTGCCATCTATAGATGAGATATCTTGGTCGAGACACAGAAACCTTCACAACTGTAGATCAAGAATACGTTTAAGGGCAAACTGCTTCCTCCCGACGCGGAATCACTTCATTTAAAATCATTCTGCACAGAAAAACACGGCCGTTAAAACACAATCTGCGGTTCCTTCAGAGTGAAGTTTTAATAAAAGGAACAATGGGGTTGTTCCCGTCTGAGAAAACTCGTGAAAGCAACCTGATGAGACGTACATGCAGCCACAGACGATGTTAAGAGGACAGACAGACTTTTGACTCCATTCATTCTTATTCTCACCTTCCTGAAGGGAGGCCATTCCTCCTCCTGCTGCATGTCGGGGTCGTCGCTGGGGTCCTGGGGGTCGTCGCTAGGGTCGCAGTCGGTGTGGAAGACGTTGGCCGTGCTCAGCTTGTACAGCGGAGTCAGAGCGACACCCGAAGCATCCCAGAACCGCACAGTACCGTCCTCGTGCCTTTGAACGCACAAACATGGTTGAATGGATGGATCAGGATAGTGCAGCTGGGCGTGTGTGTGTGTGTGTGCGCGAGAACCTTAATGCCATTATAAATCGATTCAGTAGACGTAGACAGAGTGTGTTGTGTCATTTTCTTATTCTGTGCACCATCGTCTGTCATTCAAGTGCGTTGACTTCTTAAAAATCTCTTGGCAGAAAGTCTTTCTGGCAACACGCCGTCTGTGGTGCGTTTTTCCCGATTCCAACCATCCAGCCGTTTGGCTTTATTTACACGCTGTAGTTGTGCCTCCACATCTGCAGTTGGCTACTAGTTGCCTCAGGACTTTGTTGCCATGGCAATGCTGACACATTTCTGCGTCGACCCGATTTAATTCAAGGTATCCGTGTGGTTCGCACGGGCGAAGAAAAACGAAAGCGGCAGATTTTCGTGAGAAATTTTTTTTTTAAAAATGGCTCCACCTGTGTTTGTGTGTGTGTGTGTGTGTGTGTGTGTGTGTGTTCACCCTGTCAACAGCAGCTCTTGGTTCTTGGGCGGAGGAGCGAGGTTTTTCCCTCCACAAATGGGCCAACTCTGCACAAACAAGTCAGAAACACTGAATACGTCAAAATGATCAACCACACATTACCTAACCCGTTCCATTTCATAGCGTACTGCAAATATGAGAACGTGTTCACGGAAAACATGTTGTTATAGTTCAAGTCTGATGATTCATGAGCGTACCAGCTGTGTGTGTGTGTGTGCGTGTGTGTGTGTGCATGTAATCTGCCACCGATCAAACAGCTGATCTAAGCTACGAAAGCCTTCGCAGAGCCTTTAACTGTCTACACCTGCTCTTACTGGTAAGCCGCCAGTAGGTTTCCTCACGGCCTGAGAGCTCACATGTACTCGTGGACCCAATGAATTAAACCGTCCATTTAATATCTTCACTCTAAACCGCGATGACAGAGGCGGCGGCATGAATGCGGCGAACGTAAGCCGGCTTCATTCGCAGCATGAGCATCCTGGCTATTGGCCATTCTCTGTTCGAGGTCGTTCTCAGGTTAAGCCGCTTACTCGCCGCATCTTGGATTTCCTGTAATTGAATACCTAGCCCCCCCCCCCTCCCCTGCGAGCGAACCAATTTACACAATAATCCCGCCGCTGGTGGCGCGCTGCCAGCCGGCCGCTTGTTACGCCGGATCAGACGATGTTGCTGCCGAAACACGTGTTGAGGCTGCGGGATTCCAACGCACGGAAGAGAAAATGAGGTCCGAACGCGCGCGTGCGAGCCGTCCTCGCGCGCCTCTCACCCCGTGCGCTGGCTGGCGGCCCTGCTGGGCTCTGCCGGCGTTCGCCAGCCTCTCCCACAGCTTGGGCGGGACGCCGGAGACGTGGAAGGAGCAGGTGATGGCCGAGGAGTGGAGCGGGGCCAGGTAAGGAGTGGGCAGCGAGGGCCACCCGGGGGTGCGCAGGTCCATCACCACCAGCTCCTCTTCCAGCAGGACCACCACCGCGGACGGCTCATCGAACTCTGACGAGGGAGAAACGGAATGAAGCGCAGCGGATGACTCCACTTTTCATGCAACGCGCGGCAGACTTTGGCGCCGACCTTCGTCCTGCTCGACGCCGTGGACGGTGAAGAAGTCGATGACGCGGGACGTGAAGTCCAGAGTGACGTGTTCTTTGTCCTGCTGGATGGTCAGACAGTGGCGGTCGCCGTAGCTGGCTCTGGGCATTCCGCCGCTGTACAACACCACCGGAGACCTGGAGAGAGAGCGCAGACAGCGACAACCGAGGTGAAGACGTATTTATCGTGTCATAGATAAATGTGAATGTTTGCTGCCTCCGTGATCGATAACACCTGGAGACATAATGTCACACTCACCCCGTCTGTGTGGTTCTCCACAGGATCTTGTTGATCGCCTTGCAGGGAAACGGGCCTGCAGCAGACGATCAAACGGTTTCAAACCGCTCAGTTCACGAGAAGGCCGAGGATTTAATTCAGAAAGGTGAAAGAAAAATGTTTTCACGCACACTTTATATGCATTTATGTTCTGTGAGAGGAAGGTTGTTTGGGGGTTTTTTTAGCTTCAGGAGTTGCGGCGCTAATTCTTCCCGCCTACGAGTCACAGAGGCTCAGAACGCAGAGTTCACCCACTATTGGGCGTCATACGGTCTTTGAGGACGAGACCCCACCTGGATGAGGTGTCAGTAAAGACGCCTCGGTGTGCGTTTCTCACCATATGGGATGGTGGAGGACACTGGCTGGTGGATGACGTTGTTGCCGGTAGTAACGGCCCACACGGAGTAGCCTCCATCGTTATGGGAGCTGACAAAAAGGTTTCCAGAGCGTTCCCACACCAGGCTCTCCAGCTGCTGCAGGAGAGGGGGGGGGGGGGGGTATTAGCATGAACCAGGTTGCATAACAGTGGTATTACAGCCGTGAAATATGAACCGTTGGTGCAGAAGGTACCTGCTTGCCCAGGAAGAGCTGCTCCACACGTCGGCTGGTCGATTCCCACAGGACCACCAGGCCTCGGCTGTAGCCGATCAGAAGCTTACCCGGCCGCTGGGGATGTTCCTGAAGGGACTCCACCGGCCCCAAGGACTTCCCACATCTGTAATCATCTGGCAGGCTGGGGAAAAACAAAAACAAAAAAACATTAGCATTACCTCACATGCTGTTACAAAATGTACAAAAAAGTGAAACGAGAGAGAAGTAAATAGCAGAGGAAGGAATAATAAAGGCTAAAACGACCCAACAGAGAAGGTGAGCCACGGGTTTCATGATTTAAAAAAGCTTAACTAATAATAATAATAAAGCCATCTACTGATGGTGAAATCCGTTCAAAAAGCAAATCTGTTATGTTAAATATTTATAAGCATATTTCCCTGATAAATGGGTCAAAACTAGTAGCTAAACTTACTCCAGCTCAGTTCATTTTCCTTTTTCTTTGGCGAAAACAAAAAAGTGTTCAAATTGATCAGCTTCAAGTTCAACCCGTCTGTGTAACCTCTGATACAAACACAACAACAACAACATGAGGCTGGAGGTAGTGGACCACACATTCCTCTAAAGGCAGCGGAGGAACGTGACGCCCGGGAGGAGTCAGAGGATTCGCCCAGCGAGGGACAGAAGGAGCCAGAGCTGATAATGAGAAAAAAAACCCCTGCAAAGCAGCGTTCCGCTCTCAGTGCTGAGGAGGAACCATCGTATAAATATAGATAGTGAGCATGCATGTAACACACACACACACACACACACACTTTTGACCGCTTAGGGAGCGTTTACTAAGGAAGATCCTCTCCGGAAGCACGGCGGCACGACAAAGCCCCCCATTGTCTCTGTCTCTTCGCTCACAAGTATTTTTAGGGAATCCGGCATCCTGCTAAAGAGTCCCGGTGATGAGCCTCTGTGTGTGTGTGTGTGTGTGTGTGTGTGTGTGTGTTAGAGATTCAGCTGAAGCACTTCCCCAACCGGAACACCGTGTTTTGGCAGCCGGCACAAAGCCTCCCTGTCTAAAACCTCCCCTCCATCACACACACAACAACAACACAACCCCCGTTAGGCCTCAGCTCTGCACGCTTCCCTAAGCGAGCCCGTTTAATGAAGGGTGTGATCCGTCACGCAGCGAAGTGAAGAAGAAGCTCAGTACCTCAACGAATCATCAGAAATTAAGAATCGCTTACCGGATGAAAATAACGTCACCGATTGAGAGACATCCTCATTCGTTACGTTATGTTAAGTTACGCATTACAGAAAGTAAAAAGCTGAAGGTGCCTTTAAAAATCAGTCGGTTAACATTGGTTCAAAAACGGATTCTTAATGATCATCGGTTCTTCCTCGGAGTCGGTGCTCCTCACTCACAGAAACTTAAATTAATATGAGTGCAAATTACTTTAAACAACCTTCATGAGGTCTGACCGTTCTCATTGGGGGGCATTTGTTTCTGTGTGTGTGTGTGTGTGTGTGTGTGTCTGCACTGCTGAGCTGCAGCTGTGAGAAGAGGAAACTGGAGAGTATTAAAAAAACAAAGTACTATTAATGCAACGATCTACCAAAAACAACGGAGTCCATTGGCCGCGGTTTACGTCACACTCGCCTCTGTATGATCTGATCCTGGAGCAGCGTCTGGCTCTCCTTCAGCGACAGGCGGGGCAACTCCAGGAAGTACACGCCCCCTCCCTCTGTCCCGACGCACAGCAGGTCGCCTGACCTCATCAGGAGGAGGACGGTCACCCGAGTGGCGCTGAGGAGAAGAGCGGGAGGATGAGGAGGATGAGGATGAAGAGGATGGGGACACATGCACCGGTCTTCGACGCACCTGCAGCTCTCAATGCCGGGTCTCCCTGGGAGGCTGTAGCAGTCCACTTCCTCCAGACAGACCACGCCTTCTCTCTTGGCCCCGCCCGCGTCCCGAGGGGCCCCGGCCACCAGCTCCCACAGGTGGAGCGTGTTGTCGTCCAGCAGCGAGAGCAGGCGACCCTAACCCGCAGATCACAGTCAACGCGACTCTCAGCACACAAAAGCGAAAGAAGGAGCCGCGGAGGAGACGAAGCGCCTCACCTGTCCAGGCAGGAAGTGGATTTGAGTGACGGCAGTGGTGTCCGCGTGTAGCCCCGTGAACTCCACGCCGGGGGACCCGTAGCTGTGAGGGTCTCGTCAAGGGGGGGGATTCACAACAAAGCTTCGGTACTGAACAAGAAAAAACGCCAATACGCAGAGAATCACACAACTAGGAGCGATATTCACAGATCGATACGTCCTGCGGATCTGTGAGTGATCAAAACGAGTCAAACTGTGAACCAAACTCACTGGTTAGGTGGAACAGCAGGAGACCCACCGCTGTGTGTGTGTGTGTGTAACCAGCAGTAAACTCCAGAGTCCCTTAGTTAGTCCAGTAAATGAAGCAGAGCCGATAAAATAAAAAGCTACACTCGAGAAGTCTGACGCAGGAGTACAAAACTACGCTAAATTGGGCTAAACTGCAAATTAGAGCACACACACACACACACACACAAACATGAGCGCACTGCTTACATAAGCCTGTAGGAATGTAGATTAAAAATGCAAGAAAATAAGAGCGTGGGGAGTTCTCTCTGGTGATTATATCAGGAATGTGTGAAGAGCTGATTTCACAGGTTTTCTTATATTATCCATTTTAATAAGAGATATTTTAACTTTTAATTATACTCTATATATCCAAATAGCCCAGGAGGAAGTTTACAGTTATCTTCATCTTTGCTTCTACGATGCTCAACCTCTCTGAGATGCAAAAGGAACCAACGAAGGGTTCCGAATCCCACAATTCATTTCTCTTGTTAGACCCGAGTTAAATGTACACATTTGCACCCCGACTCCCCTCATTTACTAAACATGTGAGTACTCGTACACGCAGTGAGGAGGTTTAGAAGGATTCAACACAGCGACACTGAAATCATGGCCTTTAGATTTGAACCTGAGTGACAAACATTGGGGGAGGGGCTTATCCTAAAAAAGGACAGATTCCGATTGGATCCGCTTCAGCTGAAGAGAAACAGAAGTGATAGCGTTATAAAGAAGGGCCTTCAGCTCATTCATCGCCATCTAAATCAGATCGTTTTTCCATCACAAGAACAAACAAAAAAAAAAGTGTTTAGCGAGAGTGACGTAAAGAAACGCTGCTCGTTTCATCCACGCATCACGACGCGGAGGTCTGCACCAAGTTTCATCATAATCCATCCGGCGTGGATTCAAATTCATTCAGCATTTTAAATAATTAATTGCCATTTCTTCTTCTTCTTCTGATAAAGATCAATGGACTGATTGCTTCTCAGTGAGAAAAGCAGCGAGGGCACGCTCATGGTCTCAGGTGATGAAATGTCCCTCGGAAAGCAACGCGAATAAAGTTCAGTGACGAGAAATCATCACCTGAGACTTCAACCTTGAGACGAGCCGTCGACACTGGTGGAGCGCAGCGACCACGAAGCGCACAGCAGAACCCCGACAGCACACAACGGAGGCCTACAGTAACTCAGCACCACTGAAGCAAACACACAGAAATTGCCCGGTGATGCAGAGCGAGAGCGTTAGCGAGGATAAAGCGATTTCACGGTCTGAATACAGACAAACAGAGGGCATTGTCCTCTATGTCGGACACACACACACACACACACACACACAGTGACAGAAGATTGGGACGGACAGGAAGGACGGACGGATCACTGGATCCGAGGATGAACGTACAAGTTGACCACACAGAATAAAGATTTAGGAATACATTTTTTTTTTTTTTAAACAGAAAAGTTCACAAAACTTCTATAAGTCGGACTCCGGACGTCTGAAGTCCGACTTCCTCTCGCTCTGAACTTGGAGGCGTCGTCAGACACATTTTTCCTCCTCAGACGTCTGGCGTGGAGCCGCCTCCGTCAGGACGAGCCAAACAACTCCACCCAGCAGAGAAACCATCAGTCTCATCCCCCCCCCCCCACGCTCAGTTGCACCCCCACCGGCCCGGGGTAAGTTAAGGTGGTGGGTTTGCTCGTTGGTGGTTTGACCTTTGGGAGATAAACAATGAAAAAAGTCTCAGCTGTGCAGCCTGAATAACCTCAGCAGTAAAGTGATGCTTTTGATCAGCACCGTTAACTGGGTTCCGGGTCCCAATGAGGGAGGTGTTCGGGTCCAAGTGAAGCGCCTCGTGGCACCGGCTGAGTGTTGAGCAACTTTTAAGAGCCAGCTGACGTGGAGCTGCTGGTTTCACTATAGTCAAACTAATAGAAGAATTTCATCAAGTAACGGCAGTTTATTACTGGAGGATTGTCTTCACAAAATGGCATTTAATAACTTTAAGCACCATCATCGCGTCTAGAACCCGTCCCAGGCTGCAGATACACTCCTATTTAGTTAAATTATCCAACCTTTGTTAGATCAACAATTTAGACAATTTAGTCAGACGGCAGAACAGAAAAAGCAGTAAGAATGTTGTGAGAGAGAAGGGAGTGTGTGTGGGGGTGAGGAGAGAAAGGGGGAGGGTGGGAGGAATGTTAAAGGCTGCATCTTCAACTGGAGTCAAATCCCCGCTGAACTTATTGATTCGCTTAACGGCAAAACAACAACAACAACAACAACAACGGAAATGCCCGTTACGCAGCCTGCGAGGTGTTTCCTCGTCTTCCCACAACGCAGCGGGAAAACAAATGAATTCGTTAAAATCATTATCGTCCAAAAAGCCGGGAGGGGGGAAAAAAAAGAAAAAGCAACCCGTCAAGCGATGATATCGGATCGGAGCGTTGGCTGCGTGGGTGTCTTAATATTTGCTCGTCCGCTGACCGTTTGATCGATACCGAAGCTTCACGGTCAAAGTTTCAGCGTGACTCAGCGTTTGCTCGATGACAGGCAGCGTTCAGTCGATCCGTGTGTGTGTGTGTGTGTGTGTGCGCGCGCTGTACTACGCCGTCGTACGAACGCTGCTGCAGCCTCTCAACGCCCTGAGGCCTGCGAGCGCTCCTCGTCCCCGGCGACTGCGCTGGTCGTCTTGGAAACGGATTCAAAAGCTTCCTTTCTTAAGACTCAGCAACAAAGCTCTTACTCACCCAATCTGAAAACTCTCTCACGCACACACACACACACAGGGTTAACCCAGGGCAGCGCAACGTACATTCTTCGACGGGAGACAGACCACCCCCCCTCCCCCCTCCACATGGTATTGTCCCCCTTCCCTCGGCTGAGCCCCAGTCTGCGGTGGAGGCAGAAACTCTCAGGGCGAAACACGACTCTGCCTCTATAAACACGACGGAGAGACGGGAAACAACGAGTGAGAGAAAAAGGAGAAAACTCTCACAAGATCAAACTCATTTGGTGACACAGCCAAAAGGTTCTTATCTCTTTTCACCTCTCGACACACACACACACACACACAGAGGTAGACTGCACATCTGGCAGTGATGCTGGAACTGTGTGTGTGTTACAGGTTGCAGGTATGCCGACATTCCCGTCCGGGTCAAAACCGAGTCAGTAAGATTATTAGGGAATGTGACGTTTGACACAAAAACACACTTCTCCAAAAAATAAATCAACTGGTGTTCAGGAGCAGACGGAGATAAAGTCTGTTAAAGCAGACGTGCAATCAGAGCTTCTGTGTAACTAAATCGCTCTGCTTGGTTTGGCCTCATATCGCCACCGGCGAGTAATTATCAAAGATGGTCGGGCCGAACAGTCCGAGTTGAGAGCGTCAGTCGAAGAGCGAAGAGTTACGTTCCCTCTGTGACGCTCCCTCCTCGTCTTCACGGCCTCCGTCTGTCTCCGTCCCCTCCCCTCCACTCCACTCCACTCCACCCGCCTCCCTCTGGGGCGGAGGCGCCTGGTACCACCAGTCTCCTCCTCTGAAAGAATTGATTCTCCGGTCTACTGCAACACACAACCACAGCCAGACTCCCTCCACACACACACACACACACACACCGATTACTACTACCGGAGCAGGAAACAATTATATTACTTTATTTTCTCTGCTTATCGAGGGTCCGCCTGGTCACTTGTGCCGCCTCCCATAAACATTGTGAGAGACTTAACAAAACACAAATATGCACAACTATTAAAAAACGGACAAAAATGACTAAAGCCTCGAACATCGTCGGCGTAGAAGGAAACCGAGTCGTCTCCACTCGGTGCAGACGGTGCAGCTCTAAACTGGCATCCGGTCAGCAAGTCCTCAACGAGGGTGTTTGTGTTTGTGCAGAGGAGACAGGAATCAACGCTCGTCCCGCAACCGCCAGGAGACGATTGAATCCTCGTAAAAAAAAAAGCGCGACAGCTGCTGCGAGGCGCCGACTCGAGCCGCCGCAGAGCTGATCGACAAATAAACATCGCAGCACTTGGGGAGACATGAAAACACTTTCTGCAGCTGGAGTCCATCACGCCTTCATTGCCGACGGCTGTGACTCGGCTCGCAGAGAGTCGGTGATGTCATGAATCCAGACGCCGGGGGAACTGCACCTGTGCGCCGGAGCCGCCAGCTCGGGGAGAACAAAAGAGGATACACTTTGATGGCGCCCGACTTTGTTCCGATGGCCATAAGTTCCAGCTTGGGGTCAAAGGCCAGAGCACTGGGCTGATGGGGGAACCCGTGCTCCACAGTCTGGAGGAGAGAGAGCGACAGATTAACACGTGACACGAAAGACGACCATGAAAAACCTCAGACTCGTTGTTTTATTGTGTGATGGAGTCTGACGGCCAGCGAGGCGTCAGAAAGGGAGGAGGCCCTCCATAAAGTGAGGAGAAATTAGACTTTATTAAATGGGATTCAATTTAAATCACAGCTTGTTTTTCTTCTTCTGCACATGCGAAGAAGAGACAGCTGGGAAAACGTTGAAACAAAACAAAGACACGGAGCTGCTTCGCGACAGACGTCGCTTTGTAGTCCGAGAAATGTGGACGTTGCAAGTACGTTAAAACAAAAGTATTTATTGACGCCCTCAGGCAGCTCGCAGTCATTCGTCACTAAATTGAAGCTAAATCAAGGAAACTGCTTTTAGTGTTTGGAACATTTTACAACGCACATTAAAAAAAAAAACACGACGCAACGAACAAAAGGTTGATTAGAAATCCCTGGTTACGAACTGGTCTCCTCCTGAACGTATTTAAAGTTCTGTGGTTGTTTGCTTGCTCTCTTTGGTTTTAATTGCACATTACACGTCGTTGCTGAAGAATCCCTCAGAGACTCCTGGTAATAAGTAACACTTAGTGTCCTTAAATATCTCAGAGACACATCAAAGAGACACTCTGTTGGGAGACCACCTCGGTGACGGTTGTGGCAGCTGGTGCCAAAAAGTTTGCGCGTGTGTGTGTGTGTGTGTGTTGTGTGTTGTCACAGCCTGACAAACAGCTCATGGACCTTAGACGCGATGCACTCTTCAGCTGACCTCAATAAACCTTCTAAAAACAATCGTGTTTTGGGTTACAAACGCCACAAATCAAAACTCCAGCTTCTCAGATGTGCAGTTTTTCTTTGTCACATTTGATGGCAAATGGAAATTCCGATCATGGAATTAAATAAGAAATTAAATGTTTCACTTTGAACTCTGGGAAAGCGTTGATGGATATTTCCCACCGTGTAGTAGATTCAGACTCATGATCACACTCGTCAGGTGAATTGATAACTGAAGCGGTTTTGGGTGGAATCACACAGTTTATTTCACCCACATTCTTACTGGAGAATTTTAAATAACGCCCCGTACAGCTTTGGGTTAAATCTGTGACGTCATCCACTTTCATGATAGAGCTCTACTTTTTAAGAGTCTGCCGACTGTCTGCGGCCAAACGGGTCCAAGGCCCAAAGGATCACCTGCAACTCACATTCCATTTGCTGAAATCAATCAATCAATCAATCGATCGATACGATCCACGGACTTCGATCTGGTTCTGAAGGATCGGACCCGTTTGGAACCAGCGGGGCGGATTGTTGGAAGTGGAGCAGCCACATTTTGTTCAGCATTGATTATTGAGGAGGGGGTGAGAATGATCGTGTTACGTTAATCAAAGGGCTGTGTGCGTGCGCGCGCACAGACACACACACACGCTCGCGCGCGCACATAAACAAAGCCCCCACGCGCGTCCAGCCTGCAGCGAAAACATAACAACACTGCTGCAGAGAGCTCGACTGAAAACATGGTCCGGTTTAGAGATAGCGATGGACACACTCCCCCACTGTGCCCCCCCCCATCTCCCCCACCTCCCCCATCTCCCCCCGTCCCGTTACTTTACCTTGTTGAAGGCGAATAGCTCCTGTTTGATCTTCTCTCTCTGCGGGTCGGTGCCCTGCCGACGAAACCTAAACTTCATCATCTTGCAGCGGCGGAGGCAGGACTACTGGAAGGTGGAGGAGAGGGTGGTGTTGGTGGGTGGTGGTGGTGGTGGGGGGGAGGGGTACGGAGAGGAAAACACGGCAGTTTGTCGGCGGCGCGGCGCAGTGGGACGATGCTAAGCTAAGCTAACCGACTAGCCCATTCAGGCTGAAAGCGGGGCGGCTGCTGCTCCCTCCTCTCCCTCCTGGAGCTCTTTAGGGTCTGACCGCCGTCTCGCTCCCCCCACCCCGCTCTCCACCTCCTTCCGGTTCACACGGACCCCCCGTTGTCGTTAACCAATGGGCGCGGAGAGATCTGCGAGCAATTACTCAGAAACGCCCACACGGGCAGAGCGCTGCGACCCGGAGGGAGGCGATCGCTCGGTTCGTAGCGCGGGACGCGCCGGATGCGCATCCCGCTCACATCCGTCGGTGCAGAGAGTGAAACGGCTCGTCCGGTGGTAAAATGAAGCCGGTGGACTCTGAATTGCCTTCGACAGCCGATGCTGACAAAGCGAACTTGTTAAAAAAATAAAACCTTCTGCTGTTAACAATGTCCTTTGTAAACATGGTGGTATCGTAAGGAAATGAGGGGTTCATGAATCTAAATGATTTTAAATTCAAATCTCAACTGAAATCTGTGTTATCAAAAAGAATGCATGTTGGTACTGAGCATCGATCTCTGCCTATCTGAAAACACCGGCTGTTATACTTAGTATTTACTTTTAAAATATTGTATCAGTTGTTATATGTTCGTTATTTCCTCTTCTGTTTTTGTGTCTCTTTCTTGCCTTTGAAATTCTACTTGTTTTACCCGTTAATGTAAATGATGTTAATAAATTAAATGAAACAAATTCATACACCAGAGTAATTTATGTTACAAACTTTAATTTACAGCATTAATGACATTCATTAGTTATGTACAACAGATATTTACAAAAACATGTATAATTAATTAATCTAATTAGTGCAAAGAGTTCAGCGATGTGGCTTTTATCTGCGCGCCAAACATTTTCTCATCACGACTTTCTCTCGTTTTTTGTTTCATTTGGAAAAAAACGGTTCATAAAAAATGTATGGTCGGCTTTTATAACTAATGAAAAAATTATGTATCGTGTCAAACCACAAGCATCTAATAATGTTTCTGGGAAGATACGGTTCCACTTATGTTTCACATTTCAGCTTGTAGAGCGCAAACCACACCAGATGTTTTCAGGGCAAGATCACATTCCAGATCGATGCTGACACAACTCTGCTGAAGTGGGGAAGTAAAGTAAATTAATCAGGCCTCTTCTATTTACCCCCCCACCCCCCCCCACCCTCATAAAGCAACAATGGCAAAGAAGATCCTAATCAGTTTTGGCTAGAAAAAATTCAAACTATAAACATGAATAGGTTTGGTCCCTTATGGATTTCCGACTTTCTTCTCATTGCATCACAGACATGCATTTCACTCAGTGGTAACTCTAAAAGTGAAACACCCCAAAATTGAATTGTTCCAAATATGAATATTGAATAGAATATGCTGCTTTTCTTAGTTTTGTGATAGTAAAACAAATAGAGGTTTGGACTTTTGCTTTTAATATTTCGCACTTATCTGATATTATATGGATTATATAGAATGATTAATGAAGACGATAATCTTTGGTTGCAGCTCAGTGAGTATTTCATGTACCATATAAGTATCAAAATATTCTACTTTCTAAACAGAGGTAGATTTTTTTACGAGGCATAAAGAGCGACTTCTGTGTATGTGTGTGAGAAGGGTTTTTTCTTATAGCATTGTGATCTCACTTGGTGGCAAAGTGAGTCTCTTTTCTCTGACTGACAACATGTTCTCCACGTGCATGGCGATGACTCGGCACAGCTCCAGGCCCTGCAAACGCACAAACAAAGCCACACGCAACAGACAGAAGCATGTGTTTGTGAGGGAAACGCAAAACCACATGTACATATTGTACCGGCAGCTCTCCTTCATCAACTCTCTCTGTCTGTATCTCTCACACACACACACACACACACACACACACACACACACACACACACACACCTGCTCCAGCTGTAGCTGTGTGATGCGCTGGTTCAGCAGGTCTCCGATCATGATCTCCACATACGGATAACTGGAGCCCGAAGTCGGCCTCTGAGTTCGAGTCGACTGGACCTCCTTCAGAGGGAAACGCACAATCGCCTCCTATTCACGCACACACACAAATATATATGTGTGGAGACACTCACACAATGAAGCAGAGGTATGCACATTATGGTATTTAATAGATGAAAGTGACTACAACCACCAACAGGGGGAGCTAAAGCTTATATATTTGTAATAATACAAGTCTGCTTTTAGCTCGTATGTGTGATTGTGAACGAGTGACGCACGTGAGTATCCTTGTTCAGAAAGTGCAGTCCGTTCAGATTCACAGCGAGGATGCACGGGGCCTGGATGGAGGCGGAGCTACAGCTCTGGATGTAGAAGAAGGAGGAGCCGAACTTGGGGAAGGCACTGACCAGACCTGGGACGAACGCAGAACACTCAAACAGTCAGAGGTAGATTCCTAGAGAGTCGTCATGTGAAAAATGAGGTCAGGAGTCTCACCGAGGAACTGTGCACGAGCCTGGTGTGGGTTTAAGGGCTGCACCTGCTGCATGTGTTGAGTTGTCATGTTCAGCCAAAGCTGTGAACCCTGTTTGCAGTAGAACTGCGGGGGGACGCACTCCTGCACCTCGCGGCTAAAATCACACACACAAAGAGCAAAAAAAAAACGGTGACACACCAGAGGAAAGCAGCTGAGCATTCGGCGAGGATGCACGTGGATGGAAAGATCACAGCTCAGACCAAAAGTAAGCATGACTGTGCACACGGTATTTACAGGGTGGGCAGGTAGACGGTGTCCTTGGCACGGTGCTGCAGGGCGGACAGTCTGGCTATCTGCTGCAGCTGCGGGTCGCTGGCCTTGCCGTGAGGAACCACGCTCATCAAGGCCTTCAGGTAGTCCGGCAGCACCTTCAAATAGACACACGGGAGAGTTTGCTGCTTAAATGGTCACGCTGTCAATGCTGCGGCTGTGGATCAGCTCCTCCAGTTATGAACACTGGACAGTAACTCTGCAAACTGATAGAGGAAAATATCTACAGGGGCTCCATTGGAGTCACTTCACGCCATCTACCTGGTTGTAGTGCATGGTGACGTAAAGCTCGTTGTCGAGTTTGAGAGCCAGACTCCATATGACTCTCCTGAACCACAGGCTGTAGTTGGCGTCCACTGACTCCGCCTCCGTAGCGATGTCCAGGATGTATTCCCGCTTGTTCAGAGGACGCACATTCTGACCTTCACCGAAACACACTGGGGTTATTATCTGTGGCGTATTTGTCTAAATCAAGAGTGTCTTTACTGCGACATCCTAGATCTTTGTTAAACCTTTGTGTGTGACCAAGAAGACGGCGTATTCATCCAAAGCCTCCGTCCTGTGAAGTTCCATCTCGTAGCAAAGCTCCTCGATGACGTCCAAAGCAACCTGGAATAAATACATTTATCAACAATATAGCAATGCTGCCGTCCTGATGACCGGGCAGCTGTTTCTGTCCTGTTAAGAGTCTACATTCAGGGCACGAGGCCACCAGAGTCTCAATGCTTTTCAAGTGTGTGTGTGTGTGTTTGTTGCGTCACTCACCGAGCATGTCTTGATCTTCAGGTGACGTTCGATCCCACCTGGCAGCAGGAACAGCTGTCTCTTGGAGCTCCGCCCAGCCTGCAGACAAACAGCCAATCAGAAGGGCGACGTCATACGACGCGTTAACACCAGCGTGAGGTGTGCAGCTGTCAAACAAACTCACTCGAAACAGGACGGACGCCTTTCTAAGACTTAACAAACCGCTAAACATTTATGCCTAATTAATGATATAACAAGCATTGTTTATGACGAAGCTCAAACGATGGAGACAAGTAAGATTAAATCAAATCTACTGAATTGTGATTAAAATGCTTTCCTTGAATATTCTGGCATCTCATTACAATACAATTGATGCCTACATTGACTACTTAACATCAGCTTTTATGGCTGTTTTTTATGCATTCACAGGAACACCTATATTACATTTAACAAAGTTCTGATGCAAAGAGCACTTTTTAAAATTTTCCTCTCAGATTTGGTGCACATTTGAGCATATAAAAGCCCCTTAAAGAACAGTGAACTAAGAGACTAACCAGCATAGCCTTGAGTTCCATGCTGTTGGGATACTGAATACGCCCGCCATATTGAAAAGTCCTCCTCAGATTCTGCTCACAAGCCTTAGCGACGCCTGTCAATGGAGAGCAGCACATCGGCGATAACTTAGACCAGTCAGACTGCTGGAGACGGATCTGTAGTGTGACATGTGCGGCTTCTCTCAATCCGATGTGAGGGCTGGTACCTTGGTACTGCATCCCGGGACTGTCGCAGGCGTCCTGCAGGAACTTCAAGACGAACGGCTTCATGACATCGGAGCAGCGATGGAAAGCTGCCAGGATGTAGAGCAGCCTCCATCCTCTCTGACAGCTGTCCCTGCACAAATACACGCACAGACGGGAGAAAAGGTAAGCCCGCCTCCGGCCGCCGTGGATGTCCTGAGTGTGTGAGGTCAAAGGTCGAGGAGTCTCACGGTTTGGAGCTGGTGTTGCCGGTGACTTGCTTCATCAACTGGCAGTAGGCTTCATCCTTGATCAGGCCATGTTCGCCACTCAGCTAGATTCAGAAGCACATGCGTTAATCTCTGTAATTTCACATAAATACATGATCTGTTTACAGTGTTAGTATTTTAAAACCGAATCAAATGTGTGAGAGTCCGTGTACCTTCAGTATAGTGGTGACCAGATCCTGTTCCGTCTGACCTTTCAGCGGGAAGTCTCCCATGAACTTCATTATGGCTGCATGAGAAACAATCAATGTGAAAACAAACTATGATACAAGACAGAAAAGAAACAGACGTCGCTTTTTCTTTTCCTCCCTCTCACACTTTTTGGGGAACTGCACAGTAAATGATCAACCTTCCTCCTCCACCTCCTCTCTGTATCCATCCCTCCTTTCCCTACTCTCCCCTCACCCAAGAAGATGTCGGCAGCCACCCTGTTCATCCCGCTGTCTGAGAAGTCGATCAGAGACTCCTGGATCGGAGACTAAGACATAACAAGGAGAAGGACTTTGTACTTTGTAGAGCGATACGAAGGACAGAACATTCATGTTAAAGGATGCAGAGACATGAAAGCTTAAAGCAAACTGCGCCGCTTTACCTTGGAGAACTTGACCATGTCCACGGGCTCCCTGCACTCCTTCGCCTTTTTGGCTTTATGATCACTGTGGCGCAAAAACACGGGTGGCAGTTATGAACTGTGCGTGTGTGCAGGTGTCGTGTCCGTGATGTCACATAACGTGTGTGTCTGACCTTCTGTTCCTCTGCGCCTCTCTGAAGTACTTCTTGGCAAACTCGGTCATGTGGTACTGACCGCCGTGGAGAGGCAGATCGTCCAGTCCGACGCTCAGACCGTCGCCGTACATCTCATTTACTGCCTGGCGCACAAAGACAAAACGTTCACCCACATCCGGCGGAAACAGCAGCTTGAAACATGACACGAGATGATTCTCTTTATTCTCTTCATCTGTTCATCTGACATCTCATCCGCGACGTGATTAAACAACTGCCTGGTCCGCACCTCTGTGGAGAGGTCAAGCTCGTGGGCGGCCACTGCCGAGCCCATCGCCACGGCGATAGCCGCCGACGCAGCGACTCGTCCCTGTCGGTCTCGAGGCTCCACGCGCTCAGCAGGGAGGACCAGGAAGTCCGGGGCGGCCACGGGGCGCACGTACTCGCTGGGAAACACTCCGGATTTTCCGTAGACAGCCCCGAACCGCCAGCCTGTGCACACACACAGACACACACAGACACACACACTCAGAACATGTAAGGAAACCCCACAAAACAACACTTGACTAAAACGGCAAACTCAACAGCACAAACACCCACCGAACTCCGGAGTGTCCCTCTTCAGCTCCTCCAGAAGCATGACCTTCTTCCTCACGATGCAGCCGTAATGTTTGCCTGAACACACGCGCACACACAGATGCACACGGACACGTGAAACACGCAGAAGCCGTGACGTACTCTACATGGCTCACAGCGCGTGTGTGTGCTGAGTCTCACCGGCCTCCAGCCCGTCCATGTGCTGCAGTCTGATGATGTCTCCTTTGTGGAAGCTGAGCAGCGTCCTGTCCTCGGTGACCGAGTTCCTCACCGCCACCATGTACTCCGAGTCCTGACGGAGATTCCACAGGTTGATAAAAGACAAGATGCCAATAAATGTTTAAGACACCTTCCAGCATTAACACAAGTCAACAAAGACAACAACCAAACGACTGTTGGGTTCAAAAGCATCTTCAAGCAAGACCTTCAAACAACAGACACACACAGACGGACGACCTCTGACCTTCTTCAGCTCCGTGAGGAAGTAGTCGATCATGTGCTTGACCTGCGGGGCCTTCGCCGAGAACAGGATCAGCTTCTCGTTGGTCAGGTTGAACTCCAGCATGTTCTTAGAGGGAATCGACACAAACAGGATGTCCGAGTAGCTGAGCAGGAAGTGAAGGGTAAAAAAAACAACACAGGGGGTCCACATGAAGTTGCAAAGACAGGAAAATAAAAAGGTCTCTCGAGGGACTGACTTTGGGTTTGTTTTATTTAGAGTTTCAGGCTGAGCTCAGCTCTGCTCATGTTTATTGAGGCTCACCTGTACGGCCTCAGCACTCGGAAGTAGTCTGAAGCAGCAGAGCTACTCCTCACCATCCTCAGCAGCTTGATGCCTTTATGAGACACAGACAGCACCTGCACCCCTGTCCCCACACTACCCTGGAAGGGTTCAGCAGATTTATAGAGGGAACTTCCCAATTTTAGTTAAGCTCACGAACGCCAGGAAAGAGACAAGAACTCACAGAGGCTGGGAAGAGACGGGAGAAGTAAATCTCCCACACGTCTCTGGCCATCACCACCACTTTCTTCTTGGCGCTCTCGTCGTGCGTTCCTGACATCTGCTCCACTTTGTTCTCAGCTGTGAACGACACGGAGACGTTTTAGTTATCGAATCCAGAGGGTTGGAAAGGCTTTCACGTCTTGTAGATGTTGGGCAGTCCAAGGTCAAGTTATTCAGATGGGTTTCTCTTACCAAATAAGGTTTTCATCTTCTGTCGCTCCTCCTCGGTGATTCGGATGCAGGCCTCGGAAAAGGTGTCGTGTACAACCTGCAGGACACAATCAGGAATATAAATCCGCTGGTGTGGAATTCCCTTTAGATTCCTGCTGTGAATAAGTATCATTAACCGTCTAATCAAAAGCCAGGATTGAATACATACAAACAATAAACTGTATTTTTAACATGAAGCTCCCGTGAAATAACGTTCGTCTGGACGTCAGACTGACTCTGTCTCTTTCCTCTTCCCTTTCAAAATAAAAGCCTCATAGAGTAACGTTATTTTAACAGGAAGCTCCTCTCTTATAGAATAACCACTCTCCCCATCTATTTATCTATAATAAAAGCAATACTTTTATCCTTTTATATTCCATAAATCATTATGATCTTAACTATTAGCATGATGACCATGAACTGGATTTTCCTATGATGAAAAACACTGATTGAAGAAAGTGACTTCAAAATGGATAAATAAGTAAATATAAATAAGTGAGAAAACATAAATCTACCTGTCTGAAAATGAGGTCCAGAACCAGCGGACTGTTGAAAGTCTCTTTAGGATAGAAAACCTAGAAATATACAGAAAAAGAACATGGAAACATTGATGGAAATATTATTATATGATTTTAAATCTACACCTTGATATCAAAGCCTTGCAACGTAGTTCAATTTGAATTGATTATTTTTGTTATTTATTTTGCTGTGCTTGTGTGCTGATGAAACGCACCTCTTTCCTCATGTAGAGTTTCCACGGGACGTTGGAGTACGTATAATATTCATCACTAGTCTTGCTGTGAAGTTGAGTCTGAATAATCTCCTCCTCTACTGGCAACTCCCTAGAGACTAGAAACACACACACACACACACACACAGGGTTTTTGACCATGTCTTCCCAATACACTCAACTCACATACACAAGTAAAAAGAGTCTAGACATTCCGTTTATTACTGGCCATTGATGTCACATTGGTGTGTAGAAAGCTCACCCGGAGGAGGGGCGGGGCTTATGCTCAAGCTACTTGGCCCCGCGGGGCGAGACGTGGTCGTCTTGGAAACCTTAACTCCTCCCTCTTCTTTACGTAGGAAGGATTGAGGCTTCCTTTGAGTCTGAGACAAAAAAACATGATAAAAATTCTATGTATATTATTTCAGTATGTGTGCACTTGTGTGTGTGTGGTAGGTGTGGAGTCGGGGTACCGGTTTTGGTGGGTTTGACATCTGATCTTTAAGGATCTCCATAGCTTCATCATGTGGGTCGGGCTTCTTGCCAAACATATTTCCATCACCTTTCCTACACACACACACACACACACGCAGGACGTATTAGACATTAGAAAACACCATAACCGGTATTGAGTTAGTGATGGCAGGAAGTCGTCAGCATGTCACCTCGGAGCGGCAGGTCCAGCAGAGGTGGTCACATCAGCAGGCTGGTGGTGTTTGATGATGTCTTTAATGTTGTGGCTGGGATCGATGCGCTCTGAGTTACTCGCACTGGATCGGACCACTTCTTCCGGAGGGGGGCCACGCGTGGGACCTGGAAAGTCACTTTCCGTTAGATCCGGTGCGGATAGTTTAACAGACAGTTTAACGGTCAAACTCAGCAGCTGTTGGATTTAGTCCCGTAATGAAATCATTTTCTCGAGTGGAAGTGCGTAATCAGACCGAAGGGAGACGACAGGAAACCAACCAGAGAGAAAGAAGCAACAGACGTCCTCGGTGACACTTACACTGGGGATGTTGTGGTTTGAGGCCGAGCCTCAAAGGCCCTCCCTAAAGTCAGTAACTTTTCGTTCATGAAAACCAGCTATAAAAGGCCCTGCTATGGAAGTAAATCTGTGTCATCGGATTTTGAAAGAAAAAGGTGATTGAATTTCTAGCACTGAATATTTATGCATTGAAATCATGTATCTGAATGTTTTTCAACGTTAAAATATTCAACTGCAAAAAAATTCAACCGCAAATAATTCAACCGCAAAAATTCAATGCAAAAAAAATTCAATGCAAAAAAATTCGAACCGCAACATCCGGGAACCCAAGGAAGAGCAATCGATTCTAGATCAAGATCGGGAGCGTGCGTCAAGCAAAAGGAGCGAGCTCCCCAATACAACTTCGGCTTGTCGACTATGATGACCGGATTTCAGCCATGTCCATTAATAATGGGGCTTCGTTGAGTGTTTTAACTTTAACTTCATGCCATCAGTGTCAGTAATCAGTGTCAGTGTCAGCTAAGTCAGTAACTTTTCGTTCATGAAAACCAGCTATAAAAGGCCCTGCCGTTGTGATCATGGCATTCTAACTAAACAAGGACTAACTTAACTGGTTTTGAGAGTGTGAATCTTACTCATTTTACGGTGAGCAGCAGCAGACTTGTGCGGCGACTCTACTGGCGGGTGTGTGTGGTGGTGGGAGGGGGGTGACATGGGCGCAGGGGCAACGGGGGGCGACTGGGGCGCAGGGGCAACGGGGGGGAAGGACGACAACATCTGCTGCTGGATCGCAATGGCCTGCATGGTCATCTGCTGGGCCTGCACACACACATAGATGTTGACAGGCTGTTGACACGCCGTTAACATGTGTGCGAGTTGTCCGTAAAAATGTTTACTAAGACAAACCAGGATGATGGCTTGCTGGTTGATGATGGACTGTTGCTGTTGGGTTAGTACTGTGTGCTCCGATCCTAGAAAAGTATAAACCACAGTAAAAAAAAAAAGCATATAACGCATTGACATAATTTAGTAAAGAGACACACGCAGCTCACGGCAACAGACTCTTGAGGCTCCGCCCCTTCAAAGAATCCACACAGAGGAGCTTCACCGCCTCACACTGAAGTGCTTTAGGGACTTTTCATCCAACACGAATTGCGACTCCTCCACGCCAACATGCTTCTGGCCAAAACACGCCGGAACACACACCCGATGTTCTGTACCTGGAAAACCCGTCATCACCGGAAAGCCCGGAATCGCAGGCGTGACCGGGAGCGAGGGCGGCGCCGGCAGGGAAGCTACGGCATCCCCGCCGGCAGGAGGCGCACGAGCGGCCGGCGGGTTTGGTGCTACGCGGGTGGAGGGGGTGACGGTGGGAGGGTTATGTGGGCGGTCGGGGTGATGGGGGAGGTTGTATTGGTGGAATTGTTGAGGCTGCTGCTGGTGCTGATGTTGCTGCGGGCGGTGCTGCTGATGCTGGTGGTGCTGCTGGTGGTGATGGTGGTGGGAGGGGATGGGCATGGCGGGGATGGGGGGCATCATTCCTCCTGCTACCGGAAGCACTGGCACAGCTTGAGGAGCGAACAGGTCAGGGAACAGGGGGAGAGTTAGGGACAGCGCTGCCTCCAGGGCTCCGCCTCCTTTGAACACGCCAACTTAACGCAAGTTAAGATCCAACAAAGACATGTTAAAACAATCTAATCAACCTGTATGCAGTTTGCATATTTAGGTCCATTTTTAGTAATCTCCTTCACCGCCTTTTCCTTCTCAGTCGTCATAGCTCATCAATTCTCTGCTGGTCCTCGTTCAACCGGTGGAGACGACGTAGTTTACACAAAACCGCCTTGATCGAATGAGCAGGGAAACTAAATGATGGGGGGATGGTCAGTGAGCGAAGGAGAGCGATGCCTATTGAGAGTAGATGAGTCATCTGTGGTTACAGTAAATGGCTGCACATGTATTATCGATGAGGTCTGCTCATTAGAGCCTCCGAGCTGCAGTTTAAGGTTGTTAAACCGCACACCTGAAGGTTTAGACCTCACAGAGACACCTCAGCCTGTAACAACATGGAAATAACAATGACAGTCATCACAGGTCGGGTCTTTTGAGGAGGAAGAAGCATCGTTTAACCCATGAAACCACGTGTCTGAGTGACCTGGAAATCAACAGGCTGCATTTGGGACATTCAAATAATTATTAAGGGCTAAAATTATGGTCATTTAAAGATCAGACTATGTTTGTGGGCTGTAAAGTTTTGCGTCAATTGAGCTAAAAATGTAGGAGGTTAAATTAGATGAAGTAGTAGAAACATCCAAACATTTCTCCTCAATTTTCATTCTGTTGAAAGCTGAAAATATTTAAGAATTATTTCATAGGTTTTGAATGGTTGCCATTAGTTTATCACAGTGTTAAAGTTCATTTAATACTTGAATAATTTCCTTTTTATTTCTGCTTATTTGTTATGTCTGTTGGTTTTGTACTTGTGTGCTAGACTTGGCCCTGCTTCCAGTTTTCTATTTATCCACTATAACTATTTGCCAACATGAGACTAATGATGAGGATTTAGAACCAACTGAGAACAAGGTGAACAGAGAAAAAGAGGACAAAAGAAAGTATATAATTTATAAAAACCATGCAGTTGAAATTAAAAATTAATAAAAAGACACAAAAAAATAGAATAGAAAAAACATTGGAGGTAATTAACAGAAAACACACAAAAACACGCGTGTTTTACCTCCGGGATGTATTCCTGGTGGAAAAGGTCGGCTGGAAGGCGTTTGACTCTCGTCGTCTCCTCTGCCTCCTCCGGTGATGCCGATACCTCCTCCTCCCTTCATCCTCGCTGACAAACCTCCAGCTTTTTCAGTGTCCTGGAAGCCAGAGAGAAACGGGAGATTCAGCAGGTGGAAAAGGGCCGTAGGGGATGTTGAGAAAGTGGAGTTTGAGAGACATGAAGAGCAGCAGAAGTGTGTGTGTGTGTGTGTGTGTGTTAGAAGAAGACTCATGGAACAAGAGAGGGGGCGTGGAGTGTATTGTACTGGTTGATTTGGACCCTCTGTGAGTGCGTCAGTAGAGGTGTAGGAACTAAATACTCTGCAGGAAGTACCGTACCCACTGGAGGAGAAGCTCCTAAAGAAGTGGTCTCAAGTCTCCTGCAAACTCTTCTGCAGCATAACCAACGCCACTGTCGTACGTTATTACTAAAGTCAGGTGATTTACATTTCAAGCAGCAGCAGTTGTATCTTCTGCGTATTTGCATCACCATAAACTTCTTCAGCAGAAAGTCCAAGAGAGATCCGTTGGTTTCTTTGACGGAGAGATCTTCTGACAAAGGACCTCAGGGGTTGTTTAATTAAAATCAAACTATGATATAATATTTTAGTTTGAAAGTGTCCATGAGAACCGTGGTCACCACATAAAACAAACCTGTACTCACTGAGCTTCTTACGATGAGTTTTACAGAACATTATGTGAAGCTGGTATCAGCGCGGAGTGCACGAGTGCTGCCTGCTGCTGCGGTTAAATACGGTAAGTCCCTCAGTAACCGGATCGCTCCATTCATACACAAACAGAAGCAGTGGATCACATGTTCCTCTCATCCATCAACACTGCGCTCCGTTCACACTCGGTGGGCAGATCAGGTGGAGGCACCATGACGTGACTGTTTTTTTGCATTTCAGAGCTCCGCGTAACAAGAACTTCCTTTGTGATTGATTGGCTTGATTAGCTTATAAAAGAAAATACATTAAATGTTTTTATTTGACTGAGCGTAACATAAAGGAAACATTTCTTCCATACACATTAAGAGCTGCTCCCGTAGTTGGTTTCGGTGTGCTCATGAGGTCAGAACTTACCACGCTGCCGTCCGACAGCACGGGGTCGAACAGACTGTCCAGGTAGCGGTCCATTCCTCTCTGAGTCTGACCGTCGCTGAACGCGTCCGACTCTGCCGGACACGGAGACACAGCGGAGCAGCTTTAATGACCACAGATCAAAACCATTCAACAGAAACAAGCTGCCGTTCTATTTAACAGCCCTCTCTTGTGACTGTGTCTGCAGATTTACACCCTGAATATAAACATTCTTACTGATGCTTGTAGTAAAGTCGAGGACATTTTTGTGTGCGTCTGTGTACCGTGGCTGTAGTAACCGTCAGAGTCCGGCAGACTGTGGGCCGGTCCGCTGGTACGGAGCGGGAAGGCAGGAGGAAGCTCCTCATCCGACTCAAAGCCGCTGCCAAACATGGCACTGAGAGGGCAGGAGATGAGGAGAGGGGAGAGGAAGAGAAACACGGGTGAGGAAAAAAAGAAAATTCTTTTCTTTGGTATCTTGATTTAAAACATTTGTGCTCCGTGTACTGACAGGCCGGCCTTGGCTCTGACCCCGGTGGGGTCGTCGGTGCTGATGACGAAAAAGCTTTTCTGCTTCGGGAAGTTAGGCGGCAGCTCCAGGTCCGCGATCAGGTCCATCACGTAGTCGTGGGCCGCTAACTCCACCCACTGGCCGTGCTCCTTCATCAGGACCGAACTCCCCCTCCACCAGTCCGACACTCCCCTGCAGGAGCAGACGTTTCAAATACCATCAGCATTCTAACCATTACGTGCTGCACAATGTAACCGTATTTAAAGCGGCCATTAGCATGGAGTTAGTTAGTCAGGAGTTTTAGATCAAATAATACATTTCAAGAGGTCACTCCTTATTTAATGCATAAACAAAAGCTAGAGCGTACGACACAAGTATCTGAGCATAGCTGTTAGCAGAAAATAAATCTGTTTAACTTGTGTTTAATACTAAATGTGAGATGTGGTCACCTGTGGCGCAGCACGTCGCCTGCTAAATCCTCTCCGCTGGTCCACGAATGGACGGGACACAAGAACGATCCTCCTATAAATGAATATAATAAGAATATGTCACACTGTCACAGACATGAGCTCTGCATCTAAGCCATGCTCGGCATTCAGGAGCAGCGAGATGCTTTAAAGCATCCGGGGGGGTCTTTGACATGTGGATTGACCCCAACAAATTACACAAATTAAAATCCTACCAAAGGAGCAACAGATTGTTTTCTATTGAATTCTACGACGAGAGCACTGTAGTTTTATGATCCTATCCTGAGTGGGAATTAATAATAAATAATCAAATGTGGTAATTGATCCCACCCAATAAAAGAGCTTAAATTTGAAGTTGGTGCTCATTAGAACCGTGAGAAACAAAGACTGCTTACACAATATTTTAGTTTTGCTGACCTCATTGTTGCACAGCTGTATCCAGCGGGTATATTTATTGAATATTTGTACAGTTGCTTGCGGTGTGTTTCGGAATTAAAGCGCCAGGAAGTGAAGATTGTGTGATAGCATGTTAAAAAAAAGAGGAGATGCTTCTCACCATCAAAACAGTGCACTTGTAACACCATGCTGGCCTTCTTCCTATTGGCCGTCCACTCCAGCAGCGACAGCGGATAGGTCCGCGCCGTCTCGGGGGCGGAGCCTGATCCCAGCTGCGTCTTCTGATTGGCTTGGATAAGTCTGTGTTGCAGTAACGCCTGGCATCCAGCAGGGGCGTGGTCAGAGACAAACCTGCGGGGAAAGGTCAGCTGAGGTTAAAAGTTGCTCCACAAACCACATTTGCTACCGCAATTTACTAATTACTGAATTTGAACAAAATTAGGTATGAAAGTAAAGAACAGAAACATTCCTTTTTGAGATGGATTCTCTCTCGCATTAAAAATTACTGAAGTAATAAGTAAGTTATTTAATTATTTTTTTCTTCTTATTTTTAATTTTTATTTTTTTTGGACTCTTGTTATTCACACATGTTACATTCCTACCAACAGTATATTTTCAGCAACAGGATGCCTGATATTGTGTGTGAGATGTCTCACTTCAGTAGATATTTTTCCAACTTGGTCGACGGCGCAAAGCTGCAGACACACGCCAGCAGCAGCAGCCAGCCCCTCTCTGCGTTGTCGTAGTTTACGTTCCTCCACACCTGGTTGACCACCTGAGCCAGGATCTCATCCTGTAACCCGGGAGACGACAGGCCCCTCTGGATGATGTAATTCCCAAACATGTTTTCCTGCGCCCCGTTGAGGTGAGGGTCCCCCATGAATCGTAATACCTGAAAGCAAAACAAGGGCAGAAATTACAACTAAATCTTTTTAGTACCACTAACAGCTGTATTTTATAGCTATTTGTGAAGGACAGCAGTGAAGATTCATGGGTAAATATGGAGTCTACCATGATGAAGAGCTCCACAGCTTCTCCTCTCAGGTCCTCCTCCACGCGGGTCAGAGGTGACTCCAGAGGCGCCATCAACATCCCAAACTTTGGTTCCTACAGAAACAAAGGACTTACGGAGGTAACACTTGCCGACCACCATCACTATAAGTTGTATTTCTGTTGAGTCAAACTATTTCATCATAACATCGTGAACTTTGACCCTCTCACTATATCCGATGCTCAGGGGATTAGGTGTAAGAGTAAAAGCCTGCTGGCTTTCACACTGCAAAACGCCACCAGGTACTACTTGGTATTTGTAGTGTACTACCTTCGGTATACTATGTATTGGGTAGTAAGGGTATTGGAACACATATATGTATATATATATATATATATATATATATATATATATATATATATATATATATATATATATATATATATATATTACTACTATTCCTGCTACTCCAACTGCTCTTTTCAGATCACCACCCAGAATCAGGTTTCTCCCCATTGAGGGGGGGTTTGTTCTTCCCACCTGCTCATGTGGGATGTTGAGTCCCTCTAAATTATAGAATACAGTCTAGACATAGAAAGTGTCTTCAGATGCCTTCTTTTATAATTCAACACAACGAATATTGAAATTGAGCACACATATTATGCTCCGTGGGCGTAGAGCTCACCCTAAAGTAGATCTGCACATAGCGGTAGAACGGGTAGTTGTTGATGTCCAGAGGCAGAGTGAGTTGAGCTTCTTCTTGGATATGAGGAGCTTGAAGCAGAGCGAGACAGTCTGAGTGCAGCTCCCTCCTGACTAAAAAGAGACAGACAAACGACAAGTCAACCAGTCTGCATACAGAAATGCCACTAAAGGAGACACTACTAGGATATATAACACATATACTGTGCTGCAGGCACGAAACTGAAATATTTCTCTCGTGGTTTATTTATCAGTTGGAGCCGCTCCTGTCCCTCGCCGTCGGGACTGTTTGAGTCAATCAGTGGCGATGAGATGAGACGGGTTCACAGAGCTGAACGAAGGACTCAGCTATCGGGTTCATGAATAATATGTGCGTTCGCATCAATGGGAACTTCATAAAAAGGAAGACGGACATTAACGGACCTCCTGCCGCCTGCAACAACACGCCCAGCTCTGCAGGAATCACCAAGTGTGTGACATTAACCACCTCCCTCTTGGTCAGCTCCTGGATGAGATTCAAATGTTTAATGACCGACTGCCAAAACCGTCCTGTCTCGTGTGAGTAAAAAAATGCTCCATCTCACCATCTCTCTCCTCCTCCTCTCCTCTTCAGCGTTCCTCTTTTCCGTAAACTTCCTCTGCAAAACAGATCACAGGCATCCCACACTGAACATGGAACATTGGAACAAAAGCGGGTAATAATTCCTGCAGTGTTCCACTTCCCTAAGTGTCTCATGTGGGCATAAAAGTTGCAGTGCGCTGTCCTTTTCAAAGCAGACGTACCTTGACGTACATATGGACGAGAGAGCGAAACCGAACTAGACTCTCCCTCATCTTCACATCGCGCTTCCTTGAGGGCAGAATGAAGGACCGTAGAACCAGCATTAACACGTGACTCGTACCTCATGTCACATGCTGCATCATCATCGTTTTTTAATTTTTTTGTATCTCATACGACGCAACTACGAAGGATTGTGAGAAGCCGACCTTGTGAGGAAGCCTCGGCAGTGGGCCTGCAGCCCGATGATCTTTTTGCGGAAGGCCACGAAGCGTTTCCTCACGAAGAACATGCGGATGTACCGCTGCAAGGTGAGAGCTGCCAGCTGGCGGGTGCGCTCCCGCTTACTCTCCAACAGTTGGTAGATGTCCTCCTTCAGAAACATCTGCCACACACACATATGTGTTGTCGCTTTGTGTTGCTGATTTTTTTACTTCTTTGTAAACACAAATAAACACGAGGAGATCCCTGACCTTTGTGACTCCTACGTGATAAGCTCCTGGTCTCAGCAGACACAGCTTACTGAGCATTATCACACAGTTCTCTCCGTTTGCAGCTGGAAGCTCTCGCATCCCCACCAGGGACTTATACCTGGGACGACACACGAGCAAAAGTCGATTATTGGTTAAACAGGCTTAAGTATCGCTTGTGCATCTCCTCACACTATCACTTTCCATGCTAAGCACCATCCAGTGATTAATACTGCGTGTGACCTGAACAGGAAGACGTAGAATGGCATTCTGACAGGATACCCCTCTCGACGGATCCTGATGGTCTCCAGCACACCGGAGTGTCTCAGCTGACTGCTGACCAAGTCGTTCTCAAACACGCCTGGCTGCTGAACACGGATGTCAAACGAGGACATAGTGAGGCTGGTTTCATGCATGCCAACGATCGGTATCATCAGGAGGAGGACAGAATGCCTAAAAATCTACCTTCATATTATTTGGCTTGATGCAGCGAACAAAAAAAGGGTTGCACCTAAAGTGGCAGAAGAACAGAAGTAAATAACGTTTTCTGCTTTGTAAAATATTTATAAGCTTTAAGATCACCACTGAGGATCACCTCTCCATCTTCTCCACCAGCTCAAGTAGGGACTGTTGGAACTTGTTGCTGACGGTGGGCGCTTGGTATTTTCTAGTGACTGTGCTGCTCTTCCTCATGCGGCCTCCTCTCTGCTGACCTGTGACCTCTGCGTGACTCTGGAAGAGGTTTGATAACATCTGGACACGCACAGAAAACACATTTTACCGAAATTGTTCATGTTCACACAGATTAAAAAAAGGTAATACGTTGATTTGAAGACGTTTGTCTCTTCTCACCTTGTTCTTGCTCTGAATAAAAAGGTCCAGGACATCCTGACGGACCTGGTCATAGTTCTTATCGAGGAACTTTTGAACCTGCGTCATTGAGATTATAGATTATTGACATAATAGATTATTGAATTATTGACATGTCAGGGATTATTGGTGGATTCTCTCTGTTCCAGCCACGTTAAGCGTTGTTGCTTCTCTTACTTTTCCATTACCTGTTACCTCAGCCTATGAAGAGCAAACTCAGTCGGTACAACACCTCAGTGTGGATTGTTGAAACAAAAGTTGGTTCCAAAACTCATATCCCCTGATGACAGTAGTCTGTATATTACCCAGTATGTTAAAATGCCTGGATATATTTTGAGATATTTCCGTCTGAAACCAGGAGGTCGATGACCGACCAACAGACACCTTGCTGCTGCGATGCTTTAAAACAGGAGTATGTGAGGGGTCAGAGGTTATCAATGACATCATTGATCAATGACGTCATTGATGACAGTGAATCAAGCAAATCTTTGCCAGCAGCAGGTTCTTTCACCTGAGAGGAGCCAATGAGGAGCAGCGTACCTGGTAGGTGACCCGGCCGGCAAAGTGCTTGATGGTCATCTCTGGGAGGGGCATCTTTGGCTTCTGATACAACGGGTTGTTGCCATGGTGATAGTGACACTTTTGGAGGAACGTGTGGTCCGTCGCCTGGTGACAAAGCAGCAGATTCTAGAACGTGTACCATACTGTGGACTGTTAAGGATGTTCAGGTGTCTTCAGCTTCCCTCTAGGTGTCTCACCTGTGGGAAACAGCTCTGGTCGTCCAGGATCCTCAGTATCCCATGAGGCTTAGCGGCGATGAGATCAATGCAGGGCTGGTTGTCGCTGAAAGGGATGTTCTGCCAGGGGATCTGTTCCCGGCTGTACTCCTCCTGCACGGGGAACACGTGCAATACGATGACTTCACATGTTACAGTATTGTTTCTAATTGAATTTCCAATGTTTCCAGGACTAACAGGGGTATGTTTCCATCCTTCTCTGCATGTGTACACACAAACGTTTATGTGTAAGTTGTGTTTGCGTTAGTGATGTTAAGCATGGCTAAGTGTGCATGCGAGTAGTTGAATGGACTTGCAGGCGTGACTTCGACTCACCTGTTCCTCCCTGAACACGATCCTGTTGAAGAAGAACTGCAGGTACTCGTTTGCATAATTAATGCAAAGCTGCTCAAAGCTGTTGAAGGCCAGATCCTATTGGTCACACACACACACACACACACACACACACACGCACTGGAGTCTTTCAACCGTGCAACACAATAAAGTGACAAACAGGTGATGCTCCGTCTGTGTGTGCTGTACCTCAAATCCATAAATGTCCAGGATGGAGATAGAGAGGCTGTGTTGGCGGGGGTACACCTGAGCGTTGATCCTCTCTGTTAACCAATGGAAGAGCAGCGAGTACAGGATCTTGGCAACAGCATCTCTGCAGGACAAAGGCAAACAAACACGGACCAATAGCGTGTGGAACAGGAATGTCGCATGAAAATTAAAATAACTGTTCCACATGTAATTGAGTATTTTCTTTGAGGTGACATGGGACAGACTTCATTACTTGGTAATGACGGGTTAAGGAGGTTATTAAGTCTGAAACACACCGATTTTAAAATGATTAGTTTGAATGGGAACAAAATGCCAGAATCAGTACTATTTCCCTACTGGTATGCAGCCGTCGCTCACCTGGCATCAACAGCACTCTCCACACTCAATGGGGTGGAGATCCTGTCCCTCATTGTCTCCTGTTGAGAAGACAGAAGGGTACGTTAAGGTTTTTCCGACCGGTGTTTCAATACCACTAATAATATTAACAATAATAAGAAGAACCGATTTCTTTCTTTGTTTCCCTCTTCGTATGAGTGTCGAGTCAGTGTTGGTTTAACAGCATTGGCTTGTTTGTGTATTGTAGTCGGGTGTGTGGAATGTAAGCGATACACCCAAATAATCCATGTTGACACATGCGTCACGTCTGTAGTTAAGTTTTGAGTAGTTATTTGAAGCTGTGTGTGCAAGTGCTTAATAAAGGGATTCTATTACCACTCAGAAACAAAATCAGGCTCCGCATGACATCGGATGGCGATTTGAGATTTGTCTTTCAAGACGTAATGAATTAATGAATAAATGAATGAATCAATGAGGGCATCGCAGGCCAGAGGTTTTGAGGACAGACACTTGACAGGTAGCTAAAATCCAAGTCTAAAAGACTCAGCGACGGTATCAGAGTACGGGGCTCATCACTTTTACCTAATCGAGATGAAAGTATTCTGTATATTTTGGGAGGGGTCTCGGTCTCCTTAGCAGCAACCTTTACCTCTTTCTTTACAGGTCTCCAGGTGAGAGATATCTTAACACACACACAAACGCACATAAAGCTCTTTGATACTGACTGTGACTTTGTAGGTGACGGCTTTCTGAAGTCCCTCCGGAGAGATCTGCAGCAGCTCTGCCACCACCCTGATCTCCTGAGCGCTCACCACCGACGCCACCTCCTGGCCATCGGACTGTGGTGCAGAACGCACAAGAGACGAAAAAACACTTTCATCTTTCACCCGAGACTGGTTAAATATCGCCAATGCTCTTTTTCTATTCATTTTTGTAATTTTTAGTTCATGTCAATGTTATCTGTATACGTCCAAGGGTTTGGGGATTACTAAAATTGTCTACATTAAAAATATAAAAGAAATAAACATCCCTTTGGAAACGCTACCTCGTATTTCTGAAAGTAGACGTTGCCCAGGTGCAGTATGGAAGAAAGAACTCTAAAGATGGCCGACTGGTCCTCGGGGGTGAAGTGAAGGATCTCCATGGCAGCGATCAGACGCAAGAAGTCCTCTGCGTCATTCTTTCCTGGTATTCCGCAATCTCCTCCCTTTGAGGAGAGAAAGGTCATAATAGTTTGAGATCCCTTGGGTCTCTCCTCCCGAGGCAGGCGATGATGATGATGCTGCATTGTGTCTGCTACCTGGTTGAGGTAATAGTAGGTCTCAGCCTCCTGAAGATAGAAAGCCTGTCTCTGCTGTGAGGGAAGACCTGCTAGCATCTCGTAGAAGATATGATAGTTCCTCTCATCTTTGGCCTGAGGGGAAGAAACAAAAGTGACACTTTGTACTTAATACATACAAAAGCTTTATAGATAAAGAGTGTCATCTTGAGTATCTGTCCTGTGTGTGTCACCTGGAAGACGATACGGGACTTTTCCAGTAGATACTGAGAGGTTATGGCACCACTGATCACACCACTGGACACAAAGAGAGAGATTAATAATAATCGTGGTTAGTGTTTTACAATTAAAAGTAGGTTTTAAGCAATGGAAAAAATAGATGGCAACTCTATGTTATACTCACTCCTCCAGAAAAACCTCCATGTATTTCCCAAAGCGACTTGAATTATCGTTCCGTACAGTTTTGGCATTTCCAAAAGATTCCAGCAGAGGAGCTGCCTCGAGTATCTGCGTTGAAACACACAGCGAATGCACAACCACGGTAAATGTGAAGCAGCAGGCTGTTAAACGCTAGTCTGTGCTGCAGCTGAAGAGGAATTGTAAGATATTAAGCAGACATCATGCATCAAACCCCATTACCTCAATCTGCACCCAGGAAGAGCCAGCATAGACACAAAGGCATGAAAAAAATAGGGTTAGCACGTCCTCCAAGACGGTAACGTGTGTGTGTCATTGTGTGTGTGTGTATGTACCTGTTGCACAAGATTGTATTTGTGATGAATTGCTGCTAGGTAGCGAAGGACTAGTTTGGTGGCCTCTGTTTTCCCAGACCCGCTCTCCCCACTGAAACACAGGAACATGCACTCAATGGACACCAACCTGACTCAGTAGTTGATGTTTTAGTTCCTAAACATTTAGAGGGCTCTCTACCTCTGGTGTATAGTGTGCACATTAAACTTTGAAAACTAATTTCTTTGTTTAGTACAGATACATACTTAACGCAGTCTTGCATTAAACAAGGACTCAATGACACTTTTGGGTTGAATCACCTGAAACACTTACGCACACACACACTTGCTTGATCACTGCCAACAGCTTAAAGCTAAATACTACCATTGCTTTAGCCAAGTTTAGCCAAAGGGAGGCGTGTTTGTGTGAATTTAAGGACACCAGCACCTTGACCACATTCCAGCATAGGGTTTCAACTCACAGGCTGAATAGTTAAAAACCAGGCCATTACTGGTCACTGAACACCGTCCTTAAATAGTGACTTGCACACAAACGCAGGGTTCGCACATGTGCACTTCGGACAGACACACACCTTTGAAAGATAATCTTCTCCTGGCCCAGACCTTTCTGGGCTTTCCTTACAGGTATCTCCTTTCAAGTATGGCTAGAGTGTTCCAGGTGTGTGACAGAGGGGGCGTTTGTGTATTCAATGTGATTGTTTCTAAAAGCACCTACCGGCATGTGGAATGTGTAGACGTCCTGTATATCTAGCTATGATTCTACATCTGAGTCGGGTGTAAACGGCCTCTGAGTGTGCGTGTGAGGTGAGATCCGCTTCACATGGAGCGAGGTGCCTGTCTTCAGTTTGCAGACCAGAAGACCACAAAGACTCATGAATTTACACTAATTAACACTAATCCAGCTTGAGATGGTAAAAAAGAAGCTTCATGAGCTCTATGTGTACCAACAAAACACTGGAAGGTTTCAACATGCATTCTTTTAAAACAAACATTTGCATTTGTATCATCTTACCTGATTATTATGACCTGGTTGTGTTTGGCATCCATCATTTTGGAATAAGCAGCATCTGCTATGGCAAACAAATGCCTGAAGGAGAAGGAGCAGCTATGATGAAATTAAATCTGCAAATGATGTCTCGTACAGAGTAGACTGCCCTAAGGGCACCAGGGTGCACTATATACAATCTTAATACAGACAATTGTAGCATTACATTGTTAGTTTTAAATTAACTGTCCCCCGTTTGATGGTGACTGTGACTTACGGAGGGTTCTCCCCCAGAGCATGACCCTTGTACAGCAGCACCATGTCCGTCCCATAGGTGTTGTACATCTTGTAGGGGTTCACAGACACCAGAATACTACCTATGTAAGTCTAAAAAAGTAAAGACAATACATAGAATCAGACAGGGGAAAATAATTAAATGGAAGTCCAAACAGGAGAAGAAAAGTAAAAGTTGAGCTTTGTAAAAATTACTTTAGATTTAGAGAAAAGTAGAAAAATATTGTTTTGATTGTAGCATGTAGGTGGCTACTTGCATAAATAAGGTTCCTCTCAGATCGTTTCCTCAGGTTCAGCAGAACAGCTCCTTCATGCATCTCCCTGGAGAGAAGCGGTACAACCAAGGTAAGTTGCACTTTGTAGGTTTCTGGCAGACAAGAGTTAAACCAAGTGTGTGAGGTTTTTGGACTTACTCTAACTGTGTCATATCTTCCACTCCGTCTTCGTCTCGCTGCTCGCGGTGAGTCATGGTGGGCAGGATTCTGATTGAGTACATCTAAAATACACATGTACACACATTTAAAAATTAGGCAGTGATGTATGCACATATATCGCCATGCACAAATGGTTCACACGTTAACACACTCACATTGATATATCAATCGTCACTCTTTGCAATGATTCTGATTGTATCCAGGATCCTTGTTTGTCATCTTTTCATCAAAATAAATGTATAAATTTGACTTTTCTGCTCAAGGTGCCCATCACCTATACTAATCATATATTGTGCTCTTCCAACCATCAACAAATACATTTAAAAAAAAGAGTATGTGAGTGGTACACGTAAACTAAAAGTAAACTACCATCCATCTGAATACTCCTTACTACTGAAAATCAAATACTGTGCCAGGCATTCACCATAACATTACACTTTCAACTGCAACATTACACTGTAAACATTAAGACTTGGTGAATAGGGCCCAATATCAGTTAGTTTTTCAACTTGTAATTTGACTCATGAGTTTAAACCATTTACCTTGTCAAACCAGTGCCCCTGTGGTTCCCCCTCCCTGCTGAGATTCCACTGCCCAGGTTCATCCCCAACTTGTCCCTGCGCCATCAGACTGTGGGGGTCCAGCAGCTCCCCGTCCCTATACATAGACCACTTATTGAGATTCTGCACTGTGCCATGAGGTAGAACTTGCTCGGCCCCCCACACGTCCGCATCTTGCTGCAGTCCCAAGCTATCACCTCCAGCGCCCTGTGCCCAGTGCTGATCTGTGCCAGATCCCTGGACTTGGGGTGAAACTACAGCATATGAGGGTAGGCGGTAAGAGGCGCCTCGGAGGTGAGGGTTCTGCAGCGCACCAGAGAGATTAGGTGAGCGAGGTTCTGGGGCTCTAGGGGCACCAAGCCTTGTCATGATATTACCATTAGGGAGACGGTAATTTGCACCACGAAGGTTTGGGTTGTTAGATAAAGCATTAGACATGTCTGGTGTTCGGGTTGCAGTGGGCTGAGTGCGGGTCATCAGAGTTCCATCAGGCAAACGATAGCTGGCAGATCGGAGGTTTGGGTTTCGAAGAGCGTTGGAAAGATCCAGTGAGCGTGACTCAGCAGGATCAGCAGAACGAGGCTGCTTCAAAAGTGTTGAGTCTGGTAGTCTGTACGAAGCACCTCGGAGTTTAGTGTTTGACATTGCACCAGAAAGGTTAGGACTGGAAGAGGCAGCGGTGGAAGCTTGGGTTTGATTTCGTGAAAATGATCCTTCTGGGAGTTGAAACTTTGCTTTACGCAGGTTAGCATTCATCAGTGCGCTAGAAAGACCCGGTGATGATATCCCACTCTCAGCATTCTGCACCTCCTCTACCGGATGCGATAGAAATGAACCATCTGGTAATCGATAAGAAGCCTTACGAACGTTAGGATTGAGCAGAGCAGAGGAAAGCATAGAAGATGAAGGGGGGGAAAGCTCAGGTGCTGGCTCATTTCTTGTTACTAAAGTTCCATCAGGCAGCCTATATGTGGCTTTACGTACATTTGGGTTCATCAGTGCAGAGGAAAGCATTGGTGAGGCAGGGAGTGGTGCAGGTGTAGGTTCTGTCCTTGTTACAAGGGTGCCATCAGGCAAACGATATGCGGCCTGTCGCAAAGTAGGATTGAGCAAGGCAGAGGACAACATAGAGGATGAGAGGGGTAAAGGGCCTGGGGAAGGTTCAACAGGTTCAGTTCTGGTGACAAATGAGCCATCAGGCAGTCGATAGGTGGCCTGACGTAGACTTGGGTTCTGCAAGGCATTAGAGAGAACAGAGGGTGAGAGCCTCCCACCAACACTGACACCACCTCCAACATCAGTGATAACTGGAGACTCAACAGGGCCCCGGGACATTGTCAAAGTGCCACCTGGAAGCCTTAACATTGATCCGTGGATGTGGGAGGTCCGCAGTCCACCAGCAAGAAATGAAGAGGTACCTCGGACAGTACCTTGTCGAGGTGTGGTAGGAGGAGGGGCGGGAGCGGCAGGCGACATGTTGGAGAACTGTTGTTGAAGGGTTGAGGCAAAGGAAGCATTGCGTAACTGGGAGTTAAGCATAGCAGAAGATAAGTGTGGGGAGGGGGCTACAGATGGAGCAAGAGGGGCTGCTACGTGAGGGGGGGAGAAAACGGTTGTATAGACATTGGCATTGCGTTGCAGAGGAGAAGTATAGGACGCAGTGGCCAGACGTGTGTTCTGCATCAAAGCATTGGACAGACGAAGAGGGGCATAGGGGTCCCCCTCCTGGCTTGCTTGGAGATCAGCTGATATCACTCCTTGCCCACCAGGTATGGGGGAGGGGCTTCTCTGTAAAGATGTGGTATAGCTGGCATTCTGTAGATAAGGGTTCTGGAGCGCGTGCCCCAAAAAAGGCGACGAGGGTGCTGGTTTAGGGATGTTTTGAGGGTAGACTTCATACTGTGTCTGTGGGGAGGAGGGTCTCTGTAAAGGAGAAGATTGAGCAGTGTTGCGGTAAGAGATAGAGGAGGGGTGAGGAGTATGAGGAAAGGGAGAACCTAAAATCTGAGGGTTTGGTAAAGCATTTGTAAGCATTGGGGGTGGCCCTGGCTCCATCATTGTGTAATCATAGTGGTTGATCTGAGGTTGAGATGGCTGGAAAGTGCCAGGAGGAAGACTTGGGCGAGGTACCTGAGGTTGAAAAGATGTTGGCCCTAGACTCATTGTCCTTCGGGGAAAAGGGGAGGGTGGTTGAGACATGTAACGCACGGGAGAGGCTGAACGGGAGGGCAGAGGAGATGAACGAGGCAGTGGTTGAGGAGATGGAGGTCTACTCTGCAGCCTACGCACTGATGGCTGGGGAGAAGGAGGGCCACTCTGTTTCAAAGAAGGCTGTGGAGAGACAGGAGGCCCTTGAGGAGTGGCTCTGAATGACTGCCTAGATTGCACAGAGGTCTGGTTTCTGGGCATACGAACCAGTGGCTGCCCCCTACCTACAGGTCTGTGGAAGCCTCCTTGGGGAGTACCATTACGCATGGACTCTCTTAACCCTGTAGGTTGAGAGCCTACCCTGGCTAACATGGGTGCTCCAGCTATGCCCCCTGTCTGCCCTAAGTGAGGACCCGGACCACTGTGGATAGAGGACCTGAAAGGGGCTACATGCTGAGTGATAGGGGGTCCATGTCTACTGCGTCTCTGTGAATATGGATTTGCTGGAGAGGGCTTCACGGCCCCCATGGGCAAGTGACTCCTGCCTCCACCACCGCCTCTCATTCTGCGAATCGAGGACCGGGCGGGGAGGGGGCGACTGCTGATACGCGACAGGGAAGGAGAGGGAGGACGATGTGGGGAGGTGGGGCGGAAGGTTTGGGGAGGAGAATCAGACCTCTCAGGCAGAGGTGGGCTTTGTGTTTGAGGGGATGGCAGAGGTGGTGAAGGGGAATGCCTCAATTTGGATGTTTGTTTTCTACCTCTGAACATATGAGGTCTGGTAGATGGTAGAGGCACAGCATCAGGAGGTGGTTGCTGTCTAAAAGAAAGTCTTGGGGAAGGCGGTGGGCTTGCTCTCTTCCTCAGTGAACCACGTGGGGAAGATAGGGGGCTAGGAAGTGGAGATTGTGGTCGACCAGTTGATGGAGGCCTGCGTAACTCAACTTCCCCCCTTCCTCTTGAAAGAGATGGCTGAGCTCTAACTGACATCCCTCTCCTTTGGTGTGATGGAGATGCAGTCGAGCTGAGTGGCCTACGCCTTTGGGAAGACGGCATTTGGCCCGACGTTGCGGTCCGGTTAGTGATCTCTCTCCTATGTGAGTGACGGGAGAGACGTTGGTCCAGATGAGTACCTGTTTGGTCCATATGATGTGATGACAGGCAAGGTGAAGGAGGGGCCATTGTCCTTACTGATCCTTGCCTAAATGGCAGTTGAGAGGATGGTAGGGGACTCATTCGTCGCACTGGCCTAGGTGAGGCCGCTGGTGAATGCAGTTGTGAATGCATCAGTTGAGGCATCGGTTGCTGTAATTGTGGGACCATTGGGGACATTTTCCCCATATGGAACATTTGTGGGTCTTGGGGGTGTGATGGTTGATGTATTTGGGAGGCCAAATGCAGTGGTAGGTGAGATGGCGACATGTGATTGTGAGAAACAGAAAAAGGAGGTTGAGGTGCCGGAGGGAGAGAGAAATGATCCTGTTGAATGGCCGTAGCTGTTGGGGAGGTGGCCTGTCTAAGAAAAATGGGGGTTTGTTGTTGGTTCACAAAAGTGGGATAATGGGGCTGTTGAGGAAGGTATGTGGGAAGGGGCTGTTCATATTGTATTTCTGACATGATTTCCAGATTGTTGAGGTCAATAGCTGGGGTGGAAAGGGGGAACATTGGGGAGGTGTGATAAGAATTAAGAGGAGGAGGTGGCATGGATTCCACCTCCAGTCTGTCTTTTCCAAATAGCATAACCTGGGGCCTAGGGACCCGGAACTGCTCTGCTGAAAATGATTCAGCAAAAGGGTAAGGCAGCTGCTCCTGTCCATATAGCTGTCCTGTTTCAGCCGGATTTAGCCCAACATCCATATAAAAAGGCTGCTGATAGGGGTAATGAATAGCAGCAGGGTCCGTATATCCCCGCATTGGGTCATTATATAGGCCCGACACATGCCCACCACTCATCATGCCCTGTGGGTGTGACATCCCGTTGCTATAGGCCATACTGTGGTCATTGTAATCTCCATACACCTCCGGGTTATAAGGGTCATAGAAACCTTCCATAGCATTATCATAGTAACCATATGGCTCTGGTTCCACTGCATACAGCATTCCATCTTCACCATAGTAATACTCCATCTCTTCATCCCCAAAGTAATCTTCATACTCATCGTTGTAATTGCCATATGGGTCACTGTAGTAATCCACGTCGTCCTCATAGTAGAAGTCCTCATCATGATAAAAGTTGCCGTCATCATCATAGTAACCATATTCATCTTCCCACTCGTCATCGTCATAGTAATCCTGTTCACCCCCATAAGGATTATATGGGTCATAGGTCACTGGTTGTCTCAGGTAGCCTGTAGGTCTCTCCCTGTCGTGGTAATCTTCCTCATAGCCATAGTCATCATCGTCATACTCATACGCCTCATTGTAATAATGAGTCTGTCCCCCTCTGGTGTCCCTGTTAGCAAATGACAGACTCTTTCGCTCCCGTCCTCCTGCTCGTGCCCCCAGCCGACCATGGCCATTAGCAGTCAGGAACCTCCCTGTCAACCAGTTAGATGCTGCAGCCATTCTTCCTAACATCCAGCCCTTAGTCTTAAACCCTGATCTTGCTTGATTTTTCCCAAGCATCCCTTTAAACTTTCCTCCCAATCCCTTCGCCTCGGTTGCCATTTTTCCTTTGCTTCCTAAACTGGATAGATTTATTGTCTTTTTAGGTGGTGTGGTTTCTTTTGGAGGATCAGTCTTCTTATTAAACATGCTGAAACCAGACAAACCTGGCTTTTTGTCGGCGGAAGGTGATTTACCCCCAAACCCAGCGAAAAGCTTGCTGGAGCCCAGAAGTGGTTTAGCAACACCAGGGGCCTTTTTTTTTTGGGAAACCCGTAGGAAGAGACGGGAGGTGCTTTTGAGGTTTCTCTTTGGTTTTGCTTTCTCTTCCTGTTGTTTAGAGGGCATGCTAAAAAGAGAAGACTTCCCTGTGATGCCCGAGAGGGCTTTTGATGCTCCTTTAAGTTGAAACTTGGGATCTGTCTTCTGTGCTTTAGCAGCAACTGGGCCCTTCTTCTGTCCCTCTGACACAAAGCCAATCATAGCTTTGGAGGCTCCTTTAATGTTGACATCAGTCATCTTTTTCAGGTTTATCGCACCCATCCCTCTCTTCACTGGTGAATCCCCCTTTGTTTCCTCATTTGACGGAGGTGACTTTTTTGGAGGCTTAAAACCTTTCACAGCTATGGCTTTGGATGCACCTTTCAGAGCTGCTTTCCCTTTCCCTTTATCCTTCTTGATAACTACCTCTTCCTCGCTTTCATCACCCTCTTCTTCGTCAGTGTTCATCTCCTCTTCTTCTTCCTCTGACTCCTCGTCTGATTCACTGACAGGTTTCTTTCCCTTTCCCTTTTTTCCATCATCCTTCCCTTTCCCTTTAGCCGGTGGCTCCTCCACTTTCTTTGCCCCTTTCTTGTCATCCTTTCCTCCTTTTTTTGGCTCTTCTGACTTCCCTTTCTTGGCAGCGGATTTTGTGTCACCTTTTTTTGGTGCCATGTTTTAAAACATGTTACAAAATGTGCTAAAGTAAGTCAGTTAGTGCCAATGTTGACATGTGAGAAAAATGGTCTCAACAGCAGCGTCATCCTCTCATTTCTAATTGCTTGCACATATTGTCTCCCTATTTTCTCCCTATCTGTTGTTGTGACAAACCAGAAGCCCCAGCGCACTGCGTCCCAAGTCAGTTGTTCTAATATGCAGACAGAGAACAACACAAACCACAGTACTTCAAAACACGATCTAGTAATGGAGTCTGAATCTCAGCCATTAGTGCTCGCTCGCATTACAGGACGTCTTCAAGCATCAGCCACAGAGCTGTTGTCTCTGTGTGGGTAAAAAGAGAAAAGCAATCTGTCCAGGAATGTCACATTTTGTTTTAAAAAAAGGCAGGTCTTGAGTGTCTTGAATTTAAAATGCTATATTCATGAGAAAAGAAATGATGAAACTGGTAGAAGTCCCTCTCAGTTTTACCCGCTTATTGACGCTGGCTCACAGAGGTTGTCCACCGAAGTCCATCCAGCACAACAAAAATACTTCCTGTTCCTCTATCTAGGCTTGTACGGAACTTCCCAGGGTCACACGATGAATAAAAGACCCTGCTATCCCAGTGACAAAGTCTTTGTAGTCCTTTGTGTGTCTCCCATTGTCAGTGCGTCCTGTGAGTCCGGCAGTGAATCCTCTTCTTGGCCGCCTCACCGACTTTGGCAGGACGTCCCCCCAACAAGGAGAGCCAACGTGCGTGTGAGTCTCGGCCTTCGGGGGTGTCCTCCTCTTTGTCTAAGAGTGCGTGTTGTATCCTCCCACATCCACGTCAGCTTGCCTTTCTGACCTCCTGCAACCTTCTGCATCTTTCTCTGGTTACAACGGCTTCATCCTTACACTGTTCGCCTAAACTTGAGGCCTCATCCTCTCCTCAGCTGATGTGAATGCACACGTGATCGTATGTATCGTATGCGTGTAAGAATCAGAGTTTACCCCTATGATATAGTTGCAAGGGCCCACTTAACGCACCAGCTATACAGCCTTGGGGTAACCCTATCTGCAGACTCGCTCCTGTATGAATAATGCAGGCTGGCTGAGCTGTTGCTAAACTGTGCCTGAGAGGCGAAGCCAAAAAAATTCAAACGCTGCCGGCAGAGCAGCATGGACCACGTCTGAGAGGGATATGCGCTCAACTTCCACAGTACAGGCACAAACCAAGAGTACATACGTTAGATGCAGGAAGATTCGACTCAGGACTTTTTTAAGTAAATCAATAAAATGAATAATTCCAGTACCTGTTCCTTCTAGTCAGAGTTGCACTGCAGCTAGCTGAAGTCATTGATCCATAGCAACTTTCCATATCAGGAACTACGCCACCATGAATAATACAGGCCTATTGGAGCTTTAATGACAAGGTCAAAAAAGCCTAAATTTGTTGTCTTTTCCTTCAGCTGGAGACTGCCGGGATCCTCTGAAACCTCAGTGGCCATTAGACATCAGACTCTATAAATATCTTAATTAAATCATTTCACACCTATAAGGTCCTTATAGGTGTGAAATTATTTGATGATTTGTCTCACCGTCGGAGGCTACAAAGCGTTCAGAAATGCCTCTCCACCCGGTCAGAAGAAGAGAGAGGTGCTACATTGGCCATTACATAGATGGCAGATGTTAATTCATTGATGACGGTCTGATGTCAGCACGAGGATGACGGTCTGATGTTAGCTCGACGATGATGGTCTGATGTTAATTCATTGATGACGGTCTGATGTCAGCACGAGGATGACGGTCTGATGTTAGCTCGACGATGATGGTCTGATGTTAATTCATTGATGACGGGCTGATGTCAGCTCGACGATGATGGTCTGATGTTAATTCATTGATGACGGTCTGATGTCAGCTCGAGGATGATGGTCTGATGTTAATTCATTGATGACGGTCTGATGTCAGCTCGAGGATGATGGTCTGATGTTAATTCATTGATGACGGGCTGATATTCCAGGAGGTCATCTCAGTGGCAGATATGAATATTTAATGGTTGCCCTGTGTTCTGGCTATGCAGCACGGATAAAACATTCATCGCGGGTCACTCTAAATATAACACAAAGGGTGAACCCCAAGGAATACATTATACATGGGGGCTAGTGTCAGGGGCTAAAGGCCAGACACCACAGAGCAGGCCGAGGAAAGACAGCAAATAGACAAAAGAAAAAAAGATAGAAGGACAAACTGAGAAACATCTTCTGATAACAGCAAACACTAAACATTTAATGACATTTATCTACATGGGAATATTATTTATTCTAATTATTTACAGGTCCAACACCCTCTTTTATTTCCTTGGCCTTGAGTTGGTACGACTAATAGTCTTGACCTAAGATACGATCTGAGAAGAAATCAGTATCACGTATCCCTGAGGAGCAGTGACCACGACACAACTCTACACGGTCTGCAGGCTGCACAGCAATAACAACAACAGCAGCTGTTGGTATCATCTGACCGCCAACAAAGATAAAGAGGATAAAGACCACGAGTGGGGAAGGGACAGGAGTTCAAAAGCTCTTTCCTGTCTCATCGGGTACGAGCGCCGTGGAGGTTGTTGGTCACCAAACCGGTAAAGGGACACACCGAGAGATCTATCTGATACGTGTGATGTGTATCTGCTGTCGAAGTGATGTGGTCTGATGACTGAGTGAACTGGTAATGAAGAGAGCGCAGACGACAGAGATGAAGGAGGTGGGGGAAAGGTAAGGAGGTAAGGAGACCGAGGCAAAGAGAGAGGTGCATCAACGACCTGCTGATGAATGAACTGCAGATTACATCAATGCTGAAAAGATGCTGAGCAGAAGAAAAAAAAGTCTGAATGAAAAGAGAGTGTAAATTTGTAAACGGAAGAATGAACTGTTGTTAGAGTGAGAAGCAGAGGAGGGATGTCAGAGCGCCGGCAGAGAGAGTGAGAGGAGAAGGGGAGAGTGTCTTCATCGACATGCCAATCACTGACAATGTGCTTTCATCAGACGCACTCAGCGACACGAGCCTAATAAAGGAGATCAGCTGAGCAGAGCCAGCAGGCTCATTTAATGACTGTGCGCATGCACACACACACACACACACACACACACACACACACACACACACACACACACTCAGGTTGGTTTGTCTCAGAAAGAAACCGTCCAAGCCTGTTAACTCTGAAATAGAAAGACAACACTGATGTTTCCCTGGTACAACGTGCACCATCTTACTGGAACCTGTAAACATGATGATGTCGTTGGGTTTTGTTGGTATTTGCTCCTAAAGCGTTATCTCAGTTTGGAGCAAAGCCTTGGACCGACCGACCCACAACGCTTTGACTGCAACAAAGGTAACAAAACCAAACGCTACGAGGGTCAGGGGGAGAAGGGCCGACAGGGTGGCAGAAGGAGAAGGAGGGGCAGGAGGGCGAAGATCAGGAATCAGGAATCAGGAAACATTTATTGGCCAAAATATGTCAAACATACAAGGAATTTGTCTTGGCGGGAAGATGCTGCACTCAGGTTTCCTGTAAGCCCTTTAAGTCCCATTCAAGTCTTAACCTTCGATGCCAGATTACCCAGTAACAATGGCGAGAGGCCAGCGACTGCTCACACACTGAAGACCTGCCGCAGAGGATCCAACGGCAACGCTTGGCTGGAGGGGCGGCTATTATTAGACCTGAAAATGAGATGCTCAATTTGACCTTGACGTATCCGTTACGAGTGAATGTAAACACCAGATGCTCGGTGACGGCATCAAACCGAAATGAAGAAAAGAATTTTACAACACTTTGTCACGTTTCATTAGACGATCCAAATGTTTCATCGCAAACCACTTGTAAAAGGAGACACATTTCATGCATTTATCTGATGCTGCGATGTAGGAATATCACAGTAACCACGTCAAAGTTTTCACTTAAACTGATGCAGATTCATTTAAAGAGGGATTCAATCTGTTTATGGAATAAAAACAATAATGGCAAAAGTTGGAAGAGAATGTAACTTTTTAATCAAGGCGGTTGAAGTAAACTGATCCACCTTAGTTGTTTACTTTGACACTTTCTGAAAATGAGTGATAACATCATTTGTAACACCAAGTGGGACATTTGACAACATAAAGTACCTCCCAACATCACCGGTGGTTCCCCATAGAAGACAGAGACAAATTCTAAAAATGCAATATATGAACTGCCACACCCTCTTGTGGCAATATACATTATCTTTATAAAAATCGGCCTGTATTTAATACAGCTTACCTCTTCTGTTTTTGTGTGACAGATGTTGATATTTAAAGCTGTTAAATCCGCTGTGTGGAGCAAAAATAGAACCTAGACTGGCTTCTATCTGCACCTCTTTTATAGCCCTCTGCACACGCACACATACACAGACACACACTTTCACAAATCTTGACCCGTGATGGGCCTTCGCTGGGAAACAACCAACAAACATCTGTTGACTCAGTGAGGCTTCCGTGGTTACCTGTGCATCCTCCGTGCAAAGGTTCAATAGAGCGGAGAAAGGAGTCGGTCCAGTCCACTGTGGACATCAAAGCACGCATCAGCGGTGAAGAGGTTCGGTTTCTTAGTAAACATGCTGTACGTGTACATGTGGTGTGTGTGTTGTGCCCCTCCCGCGTTAATTGCCTCAATTAACGATATACAAACACACACACACACACACAGACACACTGCGCTATCATCCTCCCACACTGGCGTCTCGACGTCAGACCCTAAAGAGTCATTTGTTGTAAATGTAAAGCCCCTGAGTGACAATAGGTCGTCAAACATGTGTGCTTGTGTGTGTGCTTGTGTGTGTGTGTGTGTCTGTGTGTCAAAGAGCCTTATCAGATCTATTCACAAAGACACACACATACACTAAAAAAAGAGCGTTACTCACTTGCAGTATGAGCGCGGCGCTTTGCTAAATGTATTCAGCTGTTCCCTCATTGAATGTTCGGTTTGAGTCAACTTTAAAAATAAATTGTTGATTTGTCGTTTTTCAATGTTTTTTTAAGCTAAAACATAAAAACATATCAAACTAAACACAAGATTTAAAGTGGTGAAGAAACTGAGATGTTGTAATTGTATTGTTGTTTCTTTGGTGAACGTCTTCAGTGAGGACAGTTAAATACTGTCTTCATTGAGCAGAAGACATTATTTAGTTCCTGTTGGCACAGAAGACTACGATGATTGTGTGTCTCTAATGGCGTATTCCGTTTCTTAACATGAAGGCAACCGATGCACACAACAGCCCGTTAGCCTACAGCTTATGCAACTACATATATGCTCGCTTTAACCACGCAGAGAAAAGCCTTTTCATCCAATTGTCTGCTGATCGAATATCCTGAAAGCTCCATACAGGTGAGTCCTTTGTCTGAATGTATTCTACCTTTTAAAAAGAGACCATTAATGGGGCAGTGAATATCAACCCTAGCAAAAAGGCTATTTGACCAACTAAAACGCAAAGACAGCACCTGTGTTGTTATGTCAACACACAAATGTCATTGGGATGATAGAAAAAAGGCTTTCAAAGTGTCAGGAAGTGGAACAGTTTTGTAGATGTAGATGTTTGCTCACCTCCTGAGTTTCATAGTTTGTGAAGTGAAGTTAGTAGTGGGAAATTTAAAAATCAATTTAACTTCAAATGCATCTGTCACCAGGGGGACATTGTGGTTTCTGTAAATTTTTGGTATTTTAGCATGGTTTGTTTTATTACATTTTTGCATGGTTTGTTTTATTACATTTTAGCATGGTTTGTTTTATTACATTTTTACATATTAACCCACCTTTCGGTAAACTACATGCACCTGGAGGGACTAATCAATTACAGAGAGCCCTGGCCAACCACATTACACAATGAAAGGACCTCCCCTCTCCAATTAACACAGCTGCTGTAAAGGACACTAAGCACGGCATGAAAGCAGAAGCCACGAGCAGGACAAGCCACGGGATAGCAAGCGAGAGGACGGCAAGACAGCGGACGAGCAGGCAGGGTGCAACGAGGAGAGGAACGAGACGGACTGGACACCTCACCCAGGAAAGGAACGGAACCGGAAACAAGAAGAAAGGGCAAGACTGATCAGCAGCAGTGGCTGGTCGAATTCTTGATCTTTTTTAGTACTTTGTTCCAGCTGGACTTTTAATACAATTGTAGTTATTTATGGGTTTTTAGTTACTAATAAAATCCTCCTTTTAAACCACGCTTTTAAGTCTTGTGATCCATGCTGTTCTTCCTCTGGTGAACAAGAACCTGTTTTTATGGAAACCTAGACTCCGCAACTAGGTGGCGTTGCTGGTACCTTTTTTATAAATATCTTCTTTTTTATTAGATTTTAAGTCCCCCGCCTCACAGGGCTGACACATCGGCCAATTTTAGTTTGATGGTATCTCATAAAATCAATGTCCAACCATCAGTGAATCTACCGTTGGTTAAAGGAAAAGCACATATGTCTCTCTGATCTTTGGGTCTGGAATAAAACACAAACCCTGATAAAGTGTTTGGCCTCTCAGCTTCATGTAATGAGCAGACTGAGACAGAAGA